TGTTCCTGCTGCTGCTGCCGCTGTTCCTCCCCTCTCCTCCCACTGCCCACCTGGCAGCCCGGGGAAGCTGACTGTGGCTAGGTCCTAGCCTGTGGCTAGGCGGCGGGGCTCCGTAAGTCCGTCAGGACTCCAGGATTTATTCGTCACGGGGGAAGCTCCTGGAGGTTTGGGAGCCCAGGAGTGGTGTGATCCTGTCAGGTGTTGAAGTGATCCCAGCAGATGACATGGCAGCTGTCTGGGGCTTTCCCCTCTGAATCTGGGTCAAGTGCAGAGTGGTTCTGAGAGAAGGCAGATGTTAGAAAATTCCAGAGTCCGCTCTACCCCTCCTAGAGACCTAGGACAATGGCCAGGCCCCACCGCGCTGCTAGAGCACCGCTGACCACGGTGTGGGGGCTGGGCGTCCTCTGGCTCCTCACAGCCCACAGCCAGGCACCTGCCCTCCAGCTTGCGCTCAGCCCACACCTGCCTCCCGCATTGGCCTCCACCTAGCCTGCCGGCCTACTGCCCAGCCACCCCTCCCCTACCTGTCCCCTGAAGCACCCCCTCTCAGACTTGGTCCATGCTGGAGGGAGCTGCCTCCAGGGTGAGGGGACCCGGTATTGCCTAGAGCCTTCAAGAAGTGCCCCACTTGGTCCAGAGCAGCTCCACACCTGCCTGCCTCTTCTTCAGATGCTTCTGGAAGCCAAGTGCCTATCAGCAGCATTGCATCCTCTGGGGACCTGGGTGAGGGGTATGGACTTCCCTTGGCCGCTACCACTAAAGGAATGTGCCAGAACCTTCTTGTTATTAATGTGACCGTGCCTTGAATAAACAGTCTCCCGACCTCTGCTGGCCTGTGCCTCTGCATCTGGACCTGCCCAGCAGGGCTTTCCCTCCACCTGGAAGGAGCCGGAGCTGTTAAGAGATGGACCTCCCTGAGGTCACTGGGCTGGAGCAGCACACCTTCATGGCTTTGGTCCCTGGGGCCAGAGCTGCCCCTTCTGGGGTCCCCTCAACCCTGAGGCCTTTGGTGGACCCGCCATCGCAGGAAAATGCCTGGAAGTGCTGCCTGGTCTGCTGGAGAGGTGGGAAGTGGTTTTGCCTCACTCTGCTGTGGATACCCCGAGCAATAAAGACCTTTCTGGACTGTGCGCTACCCAGGCACCACTGTGGCAGCCTGGCCTGGCCAGAGAAGCTCCAGGGTGAGTGCTGGGCTCTGAGCCTGGGCTTCTGGCCAGACTAGAAGCCACATTTGACCCGATGAAGACTTCCAGAGTAGGCCCCCGGAGTGGCCGGCAGGGCTGAGGTCTGCACCATCCTCAGCCAGCATCAGTGGGAGGGCAGGGGGAGGCCGAGGAGAGGCTGGGCACTTGACAATGCAGGAAGGGGGCCCAGCAGGTCTGGAGTGCCCGAGGGTGGGTGGGGAGGCCGGAGTGGCTGGAGCAGAGTGAGGCAAGAGCCTGGAGGGCGGCGGGGCTCTGTAGGTCCCAGTCAGGACTCCAGGATTCCAGTCACAGGAGAAGATTCCGGAGGACTCGGAGCCCAGGAGTGGTGTGATCCGTTAGGTGTTGAAGTGATCACGTAGCCACCAGGTGGGGACAAGATGGAAGCAGAAACCCCACAGGGGCCCTGTTGGAAGCATCGGAGAAATAACACGGCAGCACGGTGAGTGAAGAAAGAGAGAGAACTCCAGTCTAGGGTCTGAGGATGGACTGAACGTAGAGTCTGAAAAAGAGCAAGGAAGTAAGGATACTCCCAGTTCTTCAGCCTGAACCCCTGGGGTGAACTGGTGTACCCCCGAGGCTGCTGGAAGGGGCTGGTGTGGGGAAAATACCGAGTTCTGCTTGGGTCATGTCACACTGGAGATGCCTTGCGGGGATGTCGAGCAGACAACCGGATACTGGAGTCTGGAGTAGGGGAGGGCTAGGGAGGTGACGTACACTTCAGAGTCATCGGCATGTGGGTGGTGTTTGAAGCATGGACTGGCTGAGACCCCTGCATGGGCGAGTGGAGGTAGGGGGAGGTCCAAGGCAGCTGGGAGGAGAATCCCCACAGGAGACTGAGCATGAGGAGAAGTGGCGAGGAAGGAGGAAACCCAGGAGAGCCTGGTGTCCCTGAAGCCCAGGAAAGAGGGACTCCAGAAGGAAGGAGGGAGCCCCAGCCTAGCCGCACTGGACAGTCAACACGGCCGTAGAAGAACAAGTTCAAAGATGCCACGGAGGAGCATCAGCCGTTAGAATGCTGGGCGTGCCACGAGACAGACAAGATGGGTTCCCCCACAAACCGAAGGAATAGGGGGTGGGGGAGAGGCCGTAGAGAATGGAAGGTTTAAGGGACACAACGAGACACAATGTGTGGCCCTTGGTTACACCCTGAGTTGAACAAACCAGCTGCAGAAAGACATCTTTCAGACATCAGGGCATTTCAAACACGGACTGGGCATCAGGTGGGGGTGAGGAGATACTGTTCTTCTTGGCAGGTTGTGTTGACGGCCTGGGTTAAGAAGTGAAAAAGTAGCAGCTGGTAGTTCACATGGAAGACTTTACAGGTGAAGGAAGGGAAGTCTGGGATTTGCTTTACAACTCTCCCGCAAAGTGAAAGGGGCAGGGCCCTGAGTGCTCACCGTTGATGCTGGGTGAAGGGCACATGGAGATTCTCTAGGCTCTGATTTTTGTGCATGTGAACATTTTTACCATAAAAAGTTTAAAAATAAAGGGAAGAGTGATCAACTCTTTCAAGTGCAGCTGAGAAGAGCGAGATGAGGGCTGAGATCTGACCCTGAATTTCATAGGATAGAGGTTGTTGGTGACCTTGACCCTAACCGATTAGGGGTGGGGCTAAAAGCCTGGTGAGATAGGTTCCTGTTTGCTCATATGAGTGAGGAAATGAAAAACTGCAAGGCAAGACAACTCTTTCGAAGAGTTTTGCTGTCAAAGGAAACAGTGGTAGCTGGAGAGAGCAGAGGGTGTAGGGTGGGGCAGCTCTTTGTATAAGATGGGACATGTGGCCTGACAGACACGGGAGGAATACAGGGCTGAGAGGAGGAAGGAACTACCCCACCATGCATGCACACGTATGTACACACATGTACATGCACGCATAAGCAGAAGGGTAGCCTTCAAGAAAGGTGAAAAGCACCCGTGCTAAGATGGCTGAAGACGCGGGTCAGAGGAGAGTGCTCAGTCTTTCCAAAGCCACGTCACCCCGCTCACCTGAGTGGGTGGCAGACATTCGAGGACTGTAGGCCAGGCATGGCCTCCTGAGTCGGGGCTGTTATTAGATTACACAGTGTGCAGGCCCCGTCTCAGTGGCTACTCTGGGGCTCGAGAAAAACCCGAGTTCGGTGCCACAGTGGGACGACGTTCCCAACGGGCTCCAGCCCCAACGCCTGCAGGCAGACTGCCTGGCAGGCCTCACCCCCGGAGCCTGGCTGGGAGCTGGGAGGCTCTGCTGGCAGCGGCAGCCTCGGTCTTGCTGAGAAAACTGAAGCCTCAGGGTGAGGACAGTGACCTGGGTACAGTCCTTCCAGCCACTCACAGCCCAGCTCCAGGACCCCACACCTTGGAGGCCAGGAGCAGGGAGTGGGGGCTCACTCCAAGCCTGTTGGCATGATGTCCACTCTTAATGCTGCACCCTGTCTGCCTGACCCTCCTGAACACACACACACCTGCTCTTCAACCCCAGTATACACTCCAGGTTAACTCATTTAATGTCTCCTAAAAGCCGGCCCTGTGATCACCACCTTCCCCTCCAAGGAGGATCTACGAGCTTTCCTCAGAGTCTTTGGTGCCCTTTGCTGCTGCTGTCTTGGCACCTGGCCCATTCCTATCCCTGGCAGGGGGGCTAGCAGGTCCCTAACCCCCAAATGTATAATGACACAAACACAGTACAAGTTATGTCTCTTTCCAGTAAAATTCGAAATGAGTCTCTGCTCTACCTGCAGGAGAAGTACCTGGGCCCCACCAGGCACTTCTGATTAGTGGGCTCTCTCCTCCAAGCAGTGATTCAGGGACCCAGGCTCCTTCCAGCTAATGGCCCTGTGGCTTCAACACATGGCCCCCAAGGTCACTGTGAGGTCTGTACCAAACCAGCAGCTGGATGACAGAGCACAGAGTAGCTTGCAGGAGGTTGGGGGTCTAGGTCTGGGAATAGCATCCATGTCCACACATTCCACTGGCCAGAACGTGGTCACATGACCCATCTTGTTGCAAGGGAGGCTGGGAAATGTAGTCAAGCCCAGGCAGAAGAAGAACTGGATTCGGTGCCCTGCCCGGCAGTTTCCAGCACAGACCCCTAGCTTCATCTCCACCACTGGCTTCCCCAGGCCCTTTTCTTCTTTTCTACCTGTTCTTACAGTGGCCCACCTGACCCCATCCTCCTGCCCTGCCCTAGATCCACTGCTCTGCAGCTTCACCTGACACAAGCTGACACCCAAGAAAAGACCAGTCCCAGAGGGTCAGAGAGTCGCACAGAAGAGGTTTATTCCTCAGGAGTTTACACAACCACAGCGCAGAGCAAAAGAGAAGAGTGCGGGCAGCTCAGGGCGAAGGTAGAGGGGCTGCTTTCTTGCCTATCCACCCACCTGAGTGCTGGCACACACTGAGCATGGAGATGGGGCTCGGCGGGCCCGCCTACAGTGCAGACAGAGGCAGGAAGGAAGGCTGGGGAGAGGAGACCCAGGGCTCTCGGAATGCAGTCACCCCTCCTTCCTTGGGCTGCCACAGCCCCACCCCACCCACCCTGGCTGGCTAGCTGGCTCCTGTGGAGTGACAATATGGGAGCTGCCACCAGAAGCGCTGAGGGAGGGAAGGGGGGATCCTGCAGGGACACTGCGGTAGGTCCCTGAGGCCCTGATGAGCCCCTCACAGACCCTCACCTGTCCCTTCCTCAGCAGTTCTCCTGCTGACCTGCCTGGGATTCTGCCATGAAGGCTAAAGCTGTCCCTCCCCTTTCCTTGTGAAAAGCAAACTCCCTGGGAGAGTAAAGCATTAAAGAAGGTGCCTGGGGGTCGGCCGTCCCCCACTTGGCCCAGGCTCACCCGAAGAGGGGTGCTGACGGAAGAGCCCTACACCTTCCTGGCCCCAGGCCTCCAGCGCCACCCAAATGCTGCTTCTCCTCATGGCTGAAGAAGAGATACCAGCGGGGAAAGAGGGCAGGCAGGGAAGAAGCCACTGAGGATGCAGGAAAATCCAGAAGCCCTTTGCTGAAGGAAAAGCCACCTGTCCATACTTCGGGGGGTCGGGGGTGGAGACCCAGGCCTGCTCCATCACCTCTCCAGTACGGTCAAGGGGACAAGAAGCAAGACACAGGCGGGCCTGGGGGAGCCCGGGCTACAACAGACACAGACCGACAGACAGACACAGACAGAGGAAGGCCACCAGGTGGAGGCCGCTGGGCAGACGCCGCCTCTTACTCGCCATCCCAGTCTCGACTCATGGCCTGCACCACGGCCCCGTAGAGCTGGCTCCAGGCTGATCGCGTGGCCGGCGTGAAGGCGGGGCCCAGGCACTTCTCGAGCATGTACAGCAGGGACTGGCCCACCGTCTGCGGAGGAAGGAGCTCTGTCATTCCGCAGGCAAGAAGGCATCTCCCTGCTCCCCAGGTGAGGAGGCTGAGGCCTGCGGCTGGGAGGGGCTCCTGGGCCTCTCTTCTCCCCTGAGCAGGACTCTGTCCCAATCTTTGGGTGCCACTTTGTGCCCTCTTTCCCCCTGAAATGTGAGGCTTATAGTGAACAAAGCACTTCACCCCACTCCCAGCCTTGTGACCACCCCATGAGTGAGGCTGAGGCATTGCCTGGGACCCCCCAGCTCAGACCCAGCAAAGTCATTGCCCCCAGGCCTCAGAGTGCCCCCTGCAGGCAGCATTCACGGTGCCCGGAGCCCAGGCTCTGCAGCCAGATGGACCTGAGTTCTCTTTTTGACTCCGCCATTCACAAGTGTGACCTTGAGCGAGTCGTGTCATTTCTCTGAGCCTCAGTTGCTTCATCAGTTAAACAAAGAAAGTGAAAAAAAAAAAAAAAGAAGTTCTAATTCACTGGGTTGTTGAAATGATTAACCGAGATCATTGATGAAAAGCTCTTAGCACAGCATCTGTACACAGTAGGCCTTCAACAAAAATAACAGCCCTCACTTGTTCGTCGTAATAAAATGAGGTTGATTTATGCCACAAATACTCACTGCCTACCCACTGAAGGCTGGGCCCGGCGCTAGTACTGGGGAGAGGGAGGACCAGACCATCTGGTCCCTTCCCCAAGGCGCTTACCATCTGGCAAGGTGACCGGACTACGTGGTAGACTGTCACCTCAGTAGCCCCCAGTGAACCTCGCCTTGAGCAGCGGCCCCCCACCTTAATCCTGGGCTCACTTGTGTGACGGGCTCTGGTCCACGGGACATCAGCGAGAGCAGTGCAAGCAGAGCCTGGAAAGCACTTGCCCATGTGGGCTTGTCCTCTTGGAACGCTCCCTTCTGTCCGGCTGCTGCCCTGGACAGAAGCTTGGCCACGTCCCTGAATGATGAGGCTGCAGGGAGAGGGACTGCAAGGATGACGGGTCCCCCTGGACATTCCATCCCCAGCCGGGCTCCCAGCTGGAGGCATTGCATGAGTGACTGGAGCCATACCATGGGGAACAGAAGACCCACTTCACTGAGTCCAGAGGAATTAGAAATCCTCGTTTGTTTGGGGTGGTCTTATCACGCAGCAATGGAAAACTGAACAGACCAGCAAATCCCACAGGTTTCTTAACTTTCTACGGTTCTAAGAGAAGTCACACTACAGAAGAATTGGAGGCTCAGAGGGGTCAAGGCAGCACCAGGGTCACACAGCAGGTGTGTAACGAGGCCCCCAGCCCTGGTCATGTGAGGGAGGGTACAGTAATGTGGACATAAGGGAGGATGAGCAGAGAGCGGCAGCCTCCTGCCAGGAGCTCAGGACAGAGAAGGGCCCCTTCACACACCGAGAAGGAGCTGAGCTTCACACCCACTGCACGGTGCTTCCTGCCCAGGCCAGCCAGGTACTCCCCCAGTGGGGACAGGTCCTCCATGTTGGTCACCGCAGCATCGATCACAAGCATCACCTGTCAAGGCCAAGATGACAGTGAAACAGAACGGCCAGAGTGATCTCCCTGCTCACAGCCACAGTCCAGAACCTGGGGGTCTCAACTGGAGGTAAGAGAGGTCACCAGGACACTCGGTTTTCAAGGATCAGAATGGAAAACAATGTGTGTCTGCATACAGTAGGCTCTCAGTGTGTGACGGCCAAACTATTAATATTACACACTGAAAGAAGCCTCCTCTTCTGTGGGGCTCAATGCCCTAAACACGCCTGCAGGACAGTGTTGTCTGCCTGGGATGAGGGGAAACAGACCCTGCGGGAGCCTCTGAGAAAACCTCAGCTGGTGTTCATAAGAAGAGACCCCTAGTAGATGAGCACCAGCACCATCTGAAGAAGCCAGGGGTCAAGGCCAAGGGCAGTGACAGAGCTAATGCCAGCTGACTAAGCACAGGGTGGAGGAGGAGGAGGAGGAGGCTGACCCCGGTGCCTCAGCCTGGGCCCAGCTCAGCGCAGAGGGATGGAGCAGGAGGCGGGTAAGACCAGGCTGGGGCAGAACGCTGAAAGGATTTTCACTGTCCGAAGTCCCTCATTCTCTCCCAGGAAGGCGCTCTGCTGGGTCTCGGAGGCCACTGGAGCAGGGGCCTTCCCCTCACCTTCCTGATGTGGTCCAGGAACTCAGGGGAGGAGAGGCAGTCCTCCCGGCTGGAGAACTGGCGGCAGTTGTACTGGAAGAGGAGCAGCAGGTCGGGCTCCAGGTCAAACAGCCTGTAGGGGGAGGTCCCGGCATCAACCCTGGATGTGAGCCCCTGCAGTGGGGGTGGCCGAGCTGGGGCCATAAACTATAGCACCTCCTTCCTAGAAAGAACATGTGTCCCCGGGCCACTCCCAGGACCTGGCATGTGGCAGCCCCTCCATAAACAGTGGAGGGGTGCTGGGGCGGGAAGGGATCCTCAAACACACACTCTCTCTCTCTGTCTCCTCTCTCCGCCCTTCCCATTCTTGGGCCAGAATATTCTAGTCTCATCAGGACTGAGAGGGTTCTGGCCAGTGCTGATAACAATAATATTAAGAACTCCTTACACTTGCTGAGCATTGACTACTTTACACACAGTTAACTAGCGTATTCCTCACAATTCTAAACAGTGGGTACAATAGTTATCCCAGTTTTATAGGGGAAACAAGAGCCCAGAGAGGTTAAGTAACTTGCCTAAGGTCACACAGCTTGCAACCACAGAGGGTACCTGAGTAAACAGAGGGCTCCGGAGAAAGCACAGACAGAGATGGAGAAGCAAAGCAGCAGCTCTCAGCCACTTCTGGGAGGGCTCATCAGGGTTATTTCTTTCCCTTTTAAGGGAAGGTAGGGGTGGAGAGGTGGGAGTTGGGAGTGGGGTGGAGTTTGCAAAAGCTTCCTCAGAAGTTCTGGGCTGGCTCAGGGAGCTGAGGCTCCTGGAGAACCATGGTGGGAGGTTCTTGCCTCTCTGGTGCTGGCAGAGAGGCTGCCAAGAGACCCTCAAGCTGAGGTTACAGATTGGCCTCCCCCTCCCCCTTAGGGGCTAGCATCCCCTTACCCCTCTTCCCAGTGGTGAGACTCTGGCGTCTGTCATCCCTTCCCCATTCTCTGTGCTAGCTTGGTCCTTTCCTTGGAAAGGTTTAACCTTCCATTGGTTGCTGCAAGTGCGATCTCCTGGGGCCTGGACCCCATGTTCTGTCAGCCAGGCATCCATCCAGCCCACACTCCTTGTAAGAGCTGGGGATGGGCACCCCAGTCTTCCCTTACTGGCCAGGGTGGGCACCCCTGGAGTTACCATCCAAGGAGCAAACACCCATGAGGTGCAGCGCCGGGGGTGGTGTTGGGTGTAAGGGAATGGTGAGGACCCACTCCCGCCCCCAGAGAGCCTCGTGGGGAGGGATGTGCGGATGTGCGCCGCTGGAAGCAAGAAGCTCCCTCAGCCAGGTGAGAGCAGAAGGGGTCGCTGCTCCCACCTCCTCTGCGCACATCCGGAGGGTCAGTTTTTCCCTCCTCTGGAGCTGGGCCAGTCACCTCGAACCCTTTCCTGACCTGGCCCCTGCACCCCTGAACCTGAGGCTCCCGGGCCACCCTCACCTGGTGAACAGCACTGTGCCGTGCTCCAGTGGGTTTCGGCTCACCGCCCGCCAGCTCTGCCGGATCAGCTCGGGGTCTGGGGGCTCCATGCCCGCCCAGGGATGCAGGGCACGAGGGTGGGACCCTCGGGGCTCCAGCACCGTCACCACACGTGAGGTCCCATCTCCGAGGCAACGTGGGACACTCCGCACCCTGGCAGGCCTTGCGCCTCTGCCCCTAGGGTTTGTTCCTTCCCGACCGTAGATGGAGGCGCCCCTCTGAGGCTTCTGGGGACCCTGCTCGGGCCACTGCTCCCCGCGCCCCGTGGCTGAGAGTGCCCGCCTCGCACCGCCGGGAATGACCAACCGGGGCGTTTTAAAGCATCCGCTCCTCCGCCCCTCTCTGTCCATCAAAGAGCGCGCGATTCTGGGCAACTGGCTCTGGCCCCAGGCGACCTGGTGGCCGGGGCAACTCCAGCTTCAGAGTTTGACAGAAATCACAGAGCGTCAGGTTTTCACCTGGAAACCGGTGGTAGTATCACCACCCACTTACTAGTCAGGAATTTGATAAACGCAGGTGGGCTCTCCACCAGCCTCACGCAAACAGCGCCTGGACGCATTTGAGTCTGTCACCCCTTCCCTCCTCCGCGGGGTCAGACCTGAGGATGCCTGGGCACCTACCTCTGTGACCAGGCTGCAGGGGGTGCCCTCTGCCCTGGTTCTGGATGTGACTGAGGCATCACCCCACCTCCGGGCCACCAGGGCTCTCAATGGCAGGCCCAGACCATGGCCCTTCCCAGCGAGGCTGGGTGTTCCCGAGACTATCTGTAGAGATCTGTGGGCTCCAGTGCCCACCTGGCTCTGCTGGGGGGGGGGCGGGTGCGGGGGCAGGAGGGGAATCTTGGGTGCAGCAGCTGTGGGCACTGCCTGACCCGGACATGGAGGGAGTTAAGCTTGAACATTCTACTATCCCATGATTTTTAATAGACTTTTAAAAAGGTTAATTAGAAGTACCATTTATGTTATTAAATAGAAGTTCAGGCACAGAACCTCGTGCTTGCCATTCAGGACGTCAAGTTGTTCCCCTGCCCATTAGACCTAAACTTTCTCTTTCAAGCACGGAAGTGCCCCAGGCCCCAGCCTGGTTTTAGTGGCCCAGCTTTGGGAGAGAGCAGCGCATTTTTCAGCCTCGTTTACTATATGCGAGTGTCTGAGCCTGTCTTCTTGGTCTGTTCGCTCCTTTCGGTTTCCTCAACTGGGCTTAGCGTCTGGCTGGGGTGGGTACTGAGCTCCCCGGGGACCTCAGTACACCTCCTCTGTTTTCACGGATACAAAGGAGGTGGGCGGGTATCCTGGGCCATCGGTCATGAATAGCTGCAGCTCCACGGCCAGCCCTGTGCCAGGCAAGGCCTGCTGAGTCCACGCCTCCTAAACTTCTCCATGTGGCCCTACATCAGGGCTAAGGGCTCAGTGGAACACACTTCACTGCATCCAACCAAGTCCAGTGAGGCCATCCAGCTGCGCTCCCTCTTCTAAGGACCCCGGAGTCTGAGGACCCCCTCAGACTCCCTAAGGACCCCCTGGTCTTCTCTTTCCCGTCTTGCCACACATCTCAGGTCCCTGGGCTGGAGTAGGGGAGCAAGGCTGTAAGGCAGCCTGGCTTGTACCCTAAAGAGTCCAAGAGAACCTCAAGGAAGAATGCAAAGGGGCCAGAGGCTGCAGGGAGAAGGCCAGGGCCCTCAGGGAGAAGACTTCCAGAGGGGCAGCCTGTGGCCCTGCAGCCAGGTACAGCAGGTCACAGGGGGAAGGTCACAGCTCCAGGGACATTTACCTCCTTTCAGTGCCCCGACGTCCTGTGCTCCACGCAGGCTGCCCGGCTGGTTGGAATCTCCCCATTCCACCCTGTTTGCATTTTCCTGGCAGCGTCTGCCGCAGGGCCCGTCCTGCCTCCTCTCTCCCTGGGATAGGGTCTGGGGCCTGGTAAGTTAATGGGAGGTAATGGCTTTAGCAAGTTCAGTGGTGAAGTCAGCACTTGCTCTGTCTTTCTAGGGCCAGGAGGAGCCAGAAGAGGGCTAAGCGCAGTCTAACCTCTGTTCCCCTTGGAGAAAAGGCCCAAGAATCCAGCTGGGCCTAAGCAGCTGAGGTGCTGTTCTCCAACCAGAGACAGAGGGGAGGGTCTAAACTTGCATTTGAGTGACTGGGAAGAAGTCCCAGGAGCTCCCCTCCCTGCCTGGCACCTGCCCACAACTTGGGCTGGAGGTGCTAATTGAGGGGAGAGTTCAAATACTGTTCTAGAGCCAGTGCCGCCATTGGAATCAGTTATCGACAGCAATAAAGAGCTGGCATTTGTCGAGCATTTATGTCCAGACACTGTGCAAGGCACTTGGCATCGTTAATTTTTTTTTTTTTTTGCATCATGAACTCTTTTCATCCTCGTGACAATACTACAAAGTAGGTACTATCTACTGTACCCTCGTTGGACCATCGCGGAAACGCAGGCAAAGAAGTAACTAACCCGAGGCCACATAGTTAACAAGTGGGAGGGCCAGGACTTGACCTCAGGTCTCGCCCTGGCCCATCCTCAGGCCTCCACACGCCACTGCCTCCCTCACTTCAGTGGACTCTGGCCAAACGCCATGTCCACAGTTCAGATGAGCCAAGGTCGCCGGGTCTGCGTCAGCGGTGGAGGGGAACTGGCTCTCGGATGGCTGTGAGAGCCCGTGTCTGCATGCTTCCAACTCACACAGTGACATCCGGTCGGTAGCCTGAAACAGGAGATGGTGGGAGTATTTACACCATGCAAGTTGACAAATGCTACAAATCAGGGCCTTCTTCCTCCTGGAAACCACTGGTCTGGGTGCGCCAGGAACCTCCGAGCCCTACAGGAACTGTCAACTCGTCAAGCGGAATGGCCACAGGAATAGGCTGAACACCTCTGGACACCTCTGGCTGAGCCCAGGCCTTCTCCTCAAGGGATGCATGTCTGCCCAGGTGTCCTGGGAAAGTGCTTCTGGACCCAGGACCAGGCTGGAGAGGCAGAAAAAAACCAACTTGGTGCTTAGTCCCAGTTCCACTGATTACTAATGGTGGGAACTTAGGCAAGCAATTCAATCTCTCGTTGGTAGACTGGGGACAGAAACAGCATTGACTGCACTGGGCCTCCACAAGATCAAGTGTCACAGATGAGTCAGGACCTGGGAAACTAAAGTGGGCCAGTCACGGACTGTCTGGTCCTTTTCTAACCTGTTGGCCCTCAGCACGTTCCAGCGGCCGAAGATCGGCACACCGCCCACCCCCGCCGCCTCCAGACACTCTCGGTCCTATGAGGGAGGTGGTCAGTTAGCCCAGAAGACCCCCACTGCCCAGTGTGGTGCCACTCCTCTCCTCCCCATCTGCTGTCCAACCGGAGTCAGCTCTTAGCTACTTGGGATCCTTGACATCCCTCCTGATCACAGAAGGTCCCTCTCGAGATGGGGACAGAATGGCAGCTGCTGCAATGCTGGGCCGCTGAGCTGTCTCGGAAGTCCACGACTGTGACTCTCTCTCTCTCTCACCCCTTTCGACACTGTGCGGGTAGATAAAAAGAAACAAAGCAGGCCCAGCTTATGTATTTTGCAACAAATTTAAATAAAACAAAATAACCCACACGACTCCAGTAACCCTGTACGTGGGAGGGCCCAAATGCCCCCTGGGGTAAAATCAGGTTCCCCGGCCCAGGCCAGGGCCCCGGCCGGAACAAGGACCGCCTCGGACACCAGACCCAGGAGAACGGTTCTTGCATTCAAAACATTCTTCTTTTTCTGGGACCCGGAGGGCACGTCAAATTTGATGACGTACAAGAACGACACGACATTCAACGTGAGAGCTATTTATTACAAAAGTAAATGGCCTCTGATTCTCCGTGGAAACTTTTTTTAAAAAATATAAATTGTGGCTCAAGAAGTTGGCTGGAGGGTGGGCTGACCAACAAATGTGTTCTTCCTCCACCAGCGAGTTTGTAGGACGTGTCTATTTCTGCCAATTTGGGGTGGGGACGGGGGCTGGAGGCCACAGAGCACCACCCTCACAGCCCCTCTTCCCAGCATCTTCCAACAGGAGAACCTCAGTGCTTGGAGCTGCAGCAAACCACGTGGCCTTGTCCCCAGAGAAGGAGCTGCCAGTCTGGGCAAGGAGAGGGAGTAAGCAGACAACTGTCTTTCCCCCATCCTTGGAAAGCAGTGCAAGAGACAGAGGAACCCTTTGTCCCCAGTGTGGCCAAATTTGCATGGGAGATGGGCAGGAAGCTGCCCGAGACCCGCCTTCCACACCCACACTCAGAGTGGCTACCCCTCTGGCTCCTTCGGAACCCCTCTCTTCCCAAGAATTCCTATTAGGAAATACAAGGCACAAGGGACATCAGCCACCTCCTGGTTGTCACTGTATGCCACTGTTCTTTGCTCAGGGCCAAGCTCGGATTCCTGTGCTCTACCTCCAGGAGTGCACCAGGTGGCTGCCCCCACCCAGCTCAGAAGAAACCAACCCCACCTACAGGAAGGAGGGGAGGGCAGGGCCAGTGTGGAAGGGGTGAGCAGCGGTTTCTCCATCCCTGGTCTCCTTGGCTTCCGGACACGCAATTAAGCAAGCAGTCCAGACTCAGCACACAGGAGGCAGCGCTTCCTGCTGGGGAAGTCAGAAGGGCGGCAGCCCTGGGAGAGGGAGGTCATCAGGCCCCAGATCTAATTACCAAACGTGCCTTGCTTTTGATATTGGTGTATTTCCTCTATTAACTTTAATGATGCTCTGAACGTCCACGTATGGCCAGAAGCTTCCCTCCCCATCACCCAGTAGGAAGCACAGCCTGTCCCCAGGACCAGTTTCCAGTCTCCATGGCAACCGCCTCTGACGAAGCTCTAAAGAGCTGTGACCCTGTCAGAGTTGACAGAGGCTACAGAGGAGAGAAGATGGAGTGTGGCAGGGACTCAGCATTAACCTCGAAGCATCACGGTCCTCTGAGACCAAATAAATATGCCGTCATGCCCTGGGGGGCGGGGTGGTAGGCGGAAGGGCTGGCCTTGAGTTGGTTCTGTTGTGACCTAAGGGTTTTCTTAATCCTTTTCATCTGGGGAGGAAGTGAAAGGAACAGCTCTGAGCCTCCTGCCTGGGCTTCAGAGTGACAGGAGAGGTGTCAGTGCGCTTCTAGGTGCTTGGGGTCTTCAGGGAGAAAGAGACTAGTGAGACCATGACACAGAGGAAGGGGAATGAAGGGGAGTAAAAGGGGGTGTCGGCAGGGGAGGACTTGAAAAGTAAAAATAGGGGACACACAGTGAGTGACACTGGTGCCACACAGGCCCCTGCTCTGCCACACATCCACCTCGGCTGCCCAGCTAGGGGCCCAAGGGTGCGCCAGCCACTGGGAGAACACATCTGTCATGTCGTCACAGCCATGCTGGATACAAAAAGAAAGCGTGGGGAGTGAGAAACCACCTCTGGCACCCAGCACGCCCTTCCTCCTGCCAATCTCATCGTGTGACAGTCTCAGAGAGCGAGGAGCCAAGGGCCAACAGGGCCAGCCAAGGGCTGGTGGGTCCTCGGCTGCCTCGTGCGGGAGCCCGGTCCCCTGTGCACACTGCAGTCCGGTCACCGGCTGCCACGCAGACTTCCTGGCGGCAGCCACACGGGGACGTTGCAGTGAGGCCACCCTCCACCCCACTCGGGGCGCTCAGTGCTCGTTTGTGAGGAGGGGAGCAGCACAGCTCCGCCCACCCCACTAGCACAGCTCCGCCCACCCCACCAGCACAGCTCCGCCCACCCCAGCTGCTCCGCCCATGCTGACGGCTCAAGGCGGGGTCAGTGCCCTCAGCCCTCTTGGAGGTCCAGGGATTGCTGCTGGGCCTTACTTGCAAACCGAATTCAGTGTGAAAAAGATACCAGAAGATACAACTGTCACCTTGGACCATTTCTTAGAGTGTGTGACACTCAGCTGTCCAGTCACAGTCTATGTTCCACAGGTGTGTGGATGAATGTGCCCTCACACTCCCACCCGCTCTCTCGCACACTCATCCTTCCTCAGGCAGCGCGTGCTGGGGAAGGCATCTGAGCGGAGCTGTCCTGTCCTCGGGGGCTGAGCCAGCGCCACTGATGGAACCTGCAGGCAGAGCCGTGGCTCCCTCTAGTGCTGGGGTGAAGTCCGGGTCTGCTCCTGGAACGTGGTCCTAGCAGGCAACAGGATTCCTCGGGCAGCTCCCGCCACAGCTGGAGGGTCCGGGGCCTGGCCCCACAGCTGGCTGTCCCCCAGGAAGTTCCTGGACTGAGGCTGGAGTCCTTGCAGTGGTTTCAGAAGTCCCATGATTCCAGCCACCTCAGTCCTGCCATCGGACTTCGGGGGTCCTGGGCGAGGGGACCGACCATCCCGTAAGCGAGAGGGTGGAAGAGGTAGAAGCTGTGAGGGAGAGTCCAGAGGGAGGCAGTTGGCATTCGGGGCCTCCGCGGGGACCAGCGGCCCCCCGGGCCTTTGAGCAGCACTCCTCCTGTGGGAGCCCATGGGAGCTTCTCCACCTACCAGACCTGTTCCCTCCCATCACCCTGCCTGCCCGAGTTTGCCAGCGGCACAAGGTAGCCTGAGAGCTTAGGAGACGCCGACTTAATGACAATATGGGAGAGGGCTCTTCCCCGGAAGCCCAGAGACCAGAGCGTTTGTTAGAATGTGGAAGTGCCCTCAGGCCACAGGTCACCACCCCCTGTCCACATGGTCCTGTGGCCCCCGGCCCGACAGGACACAGACTCCCCACAGGCGGACTGCAAGGCCCCCAAGGAGGGGAGAGGCGGGTGGCTTTCCAAATAACACCCTCCTTCCGGTTATTCGGAGCCACACCACGTGCCCCTCACCCCGGGGCCCCCCCCTCCCTGACCCCACTGTGCGCTGTCCTAGGAGGGAGCCACTGTGACTGCAGCGGGGCACCCTCAGCTTGAGGTACTGAAGGAAAGAGTGCAGAGTTAGCCCCACGACTCCCATCTATCTGGCTGTGTCAGGGTCGCCCGGGGAGCTTTGAAAACTGTGGCTGATGGGGGCCCAAATGGGGCTCCCATGAGTCAGACCTCTGGAGGCGGAGGCCAGGCACCAGCACGCCTTGAGAGCACCCCAGGGTGTGCTGCAACGCACCCGGGGCTGAGGCAACAGGGCGGCAGCGGGCAGCAGCAATGCAAGGTGCAGGGGACGCTCACCTGTAGGCCGTTCCCAGGAGCAGGCTCAGGACTCCCACCACATGGATGCTGCCGGCCAGAGGAGAGGAGGCCAGGCTCCAGGCACAGAGCCGCAGGAGAGTGTCCCACAGAAGGGCTGGCGGACGGGAGAGAAACCCAGCCCCACCCGTCAGAGAGCTGCCCTCCCCGCACTGCTGCTCCAGGGGGCCTCGGCCCTCCCACCCACCCACCACCTCACCGCCCAGCCCCGGGGGAGGGGGGGGGGCGGTGCTGACCTGTCAGCATGCTGGAGAAGAGCATGGCGGGGAAGTAGTGGTGGAAGTAGAGGACCCGGCCCATCAGGAAGAACGGGAAGTAGTGGAGCACCCAGCCAAGAAGCAGCTGACCGCCTCCTCGCAGCAGCACCTGGGACAGCCCTGGTCAGAGGGGCGGAGCCCCGGTCAGCAAGCAGGGAGGGGCAGAGACCTGGGCTCGCTCTGCTCCTTCCTTGTGGGACACGAAGAGGCCACACCACCTAATGGGGCCTTCTTCCCCTCACCTGGACCAAGCCGAGCAACCCTCCAGCAGCTGGCAAAAGACAGGAGCAGCTGGCTCTCAAGAGCCCTGCTCACTACCCACCCACCCAGAGAGGCCTCAGCACCCACAGCAGGAGGCGGTGCGGCCTCCGACACGACCACAATCCCGCACGCCCTAAAGGCAGCTTCCCCGACCCTCCATCTCCCACATCTCTGCGGCCACACAGATCTCGGCAGGGCCCAGGCGAGGGCAGACAGGAGGATGGAGGAGGGACAGGAGGGAGTCTGGGATTCGGCTGCTCAGACAGGGAGCTGCAGAGGCCAAGACAGCCTGTGCGAGTGTCTCAGGTGCTGTGGTCCGTGGCCTGGCAGCTGAAGTTGCCAGGAACAGCAATAGGATGGGGACCCACAGACGGCCGTGCGGGCTCCTCTCCCCGCCACCAGAGGACAGGGCCGGGGAACAAGGAACGGGCAGAGGAGAAAAGATGGGCAGCTCTGTGCAGAGCAGAGGTTAACAGCGAACACTCCGAATGCAGGATGCCTGGGTGTGACCCTCGGTTCTAGCACTTACAAGCATGTGTCCTGGGACGAGTTTCTTAACCTCTTGTACCTTGGCTTCCTAATCCGAGGAGTGGGGGCAATAACCCCTACCCTCCAGGGGTGCTGGGAGGATGCAGTGTTTGACACAGCACCAGGCACTTGGTGACTGAGCTTTGAGAAGCAAAGGAGAAGGGAAAGTGCGGCCCCTCCACCGGCAGGCCTTCCCTTGCCTGCAGGCACCCTGCCTGCCAGGGGTCAGGTCAGGGAGGGAAAGGCGCAGGGACCTGACCTTCAACCTCCGCAGGCAGGTGCGCCCCTCTCTGCACAGCGACAGCGACGATGCTCCCTGAGAGGAGGTAGAGAGCAAGGCTCACCAGGTTCAGCCACCACACCACCTGCGTGGAGGTGAGGACAGGGTGGTGAGAGGACAGCCTTAGCTCTCCACAGGCCTGCGTGCGGGTCGGAACCAGGGCGTGCGGGCACTCACCGGGTTGCCCAGCAGATACACGCGGAAGTCCGTGTCATTGACCCCTGAGAAGCGCAGGCCCTGGGGAGCAGAGGACGGGCTGCTGATCTGGGGCCCAGCTCTTCCCAGCTGCCCTCGTTCCAGGCAGAGGGAGGCCGGTCACCTTTCACAGACAGGGAGCCTGGACAGGAGGCTCCGAGTGCACCAAGCCTGCGTGAGCTCTCCGGGAAGGCTGGGTCAGAACCAGGGCAGGACACAGAGCCCCGTCTCCGGCCACCCTGTCACCCCACCTCCTCGCCCTGTCACCCCACCTCCACCAAGTCTCAGTGGGATTTTTCTTGGCTCCAGTTCCTGGGAGGAGCTGTAGCCTGGGGCCCTACCTGGTAGTTGACAGGCCAGTGCCAGGGTTTGGACGTGAATTCATTGTCCTTGGGTTTGAGGCCACTGTTTCCCTGCAGGAAGGTGGCAAAGAACAGCTGCTCAAGACCGATGGAGGGGCTGACAGAGAAGGGCGGCACAGGTTCTCTGATAAATGGCCAGGCGTCAGGAGAAACCTCTGCTCCTTCTCTCTTGCGGGAAGGACCAGATGCCGCTCTCTGTCACTGTCCACCTGCCTACACAACGGCCTTACTCCTCCCGACAAGCAGCCGTCCACTCCCCACCTGAGAGTCCAGTCAGACCCCGTCCGCCTGAGAGAAAGAGGAATGGGGGATTTGTTTTCTGCCAGCACAGAACATATGCCCCCTTTTTCAGGCCAAGGACAGGTGCGAGAGGGTGAGGAGGAGGCATAGAAAACCAGGGCTGACTTATCTGTCCCCTCGGAAGGCCCATTACGAACACAAACCCAGGGCCACGGAGGAGTGGCCGAACTTTAGCACCATGACACTGTGATACCGTAGCCCTGCTGAAGTCTGTCTGTGCTCCATGAACACCTGAGCTTCACACATGAAGAAGGTGAGGGCCTCTGCCCCACGGAGACACAGTCCACCTGCAGGAAGGGCTGTCACTCCGGTTGAGAGTGCGCGCTTGGCCTGAGGGACCCACACTTAGTGCCTTCAGTCCAGCCGCCAAGAACAGCTAACGGCCTGTGTCCACACGGCAAACCCAGACGGAAGAGGGTCAGGATCCTGACCCCCAGGACTGGCACCCACCTCGTCGTCAGGATACACCGAGAGGCGTTTCCCCGAGGAGGAGTGAGGCGCTGCGAGTCGGGTCGGGGTTTCTCGGCCTCAGCCGCACTGCCGTGTGGGGCTGCAGAAGCCTTTGGTGCAGGGCTGCCCTGCGCCGGGTAGGAGGGTTAGCATCCCTGGCCTCAGCCCACTGGATGCCAGAAGCAGCCCTGCCCCTCGGCTATGCCAACCAAAAACGTCTCGAGGCATTGCCAAATATCCCCTGGGAGGCAAAATCACCCTCTGTGGAGAACCACCAGTCTGGCCCAGGACAGGTCCAGGCCCTGGCTGGTGTGGCTCAGTGGGCTGGGTGCCAGCCTGCAAACTGAAATGTCCCCAGTTCGATTCCCGGTCAGGGCACACGCCTGGGCTGCAGGCCAGGTCTCTGGAGGGGGGCATGTCAGAGGCAACCAGTCGATGTCTTTCACCTCAGTCATCCCTCTCCTTCTCTCTCCCTTCTCCTGTCTGTAAAAAGTAAATAAAATCTTTTTTTAAAAGAAGAAAGATCCAGAGGGTCTGGTTCAGCGAACCACCACTCAGGGCCTCACTAATCCGACCACCGGAGAGGCTGGGAGTCCCTTGCAGGCCCCCACACAGTAGCCGTGCTGCTCTCCCAGGGACAAAGTGCCACTGGGTGGGGGTCAGACCCAAAGGGGCCCCGAACCACTGTGGCCGTCGGAAAGGCCCCAGAGTGAAGAATGAGTCGCTCTGGACCCCTGAGCACCAGCTGAGGGGAATCGACTCCTTCAAATCAGTACCGTTCAGTCCGAAACTCGGGGACCCCAGCCAGAGCTATAGTGAGCCACGGGCACCCGACTCACTACATTGCACGCTGAGAAAGCCAGCTCCCTTGCTAAACCAAGACACGGAAGGAAGGAAAAATCTGTGACGGTTACAGGCACGTGCATTTGCACACCGTTCTCTACACCAGCGCCTGCAGTGGGCCTGTCCCGCTGACCGGCCAGGCCTTCTCCGCCCACACCTCCGGCCCTCCACTCGGCTGGCGGGAAACCGCTCCGCCCTGCAGCTCCCGCCGTCTGGACCATTTTGATCTCTCTGCCCACCCCAGCTCCACATCAGTTGAGTAAGGAAGGTCCCCTGTGTCCCTTTTCTTCTGGGACTCTGCCTCTTCGATAATGAAATCAATGTCCCCTTCCTTGTTGGACTCTACAATGGAAGAACGAATGAGACTGTTTAGGCTTAGTATTAAAATTCTACCCAGACCTGGAGTGATACTTTGACTGACAGGCACACATTCAAAGGAGCTGCGTCATCAGGCCACAGTGACAGCTACAAGCAGGAAGTCAGAGAAGACGTGACCCAGAGATGGCTTGCTGTCAACTCATCACCTCCCAGTGTGCAGAAATGACAAAAGTTGAATTTTTAAATCTAATCTGGTGATTGAAGTCGACTGTATTCACTGTCATTGCTTACACAAGCACTTCCAGAAAAGTCTACTCCACAACGGCCTACCAGAGGGAAAAGAACAGCTGCCACGGGGGGTGGGATTCAGTGACTCCAAACGCGTCCCCCCCGAATGCCGGCTTGGCTTTCCCTCACCTGGTAAAGGGGCTTCCCCCAGCAGCCCCTGCAGCAGGGTGGGTCCCACGTACTGGGGAAAGCGAAGCTAGTGGGTAAAACTCCTCAATGTATCGATTTCCCCCCTTAAATGTTCTCAGACCTTTGACTCCGAAGCTGCGGTCAGCTACTAAAGATACCGAGCACAAACAATGGGTCTCAGAAAACCCTAAGACAATCAGCCACGCCCCTAAATGGCCTACCTCTGCCTGGGAACATGAGGGGCTCATGGTTAGGGTTTTACACTGCATGTAAATGACACACTCAAATTAGCTATTCATCCTAATTGCTCAAAATTTCATAGGATGGAAGGAACTACCAGTGTCTTGGAATCTTCACCCAAGGACGCTCTGATTCACACGCTCGGCCCCTTGCACAGATCTGAGCACCCCCGAGGGCGGAGGACCGTGTCAGTCACTCTCGCTGCCCCTGCCAGCCTGCCAGCCTGGGCCCACCTCCGACACTCAGCCCGGGGACTCTAGGCAAGGCCTTCAAGGGCTTAGAGTAGTGCCCGGCACCTGGGGGCTACACAAGTTTTCACCGGTATCGTCACTGTTGTCATCACCATCATCACCGTCTTCAGCACCATCAGCGTCCTGTGACAGCTGGCAATGCCTCTGAAGGCCGACTACACCAGCACTCGCAGGGGAGCCACCAGGCAGGGGCTGGGGGCACCGTACCCGAAGCATCACCATGTGGGACTCCAGCAAGACCTCGGGGAAGCTGGGCTGCAGCACGTCCAGGCTGATGTTTGGCACTAGAAGGACAGAGAAGACAAGCTGTGTCGCACGGTCCCTCTCGCGGCTGCGCGTGGCGCCCACACGGCTGCTGAGCCTGAGCGCCGCAGCTTTCCCGACAGGCTGACTGCGCGTAGGAGGAGGTGCCAAGGACAGGGAGGAAAGCCTGGCCCCATGCTCGACTGTTCATTCGGCTTGTACCGAGCACCATCAGGCATCCTGGGAAATACAAAGGCAAGCGGCGACAGGCCCGTCCCGGGAGCTCTGTGGCTCTCGGCACAGCGGCCCCTCACTTCAGTGCTGCGGCCAATGCTGTCCCCCCACCCCCACCCCCGCCACTCGGCCAGAAGCTGTGAGGACAGGGGCCAGTCCACCTCATTCCCTGGTGTTCCCGTGGGCTCCACATGGTCCGATCGTACTCAGCAAAGGGTGGTTGAGTTAATTAATTAGCCGGTTGGTTAAATTAGGTGGTAAAAGGAATGAAACAGGAAGCCTGGAGAGAAGAAATCGAGCAGAAGCAAGGAGTGGGCAATCTAACAGCCCAGAGGATGAATCCAACAGTCATGGGGCGGGAGAGGGCACCGCAGTGGAAAGGTCGACCTGCAGCCCGGGAGCAGAGCTATGGGCTCGGACCCAGGGCTGAGGCTGGCACTTTCTGCAAACATGTTGGCTGGATGTGGGGAGGGCAGGCGCTCTCCTCAGGGGATGGAGGGGAAGCCCCAGCCTGCACCAAGTCCCGGGGATGGGGGAGTGCCCACGGTGCAGGATTCAGAAGGGCTCAGGAGGAGACGAGACACAGGGACCGGCAACACGGGCGCCATGGAGAAGAGAACAATCCAGCAAAAGGCAAGGAAAGTGAGAAGAGGCGGCGAGCTCTGGCCTCCAGTCCCTGGTCATTTCAAGGAGCCGAAGTTTAAGTGACCGGGAAGGAAAAGGAGCTCCCTCTCTAGACAGCTCGTATGAAGAGGTGAGATTTAAAAAGAAAGTGGAAACAATGAGGTAAAGTGGCAGCAGCATCTATAACGGCTTCTCATTCTAAGGTCAGAGCTGGCCCGGGAAGTGCCCTCACTCACGTTTGGGATTGATGTGGTCCTCCACGTTCCAGACAGAGCTGAGGGTTTCCTTCAGGTACGGGTTGCAAGTGACTTCCACCTGCTCCCAGCCCCTGTGAAGACAGGCAGTCACAGAAGACCCGCCACTCACCAGCACGAAGGGCCACCACCTGCCCTTTCTCCACGGCACCCCTCTCTCTTCAAAGCAGTGGCCATGCCTTTTGCACCCCTGCACTAGGTGTGTTCTGGCCTACAAAATCCCCATTTTAGACAGATCTCGAGATCCAGGCAGCTGTCACAAGCCACACGTACAAATGTTCAAATGTCCACACACATAAAACACCGAAGGAAATCCGGACTCTGCTCTGTGACACACCTGATGCCTTTTCTCCCTCCACCTCCCACTAGTAATAAGCAAACATGAGACGATGGGTGAGCAGAAGCTTCTGGGCCACTTGCCGTGCGAAAGGAAAAGCACGCGCCTCGGTTGGCCCACCAACGCCCCAGAGACTCACCACTTGGGCAGAGCCTTTCCCGAGGAGCCCAGGACACAGCCTGTGACCAGGTGAACGAAGCGAATGCGGCTTCTCAGCACTTTGACCCGGTTCCCATGTTTTCTGTTTATCACCTCGATCCGCCAGAAGTCATTCGAGTCCCCTGTCCCATTCTGCCAGATAAATCAAGAAAAAAAGTACCAAGAAAGTAAGATGACTTTAGAGAGGACATTTCAGATGCCACCATGTCACAACGGTGGAAGACCGAATTGCCCACAATGACCAAGGCAGGAAAGGAGATGCGAGGGCCACAGAAATACCCCAAGTGACGGACGCTGCTCCACTCACTGCCACTGCCAAGGATGTGGCCCAACCCCTGGACTGGAAGTCCAACCCTTCACTGCACAGGACAAGCGTCTAAGTTCTAAATAGATGTTTCTGCCCTTAAACCAAACTCAAGGCATCCCCCTGAGCCAACACGAGTGCATTTGGGCCGTTTGCCTCCATTACCCTGGCCGTCTGGGCGCTCACTCATCTAAGCCAGAAGGGTCTGGCCTGGGCGTTGCACTTTGGAAATTAAGGCAATTGTGTCTCATTCTCCCCAGCAGAGGCCCACAAGGTGAAGTTCAGAGTCTTGGCTGTAGCATCCACTGGGATGAGCAAATAGAGAGGATTCAAGTCCACTTTATAAAACCCAGAACTTACACTGATGCACCAAAGCCCCGGAGGGAACGTAACTCAGAGTCGTAAGTCTAGTTACGCACTGGCTGTTTCTGTTTTCAAATTACTCCCTGAGCCCTAAGTACTCACTGAGCTTCCTCTGTGAACTGCAGCCCCTCAAGGTGGTAAAAATCCAAAAGCAATGTGGTTAATATCCCTCTGCAGAGCAGGGAAGTAATCCTTCAAAATAAGGCAAACAGGACTTTGGGACCCGGCAAAGGGTAAACTTCCATAGTCGCCTGGGGTCCCACTGTGGGTCTGTGGCTTCAATGTACAATGTGATTTAAAAGGGGCCCAAACAGTACTCACATCTGACATTTATTAAGTGTAAGCACATAAAATCGGCATGGTTACTATGGGAGGAGAAACAAACAGACTTCACGGGCCCCTTTCCCCACAGCAAGCCTAGCCAAAGGCCCCCAGACCGGCAGAGAGCCCCCGAGCAGCCCGCCATCCTTAGGGACATGCTGGGGTCCTGGGAGGCTGCGTCCGCCGTGTGGCCCGGAGCCAGGCCCACCGTTTTTCACATCCTGCTCACGCTGCTGTCGCTCACTTACTATGCCATAGCCAGTGACTTGATAGTGCTTCCGGGTCAGGGGGGCCTCATGATAGTGACTGTGCAGGTTCCGAGAAGTCCTGGAAGTTGAAAGAGAGAAGTGCTGTCACCTTGAAGAAAGGGATGTGCAACGTTTCTTCTTCAACCAAGGTGATTCAAGACTCACCTGTTAGTATGACCCAAAAAAAGGAATCTGAATATTAAATTCAACATGACAGGAACTTCTTGCCTACTTGCCGTACTCACAAGAAACATCCAGAGAACTGGAGAACTGCCCAGACCGGGAGGGACAAATGGAAGGTGTACCGGACTGCATGACGACAGAGGGGCTAACCTCAGGGGGGAGCGTGGGGGTGGCGGAACGGCAGCAGCTCGGTGGCTTTGAAGCCCTTAGCTTGCAGGTGTGGGGAGAGGAAAATGAAAATCTGTCACCCGCACGTGCCCGACACAGCAGACCTCCGCCCTCCCGCCTGCTCTTTCTGCTCCCATCGCCAGCTTTACAAAGGGGGGCTCTGGGGAAAAGTGGGGGTTTGATTTAGCTTTTATTCACTTTGTGCTTACTTTAATTCATAATAAGAAACAAATGTTCATTATAAAAGTTTTAGAAATTGTCAAAAATTTAATGCTTTAATTTATTAATAAAATGAAAAAAATTAATAATATAATTAAAAGTTTAAGTATCCATAATCATAATGACCAGGAAAAAACACTCTCATAGCTTTTCTATCATATAATCCCTGATTTTTAAAAGTATCTGATAATTCTAGTACGCACACAAAAAATGTTTTTTTAATCCTCACTTGAGGATACGTTCATTGATTTTTTGAGGGAGAGGAAGGGAGGGAGAGAGAGAAACATTGATCATGTGCCTCCCACATGGCCCTGACTGGGGATCAAACCCACAGCCTAGGTATGTGCCCTGACCGGGGATGGAACCCACAACCTTTTTGGTGCACGGGAGGATGATGCTCTAACCAACTGAGCCACCCAGCCAGGGACAGTACATGAAACTTTTGAGAGCTGCTTCTGCTAACTACTCTTCTTATTGATTCTCGCATGTGGTGTCCTATTTCCTTGTGTGTTTAATTATTTTTTACTGTGTACTACTATTCACTGTCACTGAAAAGCTTTTTACGGGAAGCGATGACAATGTCTTTCCCAAAAGAAGACTTACCTTTGCTTTTAGACAGACAGCCAGGAGACACTACCGAGACACCATCCTGTTTGTTTAAACTCCTGGCTTAAAGGTTTTGAGACCATCTGGGTGAAATGAATTTGGGCTGCAAATCCTCATGAAGATCAACCAACTGGTAGTTACATCGTCCTGGGAACCAGGGGCAGTGCCTCCCAGCCCCGCTGCCCCCAAGCCCTGCCCAGCACTCCGCTCAGCACCAAAGTAAGTTTTTCTTTTTTTTTTAAAATGCACTTCCTCTTTTTTCAATATTTATTTATTTATTTATTTATTTATTTATTTATTTTATAGTGAGGGGAAGAAAAGGAGAAAGAGTGGGAGAGAAACATTACTGTGTGGTTGCCTCTCATGTGTCCCCCACTGAGGACCTGGCCTGCAACCCAGGCATGTGCCCTGACTAGGAATTGAACTGGTGACCCTTTGCTTCACAGGCCTGTGCTCAATCCACTGAGCTACACCAGCCAGGGCCAAAGTAACTTTTTCATTCATGGACAGGGCAGATTTACCCTTAATCTAACCTTTCTGGGGCTCCCAATTTGGGGGATCAGTTAATGAATTTACCACTTTCGGGGAACCCAGGACTTAGACTTTAAACTTCATCTCTCAAGAGGCAGTCAAAATCAAGAGTGGAAACTCCAGACTGGGGGGTCACACACGGTGCCCCCTTACTGCCCTGGGTCCCTCTTTCACTTAGATTCTGGCCTGGTGACTCCTTACTATCCTGTCAGCTCTTTGGTGCTCTTTAGAAGATGCTTTTACATTATTCTAGTTTTGTATTTATATTCCACTTTTTATATTAGTCATTGTCAATGAAAACATTAGTTAAATAAACTAGCTTGCCATATTCTTGGAAAAAAAACTCATATCTTTCTAAAGGTGGCCACTGAAGAAGCAGTTTTAGGCAACTGAAATTTTCTTTTTATCCTCTAAGAAAGATACCTTCAAACGTCAAAGCTTCCCAAAGCCAAAACAGGCAAGCAAAGACTGGTCAGCTTATCTTGTCAATCTTTGCAAAAACGGCACTGCGATCCCAGCACGCAGCGTGGTTCCACGGATACAGCCTCAGCCACATCTGACTTTTGTTTATTTCCAGCCTAAAAACACTCCCTACCTTCGGGGCCCATCCCATTTACCCCAAATAGCAAATTGCTTACTCTTTATGCTCTAGTCGAATGACATCTCCATGTCGTACGAACTCCACTGGGAACGAAGGGTCTAGGTGATCTGCCAAGAAGAAACAAGCTCTGATACCAAAACCACCTGCTCGTTAGGCCGCTGTGAACTGAGTCACAGTCGGTGGCAAGTGCCAGAGGTACCATCAGAGCCGTGAGACCAGAGAGAAAGGTCCCCGACTCTTTCAGAGGACTAGAGAGGGGTGTCCCCAGATAATGCTTGAAAAGACTCTTAACGGAGAGGGAGAGTTTTGCCGGATGCACAAGTCGGGGACCATCTCTTTGATGGTTCATACAGTGAAGGTGGGTGGGCGTAGGCACGAAGAAGAGGGGGAGCACGTGATCCCATGAACGACCGGGGCCAGACTGCGCCTGCCAGGCTGGAAGCTGCAGCCTCGGCTGACGGGCACCGACGCCCCCGCTGGGAGGGTTTTTGGCTGGGCAGCCAAGCAGTACTAAGATTTTCCTTTTAGTAGTAAAAGCCAGTCTTCCAAAAATTAATTTCACGCAAATCACCATCTTCCCTGCTCTCCTCAAAATCGAATGTTAAACTCTGCAAACTGTGCCAATGATTATCTTGTTCCTGGCACTGCGCTTGCAAAGAGTGAGGCAAAGAAAATGAGGAAATGATGAAAAAGAGGGAGGCCAGCGAAACTTGAACAACGCAGGTTTAAACTGCACAGGTCCACTTACGGGCTTTTCAGTAAATGCAGCAACTGTATTGTCTCCTCTTTAGGACTCTACTTCATAACATTTTCTCTTCTCTGGCTTACTTTACTCTAAGAATATAGCACACGATACATATAACATAGAACATATGTGCTAACCGACTGCCAATGCTGTCTGTCAGCAAGGCTTCTAGTCAACAGTAGGCTATTGGTAGTTAAGTTTTGGGGAGTCAGAAGCTACACGTGGATTTCCGACTCTGCAGGAGGCCAGCGCCCCAACCCTTGCGTTGTTCAGGAGTCAACTGTATTCTGTAGCATCCAGAAGTCAAAGCTGATCAGGATCTAGAAAGGCTATGATGATGGAAAAGGAATTGACAGTAACCACAGCGACATAGAAGAATCCTTGCAAATTTCTGTCCCCAACAGTGAGACACTTACACTCACCGTCAGGAAGACAAATTCACCAGCACAGATCACTGGCTCTCAAGAGAGTGAGAAGACTCAACCAGAGAGATGCCCACTCCTTTTAAGGTCTCTTTAAAGGATGAATCAGTAAGGTGACTGGTCAAAAAAGTCAATGGGGAGGAAAGTTTTACTTCATACAAAATTTGAGGGGGGGATATTTATAGCCATCACCTCAGTCCACACAGCCCCCACTTCCCAAGTGCCGGTAGCCGTCTGCCTTCACACAAACCCTTAGTTGCTTGGGTGAAATGCGACTACTTTAACCGAGAAGCCACAGTGGAATAGCAGACCAGGGATCTTCAAAGATTTGGCGTGTACCCACGTTTTAAAGTAAAGCTGGCCTTCCCTCGTAACTCCTCCTCCTCCCAAGACCATTTAAGTTTGGCCTGTGGAATCAAAACTCAGCCAATGCCAGTATTAAAAAGGCATAGACAGAGACCCTGCCCAGGAGTGTCCTACTTTATATTACTGAGGAGTGGTATGCAAGGACAGTGACTGTGTAGGGCCACATTCCTAATCCAAAAACCACGGCAAGAAGAGGAGGTGCGGAAATGAACGAAGAAGGTGAATTGAGATGAACGTCTAGACGCTCATTCCCCACGAGTGCTCAGGAGGAGCTGACTCCAGACAGGCTGAGCCTGGTGGGGGGTTGCTGAGGGGTCACGGGGAACACTGCAGGCACAGAAGCACCTGCAGGGGCTCAGAGGTGAGTGGGCGATGCCCTCTGCTCTCTCACTGCTGCGGCAGAAGCACAACCTGCAGGAGCTCGCTGTCTGACCGGAAGGAGGAACATCCAGACAAGGTCCACGTCACAAAGTGCTGAGAGCCTGACAACATGCCTCAGAGCAGCCTGGCCCGGGCCGGGCAGAGGCAGATTAGCAGCAGGCTCTGAGTGAGGAGCCGGCACTGGCCTGGCGGGCTGTCAGACCTCTGGCTGGCCCAGTCCAGGGATGACCAGCAGGCAGCTGCACTCTGTCAAATCAACACACCCTGAGCTGCACCACACACCAGGGTCTGCAATGCCTGGCGTGTCCTAAATTAGAAATGAGAGCGGCCACCCTGTGCCCCAGCTGGGGCCATTCACCAGCCCCTGGTGGCATGCCCGGGTGGTCCTCTGGATGCAGTCTGAGCCTTGGCCCCGCACTCTGGCTTCGAAGTGACAGATCTCATCTTGTCTTGCTCAGGGCTAATCCCCTCGGCTGATAAGAGCACTCCAGCCACAGTAGGAGCTCGATAAATAACAGTTAAAGGGTAACTGAGACAGGGAAGAAAGACGTTGTCAAGAATGCTCAGGAAAACCCACCTCTATACCCTTCTTTTGGAGGCCTGAGAAATGTCAGGGAGGGCTCAGAGTAGGTAGTAACAAGATGCACCAGTTCCCTGCCACATTACCTGAGTTTGTATCATGTTTCTTGACAATCCACAGGTTGTTGTAGTCCTTGTGCAAATAGGTGGTGACCTGGGGGAGGTGGAGGGGGTGGGAAGGAGAACACTGTCACTGTCAGCACGACCAGCCCAGGACAAGCACACCAGCCCAACAGCAAACCTGCACGGCTTCAGCCTCCCGGAAACCCCAGCCACTAACCCGAGGGGCCGAGTTTCCCAGCAGGACTCAGAAGCAGCACTGGCGAGTGGGGTTCTCTCCTTCCTTCTGCATTTAGGGGACTTTTCCCACTAGAGTCTCTTGATTTGTCTCTCTCCGGTCCCCTGCACCTTGTCTTTCAAGTGCCAGCCTCTCAGAAGGCAGAACCACAATCCCTTTCAAAACAGTCTCGGTGCACAAAGAGGATTTAGTGCACACCTCAAACTCTCTAAATGAAAAACTTCTTGTATTACAGTTTCTAGAAAGTGGCCAAAGGACACCACAAAGCTCCATAAATATCTCAGCCTAGAAGCCTGCAGTTTTAGCCCACGGGCATTTTGTGTACACTGACTTTACACACATGCATATGTGTGTACACCCACATGCCATGCTGTGATTGGTCTAACCCAAAAGTCTGGAAAGAGTCTAAATGTCTAATGGTGGAGGAGCAGTGAACAGGATGCTATGTGCACAGGACAGAATGTCACACAGCCACAGCAAAGGCTGTGAGAACAGCAGTTTTCACCGGCACAGGAAAAGGCCTCTAAGATGCGATGCTGCGAACGGCGGCCACTTGCCCCCTGGCACTGCTCTGGGCGCTGGGCAAGACGACCTCCACTGCGGGTGCTGTGCTGCCGCACGGTGTTCCCCGCCTCACCTCCAGGGAATCTGAGGTCAAGCAATTTTTTCAAGGTCACACAGCTTATCAGCTGGCCGAGTGAGGATTCAAACCAAGGCAGCTAACTCCACGGCTCCCCAGAGAGACAACACATAGACAATCGGGCCGATGGTGTAAACAAGAGCGCAAACTCCCAGAAACACCAGAAATACAGGCATTCACATACAACATAAATTTTTACAACCCCACTGCACAAAACATGACTGATCTACTTGCAAAGAGATCTGGAATTAGCATTTAGGAAAATAACTATGCTTGGACTGTGGCTGATGTCAGGGCTCTGCTTTCTCAGAAAAAAATTAGGGACAATGGTATTAAGAAGAGCCAAGAAGCCACAGGTTCTGGTAACCCACACTCCTGAACAGGAGCTGTGTACAGCCCACCCTGCCTGGATTTGCTCGAGGTGGTCAAGGTTTTGTGGTGCTCACGTGTGCACTCTGTGTGTGTATGTATGGTGCTCACATGTGCACTCTGTGTGTAAACATGGTGCTCACATGTGCACTCTGCGTGTAAATATGGTGCTCACGTGTGCACTCTGTGTGTGGCGCTCACATGTGCACTCTGTGTGTGTTTTACTCATCAGCCTCTCCTAGTGCTACTCTGAGCACCTGTAACACCACCTTCCACGTTGCTGTTCCCCGTGGTTCCTTCGCCGGCCCTTCTCGCTCTTCGCACCCTTGCTGTGCAATGTCACCTATTCCGCTGCGTCCCTAATGCCCATTTGCTACACGCTCAGATCTCCCTCCTGTGACAAGTCTGCATCCAAAACACACAAAGGAAACTCCCCCACCTCCCAAGTCACTCTACCTCCTTCGTTTCTGACCGGTGACCCGGAGTTACCACACGCACGCCTGGACCTCCAACCACAGACGTGGACACAGCTCAACTCTGGCACCCACTGGTCACTGGGCCCTGACATTCACCCAGGGAAGCATTTCCGGAATCCGTTCCCGCCTCAGTCCTCCAATCACCACCCCTTGTCATGATTATTGCCTCCTAACTGGCTCCTCACCTCCAGCCTGCACCCCCTTCAATCCATCACAGCCTTGCTGGAGTTACCTTTCTACATGAGAGATCTAATCACATCTTGTCATCCACTAATAACTTCTGGTGCCTCCCCTGTGTCCACAGAGCAAAGTCAGATCTACGGTAACACACCAGGCCTCCCGCAGTCTGACCCCACCAAGCTCTCCCCCGTCCTGCTTCTCCCTCCCAGGCACGGCCCACCACAGCCACACCCCCGCTCCTCACAAGGACATGGGCACAGCATGGCTCACGCATCCAGACAATGCTCGTGCACCTTCCAGTGCACACTCTGTGCAGCCTGTGATGGACAGAAGTACTACCTCTTCTCCCCAGTTGAAAGACGAGGATACAGAAAGGTTAAGGAGTTTGTTCAAAGTCCTATTTAGTGGAACCAGGACTGAAACCCAGAGAATCTAGTCTGGTTCCTAGGTCTGTGTTTATAACCGCCACCGTTCACTCACCATCTACTCCGTGCCGGGCACTTGAGGAGCTAACAACCAAGGAACAAAGAGAGAGGAGGAAGGCAGCCCTCACAACCCAATGTGCAAAGGGCTACTCCGCGGGCCTGTAAAGGGTGCCAGAGGCACCTGGCCCAGTGCCAGGTAGAAGTGGGTCATGGCGGTCAGAGGGGTGCACTTCAGCTGATACCTAGAGAAGCTAGGGTTAACCAGAGGGAAGAGGAGAGGGTGCAGGAGCAGGAAGGATGTTTCAAGCTGGGGAAACAGCAGGCAAAGGGCCAGAGATGAAAAAGGGAACAGCTGGTTCAGTCCCACAAACAGTGGGGTGTTGCTGCAATACAGGTGCACCAAGGCTCGCTGACCTGCTGCTGGCGGGCGCCAACGCCCTCAGGATACAGGTGCCTGTGGGAGTGGAGATAGCCGATGGCCATCTGCAGGTTCTTCACGGTGATCACAGAACCGTAGGCCAGGTCTAGGAGGAAGGAAGACAGGGCAGGGTGTGAGCAGACGCAGTGGGAGAAGCCTCCCCAGCCCCAGGGCTCACCCGCCCTCTCGCAGACCCCGCTGGGCCCGGGGCTGCCTGAGCAGGTGCACGGCCGCCTTGGGACAGAGTTCACTGCAGGGCGCTCTCCCCTCCCTCCCACTTCAGAAGAAGCTGGGTAGTGGCAATGTTATCAAAGCACTATGTCTAATAGCAAAAGATTAGAAACAACTTGTCCTTCAGGCAAGGCCTGGACATACATCCAATGGAATACAGGAAGAAGCATTTTACGTCTTTATCTGGAATGTTCTCCAAGATCAATGTTATAATAGACTGTTAGGACAGACTTTAGTGCTTTTGACTCTCGTACCATATGAAGCAACTGTTTTATGGTATTTGGGTACTTTTTTATTCTTAATTAAAAGAAAAAAAAAACCAGAGTAAACCCCAGCACATCCCCTCCCTGCAGGCCTGCGGTTACTGAGAAGCCCCATCTCCTTTTTACTGCCCCTCTTCTCTCGGCTCCACCCCCCCCACCGCCCTGCCTCGCCCCACCCGCTGGAACAGGGCTCACTCCACCAGCGAGGACCCACTCCCGCCTTCCTCTGTTCGCGCAGCTGGTCAAACACTGCGCCACATACACAGTGGGGCCCAAGGTGGACGCTTCATGCACTGACGGGCACAGACAGTTGGCAAAGGTGTAATGTGTGACATGGTGGGAGCCCAGAGCAGGATGGGGTGAATTCCTGCCCGAGGAATGAGAGCGCAGCTGATGGAATAGATCACAGCTGAGCGGGGCTTTTTAAATGACAAACAGGACTCTGCTGACGCCCACAGCTCCTCTTCCCAGTGCTCAGCACGTGCAGCCCGGGCCACGGCCGACCACTTTGCTTTCAGAAACGCTCTCTGTCCCTCCCCCTCACCCCCACGCTCCCTCAGGAACAGCTCCTCCGCAGCCTCCTTCCCTAGTTCCCTTTCCCCTGCAACCCCAATAACCTGGCCTCAGCCTTGTCCTCTTCCTCCTCCTTATGGGCTACAACCACGGCCACGGCATCACTCATGCTTTCACTTGGCTGATTCCTCCTTTGAAAGCTCCAGCCCCAAGCCCGCTGGCCCCATTGCATGGATTTCCCCAAGCATCTGGAAGGCAACCTCTCTAACGTAGAACTCAAAATCTACCTTTACAAACGAACTTTTTTGCCTGCTTTCCTATTTCTCACTCCGTTCTCCATCTTAGAGGGTTCACTGTGTTCTCAGCACTGTGCAAGGCTCCAGGGAGACTAAAAGACGCAGTCCTTGCCACCAGGAAACAACCACCTGGGCTCAGGACCTCAGTACATCTTCGTCCTCCCTTCCTATGTCCAGCCCCCCTCATGTCTGTCCTCTTGCCTTGCCTCTGTGGCTGCTACTGCCACACCCAGCTCAGTGCCCGCACGGCTTTCCAGAGGCGACCTGCCCCAACCCCCTCCTCTCCCCTGCCACCCTGTCCTCTGCCACCAGTGCCACCTCCCCACGGCACAGCCTACCTGGCCTCCTCCCTGAGAAACACCTCCACCGAGTCACCAGCACCGGTGTAATGAAGCCAAACACCTCACCCAGGCAAATCCTCATAATGTGGACCCACCTACCTTTTCAACCTTGTCTTCTAGTACTTTTCTGCATACAGTCTGTGCCTTGAGCTTTGCCCTGTCCTTGGCCTTGATCACGCTGTCCCTTCTGCCCGACTGCCCTCTCCTCCCTCTCCATCTGCGAAATCCACCCATTCTTCCGGGGCCTGACTCCGAGGCACCTCACTCTGTGCACCTCCGATCCCCTCCAACCCCAGCAGGTTCTCTCTCTCGCCCATCAATCCCCACTGCTCTGAGTTCCCTCTTTACACACTTGATGCAGAGAACCCCATGGAGCATCGTGTAGAGACACTCCACACCGGGCTCTGCACTCTGGAGGGCATCCATCTACCACCACCTATGCGGCCGACGCTCAGTTACTATCTGTGAATGAGGCGAGCATGGGAGTCACAGAAGAGCGTGGCAGAAACTGGCCAGTGGTCCTGAAAGTCCCGTTCCCTCATCAGACTCTCTCAGTCTGGCCTCCCAGCGCCGACCTTGACGCTTTCCTTGACCTTGACGCTTGACTTTGACCTTGACCTTGACGCTTGAAGCCACAAGAAGCTTCTCCTTAGGTTTGCTGCTCAGCACGGCCACCTCTGCACTTCTTGGGAACCGACTCACTGTCTTGCGTTCTGGACTAGAAATACCGATCTCTCTCCCACTCTGCCATCTACAGGCTAAAGTAGCAACTGCCATACTCCCCTTTTCTAATCCAACTCCCAGAAGGCCCTCTGCCCTTCGCAAAGGCCGGCAGACACTCACACTCGGGGATGGAAGCGTTGTGAAGGCTGTTTCCTGAAAGCCGGGACTGGAAGGCAGAGCTGAAGAAGCCGTCGCCAGGACCGCTGTGGGAGGGCAGGGGCAGAGAGAGAGCCGCGTCAGCTGGGGCAGCCCCATCATCGACACCTGCTCGGCTGGTTTAAAGTACAGCCAGTGTGGCAGTGGGGCGTCGAGACGGACGAGGCCAAGGGCACAGGGGAAACAGCTCTGAGTCCCGAGTTCCTAGCCAGGTGACCTTCGGCAGATACCTGACTTTGCTTAGCCTCAGGTCCCTATTTATAAATTGGGGACTTTAAAAAAAATCTGAAGAAGCACGCAGTGGTTCTGGTTAAAGAGACTGCGGACTCAAAACGCTGCGCGGAGTTCCGCACCCTCAGCAGCCGCTCCTCACACCGGAGCTGCTGCCGGCGTTGTTGCGTTGTTGCTGTCTTCGCCCCAACCGCGCACGCTTATGGTGGCCCGTCCTTGTCAAGCACCAGGGGCTTTGTTTAGGGATAAGGGGCTTTTGGCTGTGGGGAAATTCTTTACTAAGTGTGTTGGCCCCTCTGAGCATTTTGGACACCCAGAAGATAGGCCGCAGGAGAACATGAACAGGGAAACACCCTGTCCCCCCCACCATCATCCCAACCACAGACTCAGGAAATCACACGCCCGTCCGTGGGCTTGGTGGCACAAGGGAGCCCCGAGCGCAAGGCCGGACAGGCTCCGGGTTACCTCTTACTCAGCACCAGGAGGTGAGCGGCGAACACGGCCGTGTAGAGACCCAGCGGCAGCAGGACCAGGCACAGGGCGCGAGCTGCCAGGTGCTTCCCCACGGTCACCTGCAAACAGAGCCAGTGCGGGGGGCTGGGCACGTGGGCCTTTGTCCTTCCTCACAGCTTGTATGTGCGTCACACATAACTTGGGGACTTAAGTTATCTGTACGTCATCTGTCGATATCTATAGGTCACAATCGTGAAAAAACCAACAACGAGTGGCCGTAAAGAAAGGACACGTGGCGCCCCGAAGCCTTCCCACAGCACCCCACCACTGCCGCAACGCGGGGGGCTGCACCCGAGCCAACCCTCTCCTGCCTGTCCGGGCCCTCACTCGGACCCCAGACTGTCACTGCGCCACCAACAAAGCGCTGCCCATATCGCCAGCATCCTCACACATCCGTCTCCTCGACATCCCTGTCGCTGCCTGGCCCCTCGCACTTTCCCACCTTCCTGTTCCGTGTCAGCCCGACCATCACAGGGCTGACTGCTCCTTATTTTAACGTCGGGCTGCAGCTTCTTCCCAGAAGCCCTCTGGCATCACCTGGGACTGGGTTCGTGCCCTCCTCTGTGCTCTCGCAGAACTTGCTGACTGCACTGTAGCCACCTGATTACTTACTTCTCACTCTCCATGGCCACAGGGCAGGGACCTTTGTTTTATTCCCCTGCGTATCATGCCTCCCACTGAGTGGACAGCCTGTCTGTATTTCCTGAGGGAATAAATGAGCTTGTTGGGTTCAGAGGCGATGGAGAAGCGTTACCGTGAAACAGCTCAGGCCTGGAGTCCGCCTCCCCTCAGTCTGAGCCCTACCTCTGCCTCTTGCTACCAGGATGGCCTGGGGCACATTACTACCTCTCTAGGCCTCGAGTTCCTCGTTCGTAAAGAGAGGGTAATAACTACCTACCACACAAGGCCGTTGTGGAAAGAAAATGACGTAACAAAGGCAAAGCCTTTTGCATACTGCCTGGCGCAGAATCAGCCCTTAGTAGATTATACTGTAATAAGCCCTAAAGGCCCTTCCTGGCTTCCACATCCAGAAATCCAGGGTCAGGAAAAGAAACCCGGGAATTGGGAAAGGCACCCTCACCACCTTCCCTGAGGCCCCTGCAGCCAGGGGCTGCCATGTATCTGGCATGAGCCCAACTGGCCAGAATCCCCTGGCTGAGCAGTTTGTAGAGCATTAAAAAAACATTTCAGAAACAAATGCCAAAAGAGAACCCCAAGACTGTTAGGCCATCCTCCCCCTTTACAACCCTCCAGCCTCTCGGCCATGGCCCAGTCCCTGCCGTCCTGCTGCCCATGGAGGACAGCTGGGTCCCGCCCACCGCAGGCCCAGAACACGGCCACGCCGCGCCTGCAGCAGGGACAGAGAAAGCGACCGGCTCAGCTGAGCAATGCTGGGGTGCAAAGACATTTCTACAAGCACTTGGGTTCTCACCAGTGAAAGACTGAGGTCTCCAAACAGGTGCCAGAGGTCTGCTACGGTGTTCCACCCCACTTGCAGGATGATAAAGAGGCCGACAAACTTGACCCCTAAAGCACCAGCCAGATTAATGCCAGTCAGGCTGAGCCAGAACCACCAGGGGGCAGAGAAGGGCCTGAAAATCAATAAGACAAGAGTTCAGTTTGGGGGCTGGAACCCGACTCAAAAGCAAGAGCAGCAGAGGGAAAGGGCAGAGGGTCTCAGGCTCCAAGAGGCTGGGCTGTGCCCTCCAGTCGTGGGCTCCTAACCTGGGGGACCATGCGGCTCCCAGGGGGGTGTGACCTGGGAAACCCAGGAAACCGCGGGAAACACAGTGTGAGGGTGGGCAGGATCCTTTTCTGGGGAGTGGGGTCCTGGCTTTCCTGACTAAGTACAGAACTTAAAGTGAGCAAGGGGCTTGTTTTCCAGGAGTAATGGATCATGTGGAAGTGAAAGGAAAACCCAGAGGAGCCACTGGGTTCTGTCGGCACCCTCCTCCGGGCCACCTCTGGGCCTTGTAAAAGCCAGCATCTGTTGGGCGCTTACTCAGTGTCAGGCACTGTTGCGAGTCCTCCACACTCACTAACCTTGAACCTCCCCTAACCCCCAAGGCGCAGATCCTGACGTCATCCTCTCATCACACAAGGGGCCATCGAAGTGCAGGGAGGTCAGGTAGCCACAGGAGCGTGGTTCCAACCTGGGCAGTGGGCTTCCAGGGGTTGCTGCACTTGGGGCATCTAGCGTACGGTGCTGCCGCTTTCTGATGGTCGGGCCACCTCCCCTGCCAGAGTGGACGCTCCTGAACATGAGTACTCTGCACCTCCAGCCCCCAGCACGGTGCCTGGCACGTGGTATGTATTCAAGTGCCAGGTGGAAGTGGACGTGGTAGAAAAGAAGATAACCCAAAGCCAGAGCGAGCTGGTGGCCACTGGATTAGGCTCCATTAGCATAACTTAATGAGCTCTGCTGCGGCCAAACCACGCTGACTTCTGGAAAAGCCTAGGCTGAACCTGCTCTTTTGGAGTGAATAGAACCAATGACCTGCTCTGCTCTCAGAGGCAGTGGGAAGATCTGGAAAAGGCTAACTGGAGGAAGACCAGCCCCTCCGGAACAGCTTGAGAACTCAGCAGGGCCTGCAGGGATGCTCTTGACTGCTACGGGCCATTCAAGCCAGCCTTTACATACACTGCCCCCATCGCTAGTCAGGACTGGGACAGGGAGACAAGGAGTCCCCGGCAGTGTCTCCTCTGGGTCCCGCCCCTCAAGGTCGGAGAATGTGAAGGACAAAGTTATCCTGGGACCTACCACCCAGCCCCCATGACACAGGGTGTCTTATAAGATGGTGGGGAGGCATGAGGACCCCTTTGTAATCCATAAACCCCTGTCGAAATCCACCCCCATGGTACAAATGATAATATCCCTGAAAACTATAATCGACATTTCCTCAGTCTTATGTAAAGCAGAAATACAAGTATAGAAAACTTTAAAATCTGTTTGCACAATCTAAAATGGGCAATCTAAGTTTTTTAAAAAGCCGGCTGGCCTGAAACTCAGCCTCAGGACAAGCCCCACCAGCACCCGCCCTGTCCCAGCCGTTGCAGAAACTCCGGAGTTGCCACGGCTTCGGACCCCCACCCCCAAAGATGGCATTTCTGACCTGGCAGCACAGGAGTTGTACTTGACCATGCTCAGCATGGCAGCCATGATGAAGAACATCAAGATGGGGTCAAGGAGGATGTACTGGGACAGAGTGAGGCATCCTGTGTCTGAAAAACATGAGCTCAGTGGTCAAAAGGGGAATCAGAGGTGGGCCCCCTGAGAACCAAGCACCCGGCGATAAGGAACAGCCCCTGTACTCAGCTGCACATGAGCATTGACGCAGTCCAGACAGGAGGGGCCTCTGAGCCACCACTGAGTCCTGGGTAGGCAAAAGGCACAGCTCTGAGCTACACCAAAGCCCAGTGACGTAAAATAGTATTGCAGGCCTGGCTGGGGTGGCTCAGTGGACTGAACACCGGCCTGCGAAGCAAAGGGTCACGGTTCGATTCCCAGTCAGGGCGCATGCCTGGGTTGCAGGCCAGGTCCCCCAGCAAGGGACACACGAGAGGCAACCACACACTGATGTTTCTCTCCCTCTCCTTCCCTTCCCCTCTCTAAAAGTAAATAAATAAAATCTTTCAAAAGAATAGTATCTCACACTGCTTCTAGGCTCCTGACCCAAGGAAGGATCATGCCACCCATTCAGACAGAGCAGCCCGAAGACGAGGACTCCTCATTTCCACCATCAAAAAGGGAATTCTGCCTCCTTGCTGCTGCAGCCACGAGCGGCCGACACCCAGAGTAGCGTCTACTCTACATGAAGCACATGTTGCATACAAGTGCCAAAGCGATTTGTTAAAACAAAACTTCATTGCGTCACACCCGTTCTTGAACTCTCCCCTCCCGCACAGACTAACAGACTCCTCACACGCTCTCCTGCCCACCGGCCTCCTGTCCCTGCACCACTGCTTCACCCTCCACTCTGCCCCACTGCTGTTCCACCAAGTGCTGCCTGCACCAGGGCCACCGCGCACGCGGCTCCCTCTGCCCGGACACTCTTCCCTCCCCTCTCTGCACTGCTTAACCTCTGCTCAAGGCCCTCTCCTCAGGGAGCTCTTCCCTGACCACCCCACCTAAAACGGGGTCACTCCCCAAGACTCTTGTTTACCCGACTCTGTCTTCTGCATTGCACTCATTGCTTAAAATGTTAAATTACAGACCTAGTGACCTACTGGCTTATTTACTGTCTGCCCCACTAGTGAGTAAGCTCCAAGATAAGAGACTCTCATCAGCGAATCCTCTGAGACCAGGAAAAGTGGCCTAGCACAGAGGAGAAGCTTTAAAAGCAGTTGTTGACTGAAAAAAAAAATGAATAAATGACTGAATAACTAAAAAGGGAAATTAAAAACACAAGGAAAAAGCCACCAACCCTCTGCAGAGCACATAATCTTGCAACGTAGCTATCAAAACAAGGCCAGAATCACCCCTAAAATACCTACCTAAATTGGCCTGCGTTTCTTTAAATGTTAAGCTCTTTAAGATCATGAAGTCACTTTCAACAACAGGATCGGTTTCTACCAGTCAGCTCTCATCTACCCATGTGACAAGTGTCCACAGAAAATACTTAAGTTCCCATCTGATCATCCCCTGCTACCCAGCCACTTCTGAGGCATCAGCCCGTGCATCCAACTAAAATTAGTTTAAGGAACACAAAGGAATCTTGACAGTAACCTATGAGAAGCAGAATTAGAATTGTAAGCCTCTTTCTCTCTCTCTCTCTCTCTCTCTCTCACACACACACACACACACACACACACACACATTTACCTTCTTATCCAATCCAAACTCAAATGGGAACAACTTGGAGATCGTTTATTCCCTGGGATCACCTAGGCCAACTCCCCCTTACAATAACATAAAGGCTTGCTACACACAAGCATTTATGTATGTGAGTATCACTACCGAATAAAATAAGACTTGTAATACATTTCCTCAACCTTGAAGTTATTTAACTTGATAGAACTGGGCCCATGGACAGGATCTTTGAACGTGCTGATTTCCAGCTGCAGTCATAAGCAGTTGACCTTGACACGAGGTATAAGACCACCTACCGAAGGTGAGGAGGGCAGCAGTGAGCAGCGCTGCCGGCAGGGACCGGGACAGCTCCAGGACAGTGAGGTAGGCCAAGGGGATCAGCAAGGAACCAAGGAAGGCGCAGAACTGCGGGGAGAACAGAGAAGCAGTTGAATAACCTGCTGAGCTAAGCCTCGGGGACCTACTTAACTCAGTACAAACTCAGAGACAAGACGGAGGACCCTAATGAGGGCAGATGTGGTGACCTAAAACCACCCGGGACAGGTATACATGAGAAAGGGCTGACCTAACAGTGAAGCATCAAATCAAGTAACATTTGTGTTCTCGCTGAGCCCCAACTTGAGCACTGACACAAAATCGGCCAAGGTCGGCCGGGACAGGGCGGGCAGGGTGGCCCACTGGCTGCAGTGGGGGTGCCAGTGGGGCTGTCCCTCCACTGCTAACTAGCTGTGACCCTGAGAATGCCACCCCTGCTCTGTGTCTCAGCCTCCCCACCTGTGTAGTGTGAAGAATAAAGTTCCTACCTCACAAGGTTTACTCTGAAGATGAAATGACATAAAGTCTATGAACACACAGGAGGTACCTGACAAACAGTAGCTTCTACCACAAAACCGTGGCACCAGTTAAGAAAGGCGTTTCTGAAGGTGTTTTAGTATTTTAGAGAATTCTATTGCTGTTTCTGCTATTTCTCCCTTGGCCCTTTGCTTCAGCCACACGGGCAGTCACTCTTTAATCTACAAGGCTGTATTTTAATGTTAGAAAAAAGACTCCCTCGTGCTTCAGTACCGGGAGGGCTTTTTGGTTTGCTCTGGTTTTGAACCAGGAGCCTTCTCTGTACCTCCCTACTTTGTCCATCAAAACAGACAAGCATGAAGGAATGGAAATCCTCACATCTGGGTTGTCACTTTTTGTCAACAGCTAGCAATGTGCCCTAGTGTGAACCAGAACAAGGCTGTGATGTTTGGCCTTCTCAAGTCCCACAGCCAAGTTCACAGTGAGTCAGGCCTATGTCCAACTGTGCATGCTATGTGGTATTAAAAAGGCATTAAGAAGACACAGGATCACTTCGAACGTGAACCTGAGGGTATCAGACACTTCTTGTTTAATGTGGTATGATATGACCAAGCAAATTACCCAACGGTTAGCTCGGACAGGCACTCTGCATTTATCTGAAGTGTGTGAGCTTCTCAAAGAAAGGGGTTTGTAAATGCAACTTGCTTTGAGAGCCCCCAGTGAAGGTCAGTTTCTTCAGGTCCCATTTAGCTACAGGTCTGGGTGCCCAGGGTTGGGTGTTTACGCCCCGCCACACTTCATCAAGGTTGGTGCTGGGTCTCGGGGCACAGAGGCAGCAGGCAAAGCCACGGCCTCCCTTCGAAGCCTGGAGAACCCCTTGTGTGCGCCTGAAACCTTCACGGGAAAGCAGCAGAAACCTGGTAACAGGAGCGGGGAGACGCTGAAATCTTAAGAAAAGGCCCTCTGACATGGGCAACGCTCCGGCAGTTGTGGTCCGAGAGAGGAAGAACACGTAGCCTGCCAATGTGCTGAGGCCACGGTCGGGACCCTGGCGGCCTGGGTCCCAGGCTGCTCTCCAGCCTGCAGTCTGATGCCTCACACGGGCAGGACAACAGAGGACAGAGTGGCCTCACTCCTGCCTACGTAATCTCCACATTGTCCGTGGCCTCCCCTTCCCTCCTCACCCACACCAGCACTGAATCTCTGCCCCTGAATTTCTACTACAGGGTACGGGTCCAACCCCCCTCCCCCCACCCCAAAGTCCATTTATCTACCCCTGCCACCACTCCAGGGCTTCCAACTGTAACACTTCTGACTGAGTGGCCCCAGGGTCCAGTGAGGCTACATCAAGGCAGGAAGCCTTACTCCTCTCATTCCCACGTAGCTGTGATGCTCATACTTGTCCCCAGGCTTCTGGAACATAAAGGTGCCATCATATCCACTTAGGTAGCCAGCAAGGCCTATCAGCATCTGAGAGGAAGAGACCAAACAAAAAAAAAAAAGAGAGACCTTTGAGGGGTGATTCCTCCATCCCCTGAACCTCCCTCCAGCTGCGTCCAGACTTCGGCTTCCCTTGACAATGGTCCATGGAGGGAGTTGACAATGTGACATTTTCTCCTGCAGCTGTTGCAAAGCAAAGAATCTTCTGTCTACAGAGCTCATTGCCTGAAACAAACCCTCCCTTGTATTAAGACCAAGTTCTCAGATGGACACTTAAGAAGAAGAAATCCCGGGCAAGGCCACTGAGGGGCGCTCTCACTCGGCCTGCCTACATTTGTTAGAAGATAAAACCTACAGTTCATGGCAGAGGCTGGGGGCAGGTCCGATTCAGATTCCGGCAGGCCAGCCCACAAAAGGCAAAGGAGGCTCCAAGTCAGACTGAGGAGGGAGAGAAGTGGCCACATTTCTACACACGAAGAACGGAGAGGAAAGAAGAAAATGGCAAAGAGGAAAGACCGTTGCATTTTCCCAGGAGGGAAGAGAAAAATCCCAGCGGAAAAAAAACACCAAAAGGCCCAGACTGGTTCCTCCTTTTCCCAGCATTCCGAAGGGGGACAACCATGGCACATTCCAAACCAGAACAAATCAACCATAAACTAAGACGTGAATGCTTCCAAACTTTTGAGAGGATCGGCCTCTTCTATCTTGCCTTGGCCATCGCCAGTGTAAAATTCTCTTTTCACAAGGGCAGTCAGAAGCAGTTCAAACATAAAAACTGAGAGCAAATTCCAAGCATCTGTAACAGCCCTGGCTGGCCCAGGCGCCCCTGTTCCAGCTGGGGGTGAGGGGCAGAACGCTCTGGCTGTGTGGAGGGCCAGCCTCTCCCAGCAACACTGTGGGTGGGGGCTTGGGCGTGGACCACGAACCAGCTCACGCTTTTCTCTGAGTAGCTCTAAACAGAGTCACTCCCTACAGTCCAAGTCAGGTATCGAAGCCAAAGTTCTGCAGTAAATGATTAACTATTACAAAGCTTTTCTTTTTTAAAGGAGAAATCCCAGGGTCCAGAAGTTAATTTGCTATAATTAATTTAATATAAAGTAATAGAAGGCATTGAAAAGACGGAGTTATCTAAATACCCAGATGAATCAAACCTGGCAGGCGACTAGCGGAATGGATGCTCCTCCCCACCTGGGGTCGCAGAGGACAAGCCAGCCTGGGATGCTCTGAATCCCCGGACCGCCGGGCAGGCGGGCGGGCACTGGGAAAAACTGCAGGGGGCTCGGACCTCTGCACCCACAGGCCAGCTCTCTGGTGGTGGACAGCACTCCCTGTCTGTGAGCGACAGGTAATAGAACAGGGGATGTGCAGATAACAGGTGATGCTGTAGGTAACAACCCCTGGCACTATGCTGAGAACTTAAGAGGCACTCAAAGCTCCGCTCCCTCTCAATTCCCTTAAGATTAAAAGTAACCCTGAGCTGATTTGCTCACTAAAAAACTTCTGCAAATCAGTAAGAAAGAGAATAAAACCTACTAGAAAAATGAGCAAGCACAGAAAATAAAATAGGAGTGACTAATAAATAAATGAAAAAGAAATGCCCAACCAAACTCAGGGGACGTGCAGAGGAAAAGGGCAGCGCACAAGGCTTCGCTCTCACGCTGGCAGTTCGGCAGCACGGTCGTGGCGGAGCTGGCGGTGGTGTGGGCTGGCAAACGCCCACATACACTGTTGCCGGGCCTGCACATGGCTAAGAAAACTTAGCAATACCTAACACCAATTTAACTGTCTATTTGACTCTTTACTTGCTGAGAATCTTTTAGATACACCTGTATAACCACGAAAAGATACATGTACAAGGATGTTCGTGCAGTATCTTTTGTTAGGGCTAAAAACCTGGAAATAACACAAATGCCCAGCAATTGAAGACGGTTAAAATAATTCATGGCACAGCTATATAACAGAAAACTATACAGTCGTTAAAAAGAGCGCAGTACACTTTAACGTGCTAGTGTGGGAAAAAGGGACATCATGTTAAAATACAAGTTGCTGAGCAATTTCAGTCTGATCCCATCTGTGTAAAGTGTTCGTGTGAATTAATATTTATGTGTGTATAAACAGACACACATTTACACTTGGATGAGAAGTTTCTGGGAGGATACACAAAAAACTGTTAACAAAGGTGACCACAGTCACCTCTGAAGAACGGAAATGTGAGGGAAGATAGCTTCTGACCTTGTGCTTCCTTCTGATAGAACATTTGACTGTGTGCAATCATTCTCATTTCTTTAAAAGCCCCCATCTGACCGGAGCACTCGGGCGCCCAGGCCGGGGGCCTGTGTGCGATGGCAGGTATGGGCCCAGCAAGTAGGAGAAAACCTCCTACACTTGGGAGGGTTCTGGGCTCTGGGTTCTCGACTGGCTGGGCCTCAGAACCTGCGAAAGCTACTCTGCTTTCTCTCAGGCAGGTTTCTTTCTGATTTGCTCATCACCCTCCTGCAACCGAGAGGAACGCAGGGCCGCCAGGAGGTACAGCAGGGGAGCTGGAGCACTGCACTGCCGGGGGCAGCCTTAGAAAGAAGCCCCACATCTCTCCCTTCCCACGGGGGCCACACAGGAGGACGTGACCCTTCGGTAAAAACCAACCAGCCAGTGTTGTCCACGTTAGCGCCGTGCCCAGCACAAGGGGACACCAAAAACAGACAGGCAGTGCCCAGCTGAAAGACCAGGCTAGGTTTGCTAGGAACAACCTCCTCTCCAGAGGTCTGGTTCCCAGGCTGGCCCAATGTCAATATTCAGCCCATTCTGTTGCTTGAGTCTATGTTAGTAACAGGCGGAGTCCAAGTACTGAGACCAGGGAAGTTCACGAGGCAGTGGGGCGTGGTGCTTCAGAAAGCAGACTCTACACCAGTCTGGGCTGCGACCCTGTCACTTACTAGACTGGCTCCCTCCGGCAAACCCTCTGAGTCCCAGTTCCCCCATCTGCACAATGGGGGCATAACCGTCCCTACTTCATGGGTTGTTCTGAAGGTTACATGAGATAATACATCTAAAGTGACTAGAATAAACTATGTGTTCAATCACTTTTATTTTCATTGTTCTTATAAATGAGACAGAAAGAAGCATAACATTTCTACTCTGGGCTCAGAGCTCAATCTGAAATGGGCCTCCTATCCCACCTCCTCTCACCTCCCTCCCTGCAGGGCCCTCTCCGTGGCCCCTGCCCCAGGCTCTGGTGCCTTCCTACGCCCGCCCATCACCCCGATCCCCACCCTCGCCTGCCCTCAGCCTGGCCTTCGCCCCAAGCACTCCATGCTCCAAGACCCGCCCCCCCCCAGCCCTACTTTATAACTGGCACATATCTGTCCCCTTGTCCTTCAGCCTCTAGTTAGGAAGAAAGGGCAGAGTGAATGCCAGAGCTAATCCATTAGCCTTTTTAGAGGTGTTCCTTTAACAAGGATGAGTTCTGACTGGTGGAATTCCTCACTGTAAACCATGTGAAAGGAGAGGTCGAACAGTGGAGGTGTTGGGAGTAGTGGAGGCGGACGGAGTGTCACTCCGAGTCAGCTCTCCGAAGCTGTTCTGCTTTCTGTAACATGCTCCTTCTCTCCACTTCGTTTTTCTTTTTATAACTTGAGATAAAAGTCATATATCATAAAATTCACCATTTTAAAGCATACTGAGGTTTTTAGTTTATTCACAAGGTTGTAAAACCATCGCCACTACCTAATCGCAAACGCTTCACCACCCGGAAAAGAAAGTCCACACTCATTGGAAGTCACTCCCCCAACCTCTCTCCCACAGACCCTGCTGACTGCTGACCTTCTTTCTGTCTCTGTGGAGCTGCCAATTCCGGACATTTCATATAAATGGACTCAGACAGTATGTGGCCTTTTGGTCTGGCTTCCTTGGCTCAGCGTAATGTTTGTAAGATGCATTCATGTGGTAGCAGGTATCACACTTCACTCCAATTTTGTAGCTGAATAACATTTTAGCGTATAGATACACTATGTTTGGCTTCTCCACCCATCCGTCGATGGGCTCTCTCTCCATTTCTGAGCCCATAGGACCCCTAAAAACACCACAGATTTTCCATAAGAGCAGCTGGTCTGCAATGTCAGGGGATTCTTCCCATGAGGCCAAGCATCAAACCCAAAACCAAGCCTTCGCTCCGGCCCTCAGGAGAGAGCCGCTGCTCCCCACACGGCTCACCTTTCCCAGCGGCGGGTGCACGTCGAAGAAGAAGGTGCGGTTGATATAGTAACTTCCCATTTTTCCAAAGTGAGTCTCATCCCAACTAAAGGTAAAGCAAAAAGAGAAATGAGAATTCTTAAATTATCGTACAATGCAAATAGCCTTAATAAAGTGAGGTTAAAATTACGGTTATAAACCAGAGACTATGGGTTTCAAGCAATGAATGAGAAAATTTGAATTAAAAAAAAAAAAGAAAAACCACTTTTGACATAAGCAATTTGAGGAAACTGGTCATTAATGTTCATCTAGATAAATTTAAAAGGCTAGCAAATATTTACCAACCATAAATTTAATCATAAATTTAAGTTAAATCTGTATTTATTCTGTATCTTGAGTTTCTATTTATTTTTACAATGCAAAGAGTTTTCCTATAATATAAAAAATCTTGTAGTACAGGTTTTTTCTTTATTAACTTCTAACTCTGAGACCTTTGCTACTAGAAACTACATTACTATTATCACAAACTACATCGTGGGCTATCGGGCACAGAAGTCTGATCTTGTTCAACTTGTGGTATACAGGGAGGAACCGAAGTGTCTGGCATCAGGGCAAGAGCTGGGGGACAGCTTCCTCCTGGACAGAACTGCGGACAGTGGCCAGTCTCTCATCTGAGCCCTCCCCCACACAGAGCCATGATGTGGCAGCACCATACCTGAGTCTCCATCAACCTGGCCCACAGAGTTAGCCTGCCCTGGCGATTACCTAAGGCTCCGCCCCCTCCCACTTATTGGCCCACCCAAGCTAGTAACAGTGGCTTTTCTATATGAAGGGCTGGGCTAGGTGCAGGCTCCAGAGACCTTCATAAATCTGCAAATCTGCTCTCAAACAAGCCACAGCTGAGCCCAGCCCTGTACCCTGCCCACTGACTGGCCCCAGGCCCAGCACCAGCAGCAGCCATCTGCAGATTGCTTTATAGCTTATGCCAAGCAGCCCCAGATAGAACACAGGTGGAGGCTGACCTTGGCCTGCACTGCCCAGGAAACCCCAGAGCCTGCACACCCAGAGGACAGGTACAGACCACATCAGAGCACCACCAATCACCCACCTCCACAAGCCACAGAGGGAGGGGGTTGCTGGCCAGTGGTCACAGCCAGTCCTACCAGCTCTCTGGCCTGAGTAAATCCCTCCCATTGTCCTGCTGACAGCGGTGGGAGTACTCAGCCCACACTTAGGGTGTACTTAGGGTACCCAGCTTGGGGGATGAGGGAGGCTGTGCCACAGGACCCACAGGACACCTACTACAGGAGGGCACACTACCAAGACATAGAATCAAAGCAGCTCTCCCTAATACACAGAAACAAACACAGGGAGGCTGCCAAAATGAGACAAAGAAACATGGCCCAAATGAAAGGATAGATCAAAACTCCAGAAGAACAAAATGGGGATGAGCAATCTATCAGATGCAAAGTTCACAACACAGATTATAAGGATGCACAAGGAACTCAGTGGGTACTTCAACAGCATAAATATGATCCAATCAGAAATGAGGGAGACTCTATTTGAAATCAAGAACAATTTACAGGGAATCAACAGTGGAGTGGATGAAGCCAAGAATCAAGTCAATGATCTGGAACATAAGGAAGCCAAAGACATCCAATCAGTACAGCAAAAGAAAAAAGAATCCAAATTCTTTTGGAGGTTGTCGGTCCTTGCTTTTCATCACTTCGAATGATGAAAAGGGGGCTCTGGGACAACTTCAAGCATTCCAACATTTGTATCATCATAGGGGTGCCAGAAGGAGAAGAGAAAGAGCAAGAAATTAGAAACCTATTTGAAAAAAAAATAAAATTTCCCTAATTTGCTGAAGGAAATAGACACACAAGTCCAGGAAGCACAGAAAGCCCCAAACAAGATGAACAAAAAGAGGAACACATGCCGAGACACAACATAATTAAAACGCCAACGGTTAAAGATAAAGAGAGAATCTTAAAAGCGGCAAGAGAAAAGCAGACAGTTACCTACAAAGGAGTGCCCATAAGACTGTCAGCTGATTTCTCAAAAGAAACTTTGCAGGATAGACAGTATTGTCAAGAAGTAGTCAAAGTGACGAAAAGCAAGGTCCAACAACCTAGATTACTCTATCCAGCAAAGCTATCATTTAGAATCAGAGGGCAGATAAAGAGCTCCCCAGTCAAGGTAAAGCTAAAAGAGTTCATCACCACCAAACCATTATTATATGAAATGTTAAAAGGACTTATTTAAGAAAAAGAAGATCAAAACTATGAACATTAAAATGGCAATAAATACATAACTATCAACGATTGCATCTGAAACAAATTAAGCAAACAAGCAGAACAAAAACAGCGTCACAGATATGGAGAGCACTGGGAATGGTGGCCAGTTGAGGGGGGTTTTGGGGGAGAATGAGGGAAAAGGTGAAGGAATTAAGAAGTGAAAATTGGTAAGGACACATGGACAAAACCAAGGGGGGTGTGGAAGCGAGGGAGGGAGGTGCGGATGGCTGGGGTGGGGGGGAGAGTGGAGAGGGGGAAATGCAGACAACAGTAATTGAATAACAATAGAATGATTTTTTAAAAAAGAAGTATAAGTTGGTAGTTACAGAATAGACAGCCCCCTGTCTATTAAAAAAGTAAGTATAGGAAATGGAGCTGCCAAAGAACTTATATGCATGACCCATGGACATGAACAAAGAAGGGGGAGCACCAGAGGGCATGAAGGATGCTGGGTAGAGGAGGGCATGGGGGAAAAACTGGGGCAACTGTAATAGCATAATCAATAAAATTTAAAAAATAAAGAGGGAATGGTATTTTCCAGGATAACAGCACTCCCTGCTGGACACAGGCACCAAGTACACTCTTTTTTAAAGAGGCAACTAGCAACCTGCTAGGGTTCTAAGCTCTGGTTGAAATTGAGAGCTTGACCATGAAGGCCTTAGGACCCTGCCACTTTGGAGTGGGTCAACCTGGAATCTACACCGAACAAGGAAAGGACTCAACTGGTCCAATGGAAATGGTATATTCAAGACAGCAGCCAACCCGGCCCCAGAGGCACCCAGATTTTACACGCAGAGGTGGCCACAGCTCCTCCTTCAGGAGAAACTATCTTCCACGTTACCACCGAAAGCAAAGCCGCCACCTCAGTGGAGCCTTTATTCACAGAAGTCTTCCGCAGTGCTCTGCGTGGGGCACTGATGGCCAGGCTGCACTCTAAGTTGACAGTGCCCACTGGGCAGCAGCAGTCACCCGGCCCCAGGGGCACCTCTGAAAGGTTGCCTGCAGTCAGGGCTGACCTACACAGTGGTCTGAATTAAAGACTGCACCCTCACCCTGGGCAATATTCCTAAGAAACAGACAAGTTATATTTTTATTGACTCTTGGGCATCTGCCATCGCCCTAGCCATCTGGTGTGTCACTTGGAAGACTACATCCAGACTGATTAAAAACTCTCCCCTTTGGAGCCAAGAACTGTGGGATAAAATCACAGAGCCTGCTAATGGGACAACCCGGATCACCCGCACAGGTGACCACCATAAGGGCCGATAGTCTGATCAGACCAGGTGCCAATCGAACAAGCCTGTACCGCCCAGACTGCTGCCACTGCACCAGGCGGGGAGACACGTCTACCACCGTGAACTGGGTACAAAGCGAAGGGCTCTGTGTTTCCAAAGTAGAGGCCGTCACCGTGTTGTGGTGGCTCGTGCCTCTGCCAAAAGTCGGCCTGTTGGTCTTGCAGTAAAGGAAGCCACTGGGCACGGGGCGGGGACCCCGCGTGCTCCAAACAGACTGTACCGGGACTTTGCTGCCCCTCGGGGCTATCTATCATTGGTGCCTCTCTGCTGCTGGCACTTTTTCAGATCACAGCGTTGATGATGCTGTTTCAGTGCCATCCTCTGACTTCGGATACACCATTGTGAGCCTTTAAACTGAACTGTCACATTATCAGCTTTCCAAAGCAGCCACCGCCTGACAATGGCGCCCCCCCTTTCTTTGCAATGGCCACCCAGTGATGGGCCACCAGTCAAGGTACTGGATGACACTGCACACTCCCCACCATCGACGGGCGTCTGACACTGTCGAGCACCGAACAGCCCTCTCAGAAAGATTCCTGACTCTCCTCTCCTGGTTCCCGCACCTTAGGATAGCAGCTTGGTCACCAGAAAATGTTCGTCTCCTCTTGGCGACCAACTGGGTAAAGACAAGGAGAGAAGGGGTAGAGGGTTACGTGAACCGTTTTTGAAAATCTGAGATTCCCCCCCAAACCATTCCTGGGTAGGCTTTGTCTTTCTTCAGCTGACAGCAACTTCAGATCATCTACGGGATGCAAACTTAACTCTAGCTCAGCCACCTGAATTTTCTGGTTGGAGTGACGTGGTCCTAGGGCACAAAGACAATGACGGCTTGACTGACTGAGGACACTGCCTGTCAGGTCCCCCAGCAGCGACTCGTGCGGGCCAAAGAGGGAGACACAGCGGTCTCAGCCAATTTTCTAATAATGGTCTTGGCAAACAAAGGTCTGCATATCAGCAGGGGATAACTGGAGCAAAGGTAACGTTACAGGTACTAAGTGGGACACACTGACTGCGTGGCAGGGGAAGCAAAGAAACAACGGCAGCACCTGAGGAGGTAACATCTTAGACCCCCGCACGTGTAAAGACAAGGGAAACAATTAATTTTCTCTTCATCCGCCAGGCCCAGCACCAAAGCCTGGCAAAACATGCGTACGGTACACCTCAACCAAATGGAAGCTGCATCTGGCGATCCGCCTTCCTACCGAGTTTGTCGACGTGCCACAAAATCAGGAAAACTCACGTGGACACAGCCAGTCTTGAACTATTCTGATGGCCTGATAACGCCAACAACAACTCCCAGACCTTCTCCCGTGAGCGCAGGCGCGAGGGCTGCGGCAACTCAGTGACGCTCGCTGCCTGCCTGGCTTGACCCAAACGCTGCAACCTAATCTAAATCCAATTGGATGGCGGTGCAAATAAAATTTAACAACAGTCTTGACCTGGAGTGACCTGCACCCCTTCAGGAAATATATTAGGATGCACGGAAAAATGGGCCACATCCATTGGGTATGGGAGCTGCTTTTAAAAAACGAAAGAAAACAGAGACCCACTATAATTATTGACAATGACACCAAAGATTAGAGGTCAGTGTAAACACTGTGCAGAGACCATAATGGGTCATAGGTGGGTGTTAAACTGCATGCCAGCTATCTACAATCAGACCTACTGGTCCCTTCCCCACCCCCGACCCTCACGCATAATTATTCAGAGGTAGTTCAATCCAGGACCCTGGGGAGCATGGCTGAGGTCGGTAATATTGAGCTGGACAAATGGTCATTTTTTTCTGTAAGATGGCTCTCGTAGCACTTAGTTGTCTTTAATTTCATTTAAAACAATTTTGTTAGAATGTATTGTGACAGCTGTCATATCAGAGTACATTTTAAAACAAATCAAAATTGGTGAACTTTGGCCACTTTAATATTGAAGATGAAGAAAAGAAACATATTTTCGGCATATTATGCTTTATTATTTCAAGAAAGGTAAAAAATAGAACTGTAACGCAAAAAAAAAAAAGACTTATGCAGTATATGGAGACAGGGTTGTGACTGAAGGACTGTGTCAAAAGTGGTTTATAGCCCTGGCTGGCGTGGCTCAGTGGATTGAGCTCCGGACTGCAAACCAAAGGGGTGTTGGTTCGATTCCCAGTCAGGGCACATGCCTGGGTTACAGGCCAGGTCCCCAGTTGTGGGTACATGAAAGGCAACCACATATTGATGTTTCTCCCCATCTCTTTCTCCCTCCCTTCTTCTCTGTTTAAAAATAAATTTTAAAAAAATTTTAAGTGGTTTGTAGTTTTTCCTGGAGATTTCTCACTGGACGATGCTCCAAGGTAGGGCAGACCAGCTGAAATTGATAGCGATCAAATCAAAATATCGATTGAGAATAATCAATATTATACCACGCAGGAGATAGCCGACACTCAAAATATCCAAATCAAGCACTGAAAATCATTTGCAGCAGCTTGGTTACATTAATCTCTTTGATGTTTGGGTTCCACATAAGTTAAGCAAATAAAAAACCTCTTCTTGACCCTATTTCCAGATGCGATTCTCTACTTAAACGTAACAAAAACATTCCATTTTTAAAACGAATTGTGAAGGGTGATGACAAGTGCATACTTTACCATAATGTGGAACAGAAGAGATTATGGGGCAAAATGAACCACCACGCCCTGTGTAGCGTGGCTCAGTGGACTGAGAGCTGGCCTGCAATCAGAGGGTTGCTAGTTCGATTCCCAGTCTAGGGTACATGCATGGGTTGCAAGCCAGGTCTCCAGTTTGGGGTGCGTGAGAGGCAACCAACTGCTCATTGATGTTTCTCTCCCTCTCTCTCTCTGTCCCTTCCCCTCTCTAAAAAATAAATAAATAAAATCTAAAAAAGAAAAAGAAAAATGAACCACCACCAACCACACCAAAGGCTGGTCTTCATCCAGAGAAGATGTGGTGTATATGGTGGGACCGGAAGGGAGTCCTCTGTTATGAGCTCCTTCCGGAAAACCAAATGATGAATTCCAACAAGTATTGAGACCACCTGAGAACAGCACTCCACAAAAAGCATCTGGAGTGAGTCAACGGAAAACACATACTCTCCCATCAGGATAACGCAAGACCAGGTGTTTCTCTGATGACCAGGTGAAAACTGGTACAGCTTGGCTGGGAAGCTCCGATTCTTTCTCCTTATTCACCAGACATTGTACCTTTCCATTTCCATTTATTTCAGTCTCTACAAAATTCTGTTACTAGAAAAAAATTTCAAATCCTGGGAAGACTGCAAAAGAAATCTGGAACTGTTTTTTGCTCAAAAAGATAAAAAGTTTCGGGAGGACAGAATTATGAAGTTGCCTGAAAGGAGGCAGAAGGTGGCGGAAAAAAGCAGCGAATATGCTGTTCAATAAAGTTATTAGTGAAAATGAAAAATGTGTTTTTTTACTTTAAAACCAAATGACCTTTTTGGTTAACCAATCCCACAGGCTGTCCTCATCCTGCTGTTTACAGTCCTGTTAAAAGCAGCCTTAATCAAATACTGTGAGACAAATTGAACAGATTTGGTTCCTGCTTCTGTCGGCCAGGTTAATCAGAACGGCCTATGGGGCTGCATATTCATGTGAGAATTTGCTAGATCAAGGGGTGAGACTGTTGGGACAGACAGTCCTCCAGGGGTCTCTTGTATGTCCACGAATCTTGCTGGATGTGCCAAGAATGCAAGGCCCTGATTGCATTTACCTGGGACATTTCTCAGAGCTGGGTTTACACCAAGCAACCTTGAATAATGATGTAATGTCTCTCTCCAAGACAAAGAGTAAGCTTGATAACTGCTTTGCTATAAAACAGTAGGTTCCCCAAGCTCGGCTGCAAAGAAACCCACTGTGTGTGCAGTCATCCACCCGAGCCCATCACATTCACCCTGTGGAATTTGGGGAACAAGGAAAACTAACTCCAACATACGGACGTTCAGCCTGCTTCCCGTGTCACAGTAACACACATCCTTTGTCTCTGACCCAGGAGTCTCATGTCTTCTGCCAAGACTCATGAAACAAGCTACTTTATTAACTTCCAAGTAGAAAATCCCTGATAGTTTGTTAGCTTGCTTGCTTTTTAGTCAAGGAGTTCCATTTCTAACATCCCCTACACTAGCTGTCTCCTCAGTGATAATGAGAAAATATGGTATCACTTGTTGGCCAAAGTAACCATTTCCAGATTGTATATGACTTTTCCTCCTGACAGTTGGTGACTTCTTAAACCTTATGTAATAAAATTTGACCATACCTCGGTCTTGCAACTGGCTCTACAAACTGAACCCTTGAGAAAATAAACCTCTCCTCACAGGGAGATCCCAGACCTGCTGTCTGGAACCCTGTCGCCGTCCCTGGACTCCCAAGTTGTCCCTGCTCCCAAGGATGATGGTACCCAGTTAACAATTTCCCCCTCCACTGATGCCTGGAAATTCTGCAGATTAGGAACTCAGACCTTAGGAAATTCAGTACTAAGAATTTCTGGTTCTCTTTGGAAAGTTCAAGGCATCTTTAACAGCCACAATTTGAGAGCCAGGTGAGACACGGTAGCATAACCTGGAAGGCATAAAGAGTGCTTCCTAAGAATTCCACCGCCACCCACCAAAGCGAAGATGCACTCTGCTATTAGCCAGAAGCAAATACCAGAAACCTCAGTTTCCCCGTTCAGCGCGACTCCGCCCCTCTTCCGAATCCCGCCCCCTCCGTGCCCCAGGGCCAATCAGAGGATGCGTCTTTCCTCTTGGTTACCACGAGTCCCACCCATCACTCACCAGACGTGCGGCGGCTGGTCTAGGCGGTAGAAGCGGGTGGCGAAGGACAGCAGCGTCACCAGGGCCAGCAGGGCCCACCGGCAGGCCGTCTCGAAGCGCCGCGAGCCCCCAGCAGGATGTCTTGGGCTCCTCGCTGCAGCCTCGGCGGCCCCTTCCGGACCCGCGGCTATAGCAGCCTGCGGCCCACATCGGCCCTTGCGGGGACGTAGCTCGAAACCTGCCAGGCCTCTGCCCACTGCCGACGGCATCCTTGCCCTCCCCAGGGTCGGCCTCCGGCCCGTCGGCTCACTAAGTCTCGCTAGCCGTCCTGCCGAGAAGCCACAAAGGGGCAGCTCGGGGTGCCCTGGGATATGTAGTTCCCCGCGTCAGCAGCGGGGCAACGCAGTGTCACTGTTGCCTCCCCGCCCAGCCCAGCGGGCCTCTGGGCTGGGCGGGGAGCGCAGTATCCATCCCGGCAGCTGGGACGTGGCTAGTGGCGCGGAGCATGATGGACCACGAGGGCCCGGTGAGCTGGACCAGGCCGAGGAGAAAAAATGGGCTCAAAGAACTGCAATTCCCAGCAGCGCCGGGACTGGGGCGTGGCAGTAGAGCGGGACAGCTAGCGGAGACCTTTGGAATTATTCTAGTCCGACCCCTCGCCTAGGTTCTGACGTGTAATTGTCCCACTGGGCCTCAGTCGGAGAGTGGGAGAGTCAGAGAGTCCCAGACGTGAAGTTTCCTGACTTGGACGGGAGAATCGCCCGAAGTGCGAGATGTTGGCGAGGAAGGTTTGTGCCACGCGTCCGGGGAAAGGGGCGCTACTCAAACACTTAGAAACCTGGGGTGGGCGGGATCGAAAGGAGTCTCAGCCTCGCCCACAGTTCCGACAAAGATTCCCAGCTTGCGGTGCTCGCTCAAGCCCGGTCTTGCGTCTGCGCGCTGCGCCCTGGAACTTTGTGGTCGGTGAAGGGGTGGCTTTGTGTTGGCGCACCCTGTTGGGGATCCTTCGCTCTTCGCAAGATGCCCCTCTACGAGGCCTCCCAAACGTATGGCCATACAGGGTTGTGTGCATTTTGAGAGAACGCCAGGGGCGAGGGGAGGCAGTGGTGCTTCACAATCACCGAGTAGCTTCCTGGGCCTGCTCCGGAGCCACTGTTTCGGGCTTTGGATGAAGGGGCCAGAGAATCTGCGTGTTTAGTATGCACCCCAGATGAATCGTATAAAATTTGCAGCACAGCTCTTGTAGCTCAAAGGACGGTGGCAGGCACATGGAATATAGCATCACTTTAACAATGTAGAGCCCTCTCGCTCCCAAATGGGATTTTAGGAGTCTCGAAAGTCGTGCACAAGAGACGGTTTTAAAATAAAATCTGCCAGTGTGGTCAGAATCTATGTTGGAATTGGGAACAAAATTCTTCCAAGAGTGGTGATGAGATGGATGCTTTGCTTGGGCTTAAAATTTAGCTCTACACATGTAAAAAGGAACACGGAATGGTATATATAATTATCATTATTTGGTAAAAAGAAAAGTAGAAACTGCCCTTCAGTAATGGCCCATGAGTAGAAAACCTGAGGGGAGCAGCATTTAGAGTGACTCTGGTCACCCTTAGCACAAGTGGAAGGATTCTAAGATGATGTCTGCCACTCCAGCAGTCCTGACCCTCACTGGCAGTCCCTGTCTTGGCCCCAGGTAAGGAAAGGATGCACCTCCAAATATAGAACCTCCCACTGTAGCCACCCAACTCTCACCCTTCCAAGGACACCTGCTGCCCATCACTTGCGCTCTGTGCCAGGAGCACTTTTGCTTTCCCCACACAAGGTGCCTTCAGTACTGGCTGGAACTCCCTGGCTCAGAAACCAGCTTGAGAGGGCCTCAGTTGTCACTTGTGCCCTCGCCCACCTTATAAGACAGAGTTGGTACTTTGGGGATGGTGCGAGCAGGTTCAGATAGCAGCTTGATGTGCTGGGGGATGCAAAAGGGAGACAGAACTTGGGTGAAATGTCCATAGTTGGAGGGATAGTTAGGCAAATTCTACTGAGTTCTCCCTCATCCATATGGATACATGTGTCTGCTGGAAGATTCATGAGTGCTAATGACTAGTAACTGTCCTGGGGACTGCTTTGAGATGCAGGTTACTCAAGAAGCACCAGAGGAATTAACTTTGACTCCCATGAACTGTAGAGGAGAGGTCACACACTCAGCTGCCTCCAGGGGCCTGCAGACAACAAAAAAGAAATGAGCCAAGTCAGGGCCATGGCAGATCCCTGAGTAAGGGAGCTGTTTATTGGTTCCAATCAGTTGCTGCTCAGGAAGCCAAGTCCACTTTCTCCAGATTTTTATAAAGAAAAAAATAGACAACAGGATTCGTATATGAAACATCCAGATTTTGCCCTGGCTGGTGTGGCTCAGTGGATTGAGTGCAAGTTTGCAAACCAAAGGGTCGCTGGTTCGATTCCCAGTCAGGGCACATGCCTGTGTTACAGGCCGGGTCGCCAGTACAGGACTCGTGAGAGGCAACCACGCATTGATGTTTCCCTCTCTTCTCCTCTCTAAAAATAAAGTAAATAAAATCCTTTTTATAAATCCAGACTTTTTAATGTTGGCAAACTGCAATCATCCCTTGATATCTGTGGGGACTGGTTCTAGGACCCCTTCCCTCCATGCCTACAAAATCTGAGGATGCTCAAGTCCCTTATATAAAACTATACACTGTAGTTTAAATCATTTCTAGATTACTTGCAATACCTAACACAACAGAACTTCTATATAAGTAATTGTTCTACTGTATTGTTTAGAGAATAACAAGAAAGTCTATGTACTCAGTACAGACCCAACCAAAGCAAACATCATAGGCTTAACTACATAGTACATGTCAATAACAATGTAATTTTTTTTCTGAATATTTTCAATCTACAGTTGGTTGAATACTCCCCTGAAGGTAAGAGGAGAGCCAAGTGTAATTGAAATGTTTCTAAATACTTTGTAGACCATTTTCACCGGGGGCCATATCAGCCTTGAGGTTGCCTTCAAAGCGCCAAATGTAATTTTAGGACTGTGTAAATGTAACTACTCCTTAACCGTTAAGCGAGAGCTCGGTGCTGCAGCTGGGTAGAAACAAGGTGCCAGCCAGGTAGATAAAACAAGGTGGAGGGCCAGATTGGGCCTGTGGGCCTGGTGTTTGCCACCTGTGCTGTAGACCAAACAGAACACTGGACTGCCAGCCTGCAGCCTCAGCTTCGGAGCGAATGGGTATGTACCCCAGCTACTTTTATGAGACCAGCTAACAGCCCAGAGGATGGGTGGGTGAGGGGTTTGAAAGCAGTGGGCACCAAAGCATCAAGAATTAAGATTCCTGGTCTTTCTGCTAATGCTGGGAGGAATCTAAGGCATCATTTTAGGGCAACTCTTCATTTTACAGACGAGGGTGCTGAAGACTAGAGAAGGCAGGAGTCTGTCCAAGGTCATACAGAGCTGGTTCCTGCACTGGGACCAGACCCTGGATGCCAGCTCCTTGCCCGCTGCACCACATGAACGACACCGGGCTGCCCTGTCTGCCCAGGACACCAAACCTGATGCGGACCCGGCTCGTGGGGTTTGCCACATTGTAGCTGAGGCACGAGAAACTCACATGGACTACCAAGTCCTGTGGAGGAAAAGGGGCAGCATAGTTTCTCTCTCAAGGGGAGAAAAAGCCGCAGCCTCTGCCTTGACAGTCTTTATTTCTTTTTTTTCTGGGCACGTTACATGATGGTCCTCATTTACTATGCACCTGTTTGCTTTAGGTGGTTACCTTTTACAAAAAACAAGGGAGCCAGATGCTGCTAATCACATCACAGAAGGATATTTGTAAATGCAAAAAGAAAAGTGGTTGAACCAGTTACACTTGTCCTTGGAAGGTTTAGCATGGATTTTAGGAAGTTACTTTGCAGTAAATGTTTGCTGCCTCCATTCAGCGTGAGGGAGTTTTAGAAAAAGCAAGTCTCATAGTAGTGTAGGTACAGTGCAGGCCTGATTCCCCACGACAGAACCTATCTGTGGGGGTGGGGTGGGTCCTGTGCATTGGACTTTGCTTTCCACTGGGAGCTGGGCCCATGCCACACAGAATGGTCTCCTACATAACCTGGCTCCACCAGGGGCATAAGGAATTTCCGCAAGTTGGAAGGAGGTGCCCTTCTGGTCCCAGACAAAGTTCCCCCAACGCCCACCCAGCACCGCTTCCCCATTGGTTCGTGGGATTCACCCTTCAGGGTCCCTCCCCCTGCCCTGCTGCTCTGTGTTAAGGGACATTCCCCAGAGGCCAAGGGTTGCCACAGCACCATGACTGAGTCTGGCAAGGTAAGGAGGGTGTTTGGAGGCTGGCTGCCCTGTGAGGGGCCTGGCAGGTGTCAGGAACACAAGACAGCACGGTGTGGAGCCCAGGGGCTCCACCTGAGGCCTCTGATCCAGAGCACTGAGTCCGGCCTGAGGTGCCCTGAGGCAGGAGGCTGGCAGCATGGGAAGAAACTGCTGGCCTGGAACCCCCGGCTGGGGGCTAGTGCCTCCTCCCCAGGGGGTCCCTGGGTGGGGAACCCACGAAGCGCAGGCTGCCAAACACCTTGTCCTTTCTCTCCTCAGCCCATCCTCTATTCCTATTTCCGAAGCTCCTGCTCCTGGAGAGTTCGAATCGGTAAGAGGTGCACCTGCACCGAGAGCCTCGGGAAGGTGGGATGGGGTGGAGGCAGCCCAGGATGGCTATGAATGCAGCCCAACACAAAATGGTAAATTTACTTAAAACATTATGAGATTTTTTTGTGTGATTATGTGTCACAATATATTTAATGTGTGGCCCAAGACAACTAACTCTTCTTCCAGTGTGGCCCAGAGACACCAAAAGGTTGGACACCTGCACGGCCTAGGGGAGCAAGACAGCCTGGGACAGAGGGTGCCCTATCAGACAGCAGTGTGCCCCCCAGCAACCGTCACCCCCGGCCTCCTGGAGCCCTCGGCGGGGAACGGCCCCTCCACCTAGGAGTCCGACCAGAGGAGAGTGGGGGTGGCAGCCAGGGGCCTCGTTTTCTCTCTGGGGCCTGCCGCCCCTCCCACTGTGCCCTCCAAAGCTCCTTAGCAACTGTGCTGAACGCGGGCCCACAAAATCTAGAGCACCTTGGTAACAGGCAGGAAACTAGCCGGCCTGCTTCCGTTCTTGTCTTATGTGATCTGGCAAATTAAACAGAACTGGCCATTGTCCGCCCCAGCTTAACCTTTCCCTCCCTCAGTTTGGCAGAGCCCTTGGCAAAGGTCCGGGTCCTGGCAGCTCCCACCGAGGGAGAAAGTGCTGAGTGCTCTCTGCCCGTCTTCCCTCCTGCCTCACAACCCTACGGGGCAGGTACCATTACTGCCTGCATAGCACAGGTGAGGGAGCTGAGGCGCAGAGGCTCAGAAATTTGCTTGCCCAAGGCTTCACCAGCTAATAAACTAACGTGATGAAGTCTGAAGCTGGCCCTAAACAGGAAGCCATCCTCCAGGGCCCCTCCCCTGCCCCACAGGCATTTGGTATTTTCTGGAATGAGGAGGCAAGGGCACTGGGGTGACAGAGGACCCATTTCTCCAAGATGACGTCCGTGGGCCCAGAGCCTCTGCCCCGGCTGGGCCAGACGCCAGAGCAGTGTGAGTGCAGTCTCTGCGCCTGCCTGCATTTCTCTCTTCCACTTGGCCCCAACCACATTCACCCTCCAGAATGGAGCTGACCAGCGCCGAGGAGGAGCCCCCATCTCCCAGGCTGTCTTCAGACTGGGACAAGTCTCGTCCCCCTCCCCTACCTCCTTTGCCCTTGCAGGAGACCGGCCATCACCGAATTTCAGGGCACGAGTGTGCGTGCACACACTCACACGCTAGGGTGGAGTGAGTGAGGGTTTTTACCCTCATCTTGCCGGGGGAAATCGTCAAAGGGGATGAAGAGAAAGTCTGGTCCCTGGGCATCGCAGCAGATGCTCTGACACCACCAAAGAACCCGACACCCAGCTTGTAATCTGTCATAAACAAAAGCAAAGAAAATGGATTACAAAGTGATTGTTCTCTAAACAGTGTCATCTGCCTGTGCATGTGCTTTGAGTCACTTGAGCCCCTTCCCTTGGCCCTTAGATGCCTTCCCGAGCGAATAATTGCTCGTCTCCAGCACAAAGCCCTGCTCAGCCCTGTCTAAGGCCCGGGAGGGGGCAGAGATGAGGAGGACACTTCTCTGCTGTCCCCCAGAGCCCACAGTGTGCCAGGCAGGAGAAGCAGGGTGTCATGGGCCTGGGTTGGGGGAGCGGGTGGTGACCAAGGAAACCAGAGAGGAGGGGTGAGGGCCGTGCTGAGCCCTGACCACCCAGCAGTGTGGAGAAAGCCTGTCTGCAGCCTCCTGTTGCCCTGGGAAGTGGAGCCAGAGGCTGACCCCTGACCCTGCTGTCTGCCGTCTCTCCTAGCTCTGGCCTTGAAGGGCATCAACTATGAAACAGTGCCTGTCAACCTCTTAAAGGAAGGGGGCCACCAGGTAAGGAGCTACTCTCAGGCCATAGTGTGGGAGTCGGACGCATCGGCAAGGAGTTCGTCAGGGGGTGCAGACCATCCCAAGAGGTCCCCTGGCCGAGGGGGCTGCTGGCGTGCTCTCGTGGGAACAGGTGGCAAGCTGTGCAGCAGGAGGAGCCATGGGAAGGACCCGGGCTTTGGGCTCCACACCACAGCCTGGCCTCTCAGTGCCTGACCCAGGAGGGTGGGTAGCGAGTGGGTCCTTGCCCCATGCTGGGCCCTCTGGATGGACTTTGGTGGCCAGCGACATGGGATGAAGCCTGTAGCTCAGTAGCCACTGGAAGCTGAGTACTGCACAGATGGCTCAGGCATTGCCTCGGGCCTGGGAGCCAGGGCCCTCACAGAGGAAGGGGGAGGTGCAGGGCTAGGCAGCAGGCCCAGGGCCTCCCTGCTTGCCTCGTTCTGCTCTAGCTCGTTCTGCTCGTTCAGCTCAGGCCAGGCCGCCCAGCCCACCAGGGCCCTCTGTCCACAGTTCTCTGAAGAATTCCAGTTACTGAATCCCATGAAGCAGGTGCCGGCCCTGAAGATCGATGACATCACCATCAGCCAGTCAGTGAGTGCAGGGCTTGGGAGGCCCGAGTGGGATGGTGCCCTGCAGGAGAGGACCTCGTGGCTCTTCCTTGTCTGAGTATGGCCAAGGCACCAAGCGCTTAGTAGGGATGCGGTAAATCTTGGTCTGAGGGAGGAAGGGTGGTTGGTTGCTTTGGGAAGTGAAGGGAGACTTGAGCATATGGGGGACCAAGTTCTGCAGGAGAAGGGCCCCAAAAGAGCTCGTCCATCTAGGGAGCCTCTTGGCTTCACAGGGTTCGAACTGAGTAGGGCAAGGAGGAGGGGGGTATGCAGGCCCTGCCACCTCTGGCCCAGGGGCCCTGGGACCCCTCTGGGCTCCCCTCACTGCTGCCTCTGGACAGCTGGCCATCATCGAGTACCTGGAGGAAACTCGGCCCACTCCACGACTCCTGCCTCAGGACCCAAAGAAGAGGGTCTTCGTGCGCATGATCTCCGACCTCATCACCAGCGGCATCCAGCCCCTGCAGGTGTGGCACTCGTGCGCCCCCACACTCGCACACTGCCTGTGGCAAGCCCCCAGTGGGGTGCCCAGCTTGGATGTGAGGGCAGCCAAAGGATGGGGAGGGACTGTCAGGGACTTAGACCGGAGTCACATGGTGGGGCAGGGGGAAGGGGTGGGATCCCGGAAATCATCCACTCTGCTGGGTCCCCAACCGCTTTCCCAGAAGCCCTGGGCTCCCCAGGATGCATCCAGAGGTACTGAAGGGGGAAAGGGCCAGGTAACAGGAAGCACCTGAGCAGCACAGGTCCGGGCCTCTCACCTTCATTAGCCAGAGCAGCCTCCCATTCATCTATTCCGTATCCTGGACCAGCATTTCCATAAGATTTTTATTTTTTATAAAGTTACCACTGAGTTTTTAAAAATATGATTTTAATAAAACAATCATCTGAGCTAACTCCTCCTGACTTTGCAAATGAGGGAATAGCCCCAGGAAGATGGAGTGACTTTGCAGTCACTCTGCTAAGACAAAGCAAGGACCAGAGCCCAGGACCAGGAGCTGTGTACCTGTGTCCCCCTCCCCCATGTCCCTTTGTTTTTTTTGTAACAAAGGGGGTTGTCGCAGACAGTCATCCTCATTTTATAGATGAGGAAGCTGAAGCCAGTCCTGTGTGCCTCCCCACCCCCACCCGCTGTACTGCACTCCCCCTCCTCACAAAGTACCACATTAGGGAAAAGGGATGGGAGGGAGAGGCCACGGGTTATGGCCACACCCATCACCGCTGCCTGGCAGTGTCCTGCGCCCCTACCCTTGCACATCTCTGCCGGAGTCACAGGCTTCCAGACTACAGGGGCCACTGGGGCTGCCTGAGAAGGGGCTGCTGAGTGGAGCCTCCTTTTAGCCTCAGGGCCCTGATGGGAGGAGGGCTGCTGGAGCCTGGGGGACAGGCAGAAAGGAGAGGAGGGAAACTGCGCTTCCCTGAGGGGGCGTGGCTCCCAAAGCCAATCACAGATTTTCCTTGGGCTGCACAGAACCTGTCTGTCCTGAAGCAAGTGGGAAAGGAGAACCAGCTGATCTGGGCCCAGAAGGCCATCAGTTCCGGTTTTAATGGTGAGTCCTTACTCCTGTGAGCTGCCCCGAGGTGACCTCTCAGAGAAGTGGCCCCAGTGCCCACGGCCCTGAGCATCTGAAAAAGCTTTCCAGGCTCTTTGACCTTGACAGTGGTGTGGAGGGGGGTAGGCAGGGCTGAGGGCGGGGGTGGCATCCAATCCCGGCCTCCACCTCTGGGGACCTCTGTACTTGAGGCCCCTTGGAGCTGGACGGCCCAGCCTCCGCTCTTCACTGCCCACTCCAGCTGGAAGACCAAGGCCAGCAAAGCGCCAGCCTGTCAGTGTCCTCCCCACGTGTCTGTCAACTCCCTCTACATCTGGCTGCCACATTCTCTCCCACACACATGCCCCAGCCTGCCCCTCAGACAGCCACCCATTTCAGTACCAGCAAGGGCAAGGCCCAGAAAGGCCCATCTCCCCTTGCTGTGCCCAGAGTCAGCGCATCCCTATGGTCCCCACAGCTTTGGAGCAGATCCTGCAGAGCACAGTGGGGAAGTACTGTGTGGGAGACGAGGTAAGCCCTCCCAGGCCTGCCCACCCCCTCCCACTCAGGCTCAGCCGTCTCCCTCCTCCCCAGGGCAGCCTCAGCTCAGAGAGCTTCCTGAGAAGGCGTGGGGGTGGGGGAGGAGAAGGGACCAAGGTCGTCCACTCTGTGCCAGCAGAAGGTAGCTCATGGGGAGCGCCACTGTGCCTTCCTAGTCAGCTGCCTCTGCAGGAAGCGAGTCTCATTCCTGAAGGTGGTCAAGCTGAAGACCTCATCTCGGAGCTGAGGATGTGGTCTAGGCATCAGCTGAGGGGTTAGTCTAGATGACATCTGCCTTCCCTCCCCATTCTGAGACTCCAGGGCTCAGGTGCCCTTGACTCCTACAGGCTGAGGCCCTGGCCCTGTGCTAATTCTGGTTCCAGGGCCCCCACCCCCACCCCGAGGCACCTCCCTCTGGGAGCCCTCACTAAGGGCTTGTGGTGGCGTTTCTTACCCCACACGGTATCTCCACTGAGGCCATCAAACCTCTGGCCACCCACAGGGTTGGCTGTCAGGGCAACTGGAGCAGGGCCTGGGAGAAACCCTCTGCTCTTGGGGACAGACCCAGACAGGCCCAGGGGGGACAAGGAGGGGGATGGGGCAGCGGGAATGGACGGCAAGGCCAAAAGCAAATGGGAGCATCGGGCTGGCCACCTAGTACTTCAGTCAGTTACACTCGCCCAGCCCGTGAGGCTGGGCTGCACCCCCTGACATGGACACACCCAACGCTCTTTCAGGTGTCCATGGCCGACATCTGCTTAGTGCCTCAGGTGGCAAATGCTGAAAGGTAAGAGAGCACTCTGACACCCTCCTTCTTCAACCTGGCTCCTCTGCTCAGAATGCCCAACCTGCTCCCACAAAATGCCTTCCTCCGCCCACTTCAGCGACTCGGGTAGTGTTTCGTGTAGAGAACTCTCCCAGGCTGGCCCCTGTGCGGGACCACGCCGGCCACTGGGAGAGACGGGGCAGAGGTAATCACGCCCAACTGCACACCCCGCTCCGGAGGAGAGGCGGCTCAGCTGGTGGACGGCCCTAGAAGAAACCACCCGAGAGCCGGCTGCCCCGGACGTGGTGCGGCTGTGCCCGGCAGTGAGCTCGCCCCTGCTTCCCTCCAGCAGCCCTTCAGGACGGCAGGAATGAGAACCTGTCTGTGGAAGGCACTGCGTTAGGCTCCCTTCAGGGTACAGAAATGTGACACATTCCCTGTCCCCAGGAAGCTTATGCCATGGTGGAGAGATAATTTGTATATGTAAATATCTAGCACTGTGTCTTGCACGTGGCAAGTTCTCAATAAATAGCCATTGCTTGGAGTAGGAACAGCAGGCAACAGAGACAGCAGACAACACGGCCCAAGAGCTGCCCCTCCCCAGAGAGCTACCTGTGAAGAAGGCCTCCGCCTGGCAGGGCCACCCTCCTAGCCCTTCCCTGGCTTACCCCAGAGCCTCCTCCAGCCCTGCTTCTGTGCTCCCCTCATCGCCCACAGGGCAGTCTCCCTGCGCCCATGCACGCCTTGGCTGAGGTGGGTGTTTCTCTGCCACAGGTTCAAGGTGGACCTCACTCCCTACCCTACCATCAGCCGAGTTAACAAGTCACTGCTGGCCTTGGAGGCCTTCCAAGTGTCTCACCCCTGCCGGCAGCCAGACACGCCCCCCGAACTGAGGGCCTAGCCCTCAGACCATGCACCACCGGTGCAAGAGCAGAAGCTAGGTGGGCTGACCAGGCCTGGAAGTGAGCGAGCCCTCACTGGAGAAGCAGGAGACGTGTACTCCTAGCCCTTGAACTTGAACTCTGGCCCTGGATCTGCCTTTGCACTGAACCTCTGCCTCTGTCCCTTCATCTGTCAGAAGTGATCAGGGTGGCCATGATTGGGCGGCTCGGTTGGAGCACCATCCCATACACCAAAAGGTTGCAGGTTCGATTCCTGGTCCGGGCATGTACCTAGGTTGTGGGTTTGATCCCCAATCAGGCTGTGCTTATGGGAACAGCTAATCAATGTTTTTCTCTCCTCCCCACCCCCGTTTCTCTTTCTCTAAAAGTAATTAAAAAATGTGTCCTCGAGTGAAGATTAAAAAACATAAAAGGGGTCAGAGTGGGTTAGGGGATGCTGGGAGGGAGGGAGGCAGGGACATTACCTGCTACCTATGGCAGGGCGAGGTCATTAAGCTGGAGTGAGCACATGGACTAAATGCCCGGCAGGTTTACCGGAGAGCCATAAGGAAGTCTGTGTGCCTCTTCCCGTCCCCTCCACTGTCCCTCACCCCGAAGAATGCCCACACTGCCATCTGATCATTAAGCTGAAGCCCGGGCCTCCAGGTTGTGAGGTGTTCAGTTTTCAGTTAAGGCAGTTCCAGGAGACGAATAGTCTTTCTAGCTGGAATTCCCCCGTTACTGGACCAGGAGAGGAAGTCAGCCAGCCCCCTGCCTACGCTGTGGTAGGCCTGGTCCCTGAGACCGAAGCCCAAAAGATTGCCTGAGAATCAGATAAGATCCAGAAGAGAACAGAAATGAGAGGCTGGCAAGAAAGCGTTTGGTGACCAGACAGGCTCCCAGGGCTAGGAAGGGCACCGCTGTTGAGAGTTCCACCCCAGCTCTGAGGGAAGTGGGCCCTCCAACCCAGTCCCTCACCTTCGGAGGCAGCAAGATGAGACACGGTGTAGTCCAGCCACGAAGAAATGGTCAGGGAACTGGAGGAAGCCTCAGCCTTAGGCAGTGGGAACCGCTACTGGCCAGACTAGCTCAGGTGACCTGCCAGGTAGCAGCAGTTTACCTTTGGTCCCCGTGCCTGGCAGTGTTCGATCAGAATCAGGATCACAGCTTAGCAGAGATGTAGGGAGACTGGGTCCCTTATGTGAGTGAAACAAGATGACCTCAGAGTCCTATACCTGAGGTTGCATTTCCCCTGCATGGCTGAGGGTCAAACAGGAAGTTAAAGGTCTGTGCGTCTGGTTCAGATGGAACGCACCTTGCTCAGCCCTGAGGCCCTTCTCCTCCGGCCCTCTAGTTCTCCCTCCACCTCCTGGGCTCCTTTGTGGCCTCTTTCTCTCTTGGGCAACCTCGGTTCCAGGCTCTAAAATGACCAAAGTGAGCCACTGTAGTTCCCGAGGTGAGTCTGTCCTGGTAAAGCCAGAGTGAAACAGGGAAGTAGCTAAAACACAGCAATGATGAGGAGACTCAATGGCACCTCCTGTCCTACCCTGCTGCCGTCTGGACCCTTTGCTCAGGTCACTCCAAACTTGCCTGGCTGGGTAAGGCTCAGCTAGGCTCTCTCCAAGAAACCTTTACTTGAGACAAGAAACTAATAGCCTGGTTAGCATTTGAAATAGGTGATGAGGACTCCTGCAGAATGTGAGGGCGGACGAACTGGGGAACGGAGGGCAGCCCCACACTGAGGCTGTGTTCCTGCACGTCCCTACCATGCGTGGAGCGTGTCCCGTGCTCCACGGCAGCGTGCCTCCCTGGGCCTGAGCCCGCCTCGGGGGCTCAGCTGGGCCGGACGGGCTGCTGCTGTCACGTCCCAGGGATGAAGGAGGCAGCTGGCTCTGCCTTCCACCAACAGGCCTTTGGGAGCCCAAAGGATCTGAAACCATTTCCAACACCTCCGAGGTAAAAAGGTTCCCCCGCCCTTTCTTCCTCCCAGTCTCATCTCCGGGTAACACAGAAGCCCAAGAAACTTCTGGGGAGTGAGGGAGAGAATCTGCATCTAGGACAAGGTACAGAAGGAAACCTGAGATCACTCCCCCTACCCTGAATGATTCCAGAGAGAACTAGGTGTAATGAGCGGGTGAACCAGGATTTTTCCTAGAAGAAAACAATCTTGTGTCTACACCTGCTGGTAATGGACTTACATTCCCCTCCACCCAGGCCAGCAGCAGGCAGTGAGCCCCTCAGGAAGCCCCCACGGACTGGGAGCTGGGACGTGTGGGCATCTGACTGGCGATGCCGCAGACGTGACCCCTGCTCTCACTGGGCTTATGCGTGCTCACTCCTGGAGACTTAAGCAGGCGCTCTAACGCTCCCACTCATCGTGGGTCTGTTGCTGCTCTGCTTTCTGGTCCAAGGTGACTTCCAAAAACAGACATATTTTCAACCCAAGTCTCTTCCCCAGCAGTATCAAAATATTAACTGGTTTAATCTGGGGCTTCATTAGCCATTCTAACCTTGATGGCAAGAGCTTACTGGATTTCAAGGAAATCTAAACCAGGTAAAGAGGCCATCCAGCCTCATTATCAAACATTTAGAAACCGTCCTGGTCAAGGGCACAGACGGACGGACTAGGTGTTCTCCCCGTAGTCCCCACCGCTCAGGTTGGCCTGTTCAATGGGAGTTTCCTGGTACGCGTCAAAGGAACACAGAAGTCAGCCCCGCGTGGGTGGGGAGGGCACAAATGCTTTGGCTTTTCCTCCGGACTCAGTGGAGATCCTTGGAGCCCATGACATTTCTGAAGCCCTCTTTTCTCATTGGTTTTCCCCAAACCCAGACAAACCTGTCCTTCTGCACAAAAACAAAAAGGTATCCAAGTCATAGGAATTCACTCTAGGCTGCTCTGAGGTGACTCACCAGGCAAGTCTGGGGTTCTTTCGAGTATTCCCGCATGGACCACCTGTGCCACCCAGAGGAGGTGACCGACCAAAGCTTTGTGGTTTTCAAATGCAGTCCCCCCGCCTTGTCTCATGATGCTTTTGTAAAGAGTTTTGTATTTGAAAGCTGGAACCTAAGCCACAGAGCTCTCCACTTAGTCCATAGCAACATGAACTGGTCTCAAACCAGGGCTGGGACTGTCCCTGCTGCTGCCTTTACCTAGAACCGAGGAGTGGACCAACCCAGGACAGACTCGGCTCTCAAGGGCCTGCAACAGCTCCTCTGTGGGTTTCAGGGGCTGGGGTGTGAGGAAGTGTGGGGAACTGGAGAGGTGGAATTGGGACGGCTGCGGAGAGAAGGCAGGCCCAGGAGCCACCGGCCCAGGGTCATCTGAAGGATGACAAAGCAGTGTGTTGGGGGAGTCGGGGGGCCCCAAGGGGCGAGCACAGGTTGTGGCTTCACTGAAGGACCACAGCTAATGAGAAGGGAGAACAGTCTGTCTGTCCTGGGCCTGCAGTTTCCAGTCAGAGGGAGACTATTGTGCGTTCCCAGCCCTGGGGCCTCCCTGGAGTCCGAATCATCAGGGAGGAGAGTTGCTCGGCTTCAGCCCCACCGCCACCCCCACACAGGGAACCAGGCCCTAGGGACCTGGGGCTGGCTACAGGGAGCCAGCAGAACCCTGTCCTCAAGTCCTGGAGACTGTGGGTGTGCTTTAGGGAGGAGGAGAAAGCAGCCTTTCTACGCCATCTCTGCAGCAGGGCAGCTCCCCCACGCTCCTCTGCGGTTCCGTTCCTCTTGCCGCTGTGACCCAAGTACCGAGCAAGGTGACTGGCCTCACTCCATAGATGTGTGTTAAACAAAAGATGTCCTTCCTGTGCGCTGTGGGTGGTCTCCCCGAATGTCTCTCTTCTCTTTCAGGGGCCTTAGAAGACCATGAAGGAGCAAATATTTCCCGAAATGCATAGACTTTTTTCTCTAGAGGTCAGACCAAATTGCTCCAAGGCTTAGCAATAATTAAGCTTCTATAAAAGGGTTTTGAAGATTACCTCCTCTGTGCCTCCTTCCAGTCTGCAAATAATGCTTATATTCAGGGGTCAGATGTATTTCTCAATGCAAAACCATCATCTATTTGGGAGATACTTTCCAACGGGGACTTCTCTCCAAAGGCTGAGCGGTAAAGGCCAAGTCCTTCCTCATTTCCACATCAGTTGTCAGATCTGTGAAGAACGATCAGTGGGCCCCTGATCCTGGAATGCGAGAGGCCACAGGGAGACGTGATCTGTCGTCTCCCCACAGTGCGAGTGGCCACAGAGGATGAGGAACAGATCGGAGTGGTCCTACCCTGGTAATTAGGTGGAAGTGGTAAGTCCTGGAAAATACTTTAGAAGGATGAAAGCAGGAAGGACTTGAGAACAAAGCAAAAAATACAGGATTTTGTTCCAAAGCAATTTTACATATCCACTAAGGAAAACAGTAAACTTATTGGACAAACAGGTGGATATACATGTTCATAAGTATTCATTTTATTGGCTCCTCCTGACTTCAAACAAAATTTATTTAGCTCCTAATTCTAAGGCCCCAGCAGGCACCATTCCACTTTGGGAGAATACCTGCAGTAAGATGGCCGAGTTTCACCAGAATCTCATGGGTTAAAGAACATCGGGCTGAATGTCAAGAGCTGCAGTGTGTGAGCTGCCTTCTGTAACCTTGCACTACGCCAGGGTCAATGATGTGACAGATATGAGTGCCATTAAAAATTAAGGAAGAATCTTCAGTATGTTAAGTGTTAGCAGTGACATATTCAGCATGCCCAATCGTAACTCAATTAGAATCGCTGGCTACATTCATAGTCTGGCTGGGATTTTCATCATCGGGTGTGGTGCATCATTTCACTCACGATTATTTCAGATCTCTTCCTCTTTTATACAACAGCCGCTAAAATACGCTGCAAAGGAAAGCAGAGACAGACCTACCGGGCTCATGGTGGAACCACAGATAATGGCTGAAGAAAGTGTTTAAATGGTGCCCGTCCCTGTACACATGGGAGCCCTTCTCATTCGGAAACGGACTCCAGGGACGTGCTATCTTACGGTGTCACTGCAGTAAATGCAAACAGGCTACATTAGTATTGCCCAGGCCAAGTTAATGACTAGCCTGGTGTCCAAAGTACTAGTTCCAAATTTGAACACAGCGAGCAAATTCATTGGAGAATGAGCACCACTGGGGACTCAACACTGGCAAAACCCAATAATGCTCTATTTAGTAATCATTACTCTAAACCCAGTTTTTCACTCTTGGGCTAAACCCAGTTCCCAGTTCATAATACTCTGCCATGAATCTTAATACAGATGAAAGAGCTATCATTAATCTCATTCCCAAGCTTCCTTAATTGCTGATTTTTTTTAATTTGTATAACCTCAATAGATTAAATTTATAGGATACCTTTCCTTTTAAGATGTTGAGGAGAGAGGAATAAACGTTTTAAATGTAAATTAGGTTAAGATATAACTCAAATGTTTCAGGTGCATAGTGAAAAAGTTTATTTATGACAGATTTCAAAACCGGGAAGGGAAGACAGAGAATGCACAAAAGCATCACAAAACTGTTCCATGATATAAAAACACAAGAACCGAGCTATATAAAGAACCATTGCCCGGGGCCACCAGCGTGTCACAGCGACACACCGGTGCGACAGGGAGAAGAAACGCGGTATTTTAAAGGAAAAGCCGATCAGCAGGACGTGATGGTTAAATAGCAGTTTGGTACAGAGCTCTCCGAAATCACAGGAGATGTTGGCAGCATTTTTCATGACAAGATATGTAAAACAAGTTGGCTGTAATAAGTGATTGGCTAAGATATTTTAAATAAAATGTTTGTATTTTAAATAAAAGACTTTCCCTTCCAGACCCCTTTTTGTAATGTCAGCGTCGATACATGAGACAGAATAAGGGAAAACGCCTTTGTGGTTGCCAATTGCTTAAACATCTACCAACAAAGCGTGCTCATCTTTCAACTGGCTGACAGCTCGGTGCGTGGCGGCCACGCAGGCCTTTCGGAAATCAGCTGGGTGGGCACGGCAGCTGGGGGAATCTTCAACACGTCCCTCTGCTCCCACTGTCCCTATTCAAACAGCTTTCTCGTAACCCATTGCTCTGATTACGAAGCAGCTCTCTTCTGGGAATTTCAGAAAACTTCCCATTATTGAGGAAACGTGGGTATGTGGCTAAGTGGCAAAAATTCAATTTGATTAAACGAAAAAATTTTTCATTTATGGGGCAATAATCTCAGAAAGGCATATTGGCGGAGTTTTTAATATGGAATTTCTTAGTTAAATGTACTATTTAGGACATAAGAGAAGAAATTAAAATAATGTTTCTCAGAGTATTCTTGCCTGAACCTAAAAATCAACAACAGCAGCCCTGACTGGTGTGGCCCAGCGAGTTGGGCGTTGTCCCGAAAAGCGAAAGGTCGCCAGTTTGACTCCTGGACGGGGCATGTGGCTGGGCTGAGGGCCAGGTCCCTGGCTGGGGATGTGAGAGGCAACCAATCAATACTGCTTTTATGTATCGACGTTTCTCTCTTTTCCCTCCCTTCCCCTCTCTGTAAAAATAAATAAATTCTTTATTTAAAAAGTCACAGACAAGGCATTTCTAACCTAAGTGAGGATGAGAGTTCAGGAAGATAACTCCTTAAAGTGACCGCCAGGTAAGGGCTCTTCTGTAACCCTATATCCTATGATATTTCAGGACAAAATTTTAGAATTGTTCATGACCCTGTATCAGAACTTTTAGAAAACACACTTTGTCCCCTGAAAGCCATTTCACATATGTATGACATTTTACCCCTAGATAAGCCCAAACTAACCACTTAAAATGACATAAAGCTATGGAATTTAATTTTGAGAGTCTGTATCTCTGGATTACTGGGGCACCTTTTCCTCAGCTCTCCAGGCGAAGAGGAGCCATGAAATTAGCTCTGGCCCACATGCCTGGGGCCTAAAAGAAATCAAAGTACACGTAATAGAAATCATACATTCAAAGCAGTGACCGGGACTAGAAATAATTTCAAAGCCAGAGCCTTGCCTTTGGACTTAGATTTTGAGGGAATGACTACTTATAAATAAGCCCCACTATCAAGGCTTCAGGCAATTAATTGGGTTTTCTGAGTATGGTGACAAGAGACTCCAACGGGAGGGGCTCTGGCCGTCTGGACTCAGGCAGGGGCGAGGCAACTCTCCAGAGGGAGCAGGGATTTCTGAAATCCGGCCCCACAGCAAAGTTCTTCTCATCCTTTGGGTGCCGAACCTCATCACATAAATAACTGGGTAGATGTCGACTAAGTGTCCACAGGTGCTGCACTGCTCAGACAGAGCAAAGCCGCGACACGGACCATGAGCAGGCCCCAGCCAAGCCAAAGCAGTCCTTGCAGAAGGGCCTGCCCGCCTTCCCAGAAAAGAGGATGCCAGGAACCAGCTCCCGGGGGCTTCTCCTTTGAAGGACGCCGAGGTCACTGCCTGCAGGAGACTGGTTCCTTCAGTGGGCCCCGAGGTCAGACTCCGAGAGCGCTGAGGAGCTGTGAGCTCACACCAATGTTACACTTACAGCCAGTAACAACAGAATACAGTTCCCACAGATGGAGGGCTCGCTCTACTTGTGAGCCAACTCTATGAACCCATCGGTCCCCTCGGTGTAGCACTGTCGCATCCTCTTCACCCTCCTGGCAGGTTAACAGGGGTCCCGACTGCAGTCACAGGTGAGTTACCCAGGGATCCCTATGGGACTGTGAGTCATCATCTGTCCTGCCAGTGGGGCTTCTGGTTTAAAGAACAAAGCCCTACTTCCAACCATGACTGACTGCTGCACCTACTCAATTTTATATCGCTATTACTTAATTCTGGTTAATCAGGTGAACGGAGGCCTTGGAGATCATGCTGCCAGTGCTAAAGTACCAGAGACAAGACATCAGAGAGAAATGGAAGGTGGCTAGTCCCTCTCTGCATCTCTAGCTGTGTGGAAACAAGGTCCCCAGGGACAGGGTCCCATGTGTGTGAAGACTGGGACTCTGGCCACGTGGACACTCAGCACAGGCTGGAGTACTGGCCATAACTGGTTTTAGACACCCTACTCAGTCCCCAAAGAATCATGCGTCACAGTTCCCTGAGCACAAACAATGATGTGATAACTTGCCCCCTGAATAGCATAAATCCCTTAGCAAGCTACCCCTCAAAATAACAAAAATGAAATTACCTTCCTTCAGAGAGAAACCCACTTTTCCAACTCTTTCGACCTCTGAGATGCTAGAGGGATGGTGCTCTTCCCTGTTCTAGCAGATTCAGGAGTTCTACAGAAAGAGACTAAAGAGTTTCACGTGGATCTTTTAGACTCAGGAGAATATGCAAACAGAAGCTCGAACAGGGGGAACAACTGTGTCTATTTGGTTTTTCCCATTTACTACTATGTGTAAACAAACCAGCCCACCCATTTTAAGGAAGATGGTGATCGCTACACCTCCCAGGGAGGTCAGCCTACAGGGGCACAGTTTGCTCACAAACATACTCTTATGTCTTGAGGCTCTTCCATGGCGTGAGTCAAAACTGATCCATTTCATCCCTTTCTCGGCCACAGTCAAACCACCTGGGGCCACAGGGACACAGCTGTAACTCTGCCTGGCTTCTTTCTAAACTCACCATCTTTTTCATGGCACTAGATGTGGCGGCCCCAGAAAACACAGCGATGAAATCAAACATCAGGCCAGGATTATAGTTAGCATAGGAAGCCTACTCTAAACTATTTCTAAAGTTGATCCTATTGGAAAAGGCAGTAAAGTGGGTTTGGGATTTCTAGAACAAGCACAGTGAGATCCCGTGAGGCTACTGGCTTAAAGAACAATTTCCAACTAATGAAATGCAAATTAAGAACTAAACAAAATCAGGACACAAGCAAAATTCCAGGATACATTTGATAACTTTTCTCTCTTCCCTTCATTGTCTCGTTTTCATGGCCTGCAGTCGGTCCAGCGAGGCAGCCCTGAAGCTGTACAAAACTTTCACTCCTGCCTCGTCCTCGAAAACAACTGTCTTTTATGTCAGTGTAGCATCACTCTGCAATGCACCTTAGGACCACATACTCTGGGGTTAAAAGCGACCTTTTACAGAAGAGTGGTTTACAAAATAAATACAGAAATACAGGCTTTGGGGTCTGGGTTTCACTTAATTCTTCCAAGGGGACTGGGGAAGGCTCATCAACACAATTCAGAATTTTGTATGTGTTTTACCATAATATCTAATCCCACTGATTAAAGTGAGACAGTGAGCTTTCAGATTTAATTCTTCCACGTACATATTACGGGGGACAATATATACATTTTAAAGGCTCAGTGTTTCTTTCCTAAATAACAGATAAAAGTATTTTTAAAGTGCATGAATCAATTATGAAAAAAACAAGAGTGGCCTCATTTCTAGTTGCTACCACTTCCATTATAAAGCTACACATCGTCTGAGGCTTGAGTTTTAATTTGAGTCCTGAGGATGTTCTCATAAAGCAGAAGAGATCAGAATAAAGTCCTGCCCTGGCAGCTTCACAGTCACTCTCACTCCAACACGGGCGTGCTGGAGAAGAACACAGCAGAACTTAAGGTCTGAGGAAGAGGGGAAACAGCTTGCGTTAGAAAGATGGAGGCCAGGAAACACTTTCGTGAGGACCGCCTCCCTGGGAACTCCTGTTGAAAGAAACAGGCCTGCAAAGATCCAGGGGCTCTCTGACCGAGGGCAGTTGACGTCTGTGCAGGGAACAGCTTCTAACTGAACACTTGCCGAAAGGAAAAGAGTGGTAGGATCATCTTTGTTTGAAAATTAGCAGCGTATAATTTTAAAATCTAGGTGGTGGTATGCATAAGCATGTTTACTATATATTCCTTTTCAAAACTCTGCAGAAAATTTTTCATAGTAAAATGTTGGAAAAAAATTAACCCTTTAAACACATCTTCTTTCTGAAAGCACCAATTCAAAAACTAAACAAATGGGAAAAATGTAAGGACTCAGCCACTGTGTGTAGAGAATTCTAGTGTCTCTCCTGCGGGGAAGTACTTATCTTTTGACCGTTAATGTTTATTTGTGCTCTGGGAGACAGGGTGAAGGCGAAAACACATGATTCTCATTTTACAGTCTGGTTCTGTAAACGTGGACGGGGAGAGACTGAGGAGACAGCTACCTCTTAGGATTTGCTGGGCTGTAAAGTTCTCAGCACCTATCTATGCTTCAGTAAGTATTATTTTGTCCCTCAAGTTCAATAATTTCAGGAATTTAACATGGGCATAGTGAATGGATTTTTAAAAATACCTTATTTTAGCTATTTTGTGCAAATGGAACAAAGAAACCCGACTGCTAGTGAAACAGCGGCAGAGGATGAAACGTAGGAACGTCCAAGACTTTTCAGAAGCGCCTGGACAGTGAGAGGCACACAAAGGCGACGGGAACAAGTCCCCGGGCTTCCCTGATGCGACAGAAGTAGGATTCCAAAGAAAATAAACACAGAGACTCTCACGGCAAAAATAAACAGTAAGTGTGACCCAGGGAGCTTGCTGTGGCCTGGCAGCTCCGTTTTAAGAGAAAGTCAGAAGTTAATAATAGGCAAGAAAAACAAGCAAGGCTTTAGCTGACCGGAGAGCAGCTCAGTAGAAAATCATGTTACAAAGATTCTATTAGCAAAGGCATGATTCAGCATCAGTGACGAAAGAGCGGTTGGTCATTCAGTTACCTGATGGGCCAGCGCAGAGCGGGTTGGCTTTTTGCTGCCCAAACAGAATCTAGAAAATAATTTCTAATTTCTTACAAGGTGTATAAATTTTGGCCAGTGTAATCCTCTACAAAACGCACTCAAATATAAAATAATGGTGGTGCGATGCTGCCCAGGGAGCGGGGAGGCGAGGGCAGCCCACCACATCCCGCCCTCCTCTGGGCTTTGCGCCCAGGGAAACCGGAGGAGCAGGCTGTGTCGCCTCTGCTCAAGACGCAGCCGCCACTGCAGACCTACTGCGAGGAGCCCTGTGCTTCCGTTTCCTGTCCCTACACGGAGGGGAGGCCTGGGGCGAGGCACTCACACGGGAAGGAATGAGCCAGAGGAAACCTGAAGAAGGGGACTCCTCAGAGGAGGCAAAGGACTTTGACATCCAGGAGTCACAGGATACCTGACTGGCTAGTCAAGTCCTCTGTCCTCAACCCGGGGCAAATGGGCACATTTTCTCACAACCTAGAATTGCTCACAGGGAATGCTGGGTAGGTTGGCGTCATCCGTCTCAGAAGGGGCAGATTCTTCCTGAAGCATCACAGGACTGACCTGCAGGAATGGAACATTATCACTTCCCAACTTCTCCTAAAACACTCACTCCACAGGAGAGGTGGCCTCAGTGGCTCAGAGCAGACGGAAGCCTTCTAACAGATGGAAACTGTTTCAAAGATAAAATGAAATGTGCATAAAAATAAATAAATAAAGTAATAAATAAATCTAATGATTTCTCAACATTCTGAGGACGTAACTCACTTGACACAAGAAATAAGAAACCAGGAAGTACCAACAACCACAGCGGTCCCTTCAAAGCCTGAGGCCCTGCCACCCTGGTGGCCACTGGCTGCCCCACCCCAAGGGGCTCCTGGGCCTCAGGGTTACAGAGTGGGAGTGGCCCCGCCAGGGGAATGCGAGGTCTGGCCTGGTAAAGAACTAATCCAACCAGCAGCCAACAGTGAAGCTCATTATTATCTTTCCTATGAGACTCTAAACATCAAAAGCTTTAAGCCCTCAATGCAACCTAAATGTGGGAATTTAGGAAGTCTGATTGGTTCCAAAGCAAAATTTCTAAAAAACACTCCCACTCTAAAGAAACAAAAGCACAGTTGGGAATCTGGAGTGCTGTTTTTGTTTTTTTCTTTTTTAACTTCCTTTGACTATGCAAAAAAAAATTTAGTAAGACTTGACTTTCAAAGATGTGGGTCCCGGCATCCATCCAGTACCTAACTGCCACCCTTTCCCCTTCAACCACCAGTGCCCATGGTAACGGACACGGCCTCCTGAAACAGGAAGTGATGGAGGCGAACTTTCTTCCCAGAAGACCCTAGTTACATTGATCGTCACTTTAGATTGCATGGAAGTTCTTGCTGTGAGGGCAAAGACACAGGCCTAGGAAAGGGGAAAGTGGAGGCAAACAGGCAGAGGCGAACCATCAGGACTGGCTGCACCCGTCCAAGGCAGTGAGGGCTCCCGGCCTGTGCTAGAGACCGCGAAGGACCAGCAGGTGGGAATATGGCAGTGGTTGAGAGGCTGGGCAGACCCTCTCCAGGCAAGAAACTCGCTCCTTCATGGACGACATGTTTTCCCCTCTTCCAGCCCTTCTAAACAGAGAGTGGGCACCACCGAATGCATCTGCAATAAAGGCTCTGGGAGAGGAGAGAGCAACTGAAATAATACACCTTATACCAAAATGAGCCTATCTTTAAAAGACAACGCTCGACTTGCTTTTAGGCTTTTGCCTGACGGGCACCTTTGTAGAGGGATTGTGCCTGAGTCTGAAGCAAGGAGAGTGGGAGTCATGGACCACGGAAGAGGGGCACGACACCACCACCTGCAGAAGCCAAGAAGGGGCAGAAGCTACGTGGGGTCAACGTCAGGCATGCCAGGCAGGGCGTGAGGGTCAGGAGCCTCACACTCAACTTCAAGCTCTTGCCTACCCCAAACGAGAAGCACCAGCTGGCAGCCTGCTCCAGCCAGCAAACACCGCCGGCCCGGTGCCCACGGGTCTTCAGCTGGTGTAGTAGATATGGAAGTAGAGGGTCTTGTTGCGCAGCAGGGAGTAGGAGTTGTCAAACTTGAGCAGGTAGACGCCCTCCCCGGGGTAGTCGTGGCTGCCTGCCTGCACGTCTCGGTGGCTGTCCCGCCGGTACACAGGCATGACCTCCCCATAGCGGCTCCGCAGGGAGCTCCTGGAGCCTCTCTCCACATCTCCAACTGGGACGAGGTCTGCATGAGCAAAATGGCAGAGTGTTTGAACAGGAGTTTAGAGACTGTGCTCGTAAGTCCTACCTGAAGGTAAGAGAATGGACCAGGTGAACTAATGGCTTTCACCCGGGGGGATGCTACCGCCCTCCTACAGGAACGTCTGGGTGATGCCAGGGCCCAGCAGTGCTGAACATCAGGACAGCACCTGCTGAACAAGCAGACATCCCACCCCAAGTCCCAGTAACGTCCCCGCTGAGAAACAAGGATTTAACCCTACAGAGCCAGAGCCTACCAAGCTCTAGAGGTGTCTGGACATTTCCAAGGGAAAGAAAGTAACATTTATTTATATTTCTTAAAGATTTTATTTATTTATCTTTAGAGGGGAAGGAAAGGAGAGAGGAGGAGAAATATCAATGTATGGTTGCCTCTCATGCGTCCCCTGCTGGGAACTGGCCGGCAACCCAGGCACGTGCCCTGACTGGGAATCGAACCACGGTTGTTTGGTCCACAGGAGAAAATGACATTTAAAAGAAAAGATTCTCACATCCTTTCATTGAACAGGGGAAAGAACTAGCTAATGGTAGGAGATACTGGCAAACTCGCTGTACAGAGTACCTAGAACTTCCACTTGGCCTCCTAAAGAGCAGCAAGTAACATCCGAGGAAAGGAGTTTCCTTAAACAGCCTAAGATTCCCCTGCAGACCTGCTGGTCCAAGAGGAAGCAAGTAAAGGAATTCATTTTAAGATAATATAGGAAAATGAAACAATAAAGTTAATGCTTAGAACCTACTCCTATACCACCCGCCTGCCCCCAATGCCTCAGGGCCATCCTGAGAAGGAATTGGAAGTAACAACTGCAATGGAGCCCAGGGGCTACTTCCAAAACTGCCCTAGAAATAAAACAAAGGAGCAAGCCGTGACCATCTGGTGTGACTCGGGGAGGAGTTGAGATTGGGTACATCTAGCAAACTATAATCACTCGGTTTGGTTCCAAGCCAAGAATGTAAATATCGTAAAACTCAGGAAAAAATGAGAAACAATCTCAGGTTTTTCTGTGACCTGAAAAACAATGCCTCTGCACACAGCAGCACTGGCCCCCCATCCCCCCGCCCTCAGGGAGACGCGGGGGCAACGGCAGGTGCTGACTAGAAGGGAAGGGAGCTTCCCACTGAGGCACCAATACCGATGCTCCCAGAGAGCGCTCTGAGGGTCTGACTGGCCTGCATCACTCCGCTGGGCTGGTGACGCTGCACGGGCTTCCTCACCTGCGTCCTAAGGAAGAGGAGGACCGATGCAACACAGGAAGTGCTCGCTAGATATCAGGGTGAGCCGGGAAAGGAAACGGCAAACTACATTAAAATGAAACTTACCTTCAATCCCTTCCTCCTCTTCCTCGTCTTCATCCTCATCCTCACTGGAATCACTGACCTGCACAGTTATGTCAGTGCTGGTTACAGGGGTCCAGTCAAAATAAACTCCAAAGCCAATGTCATAGTTGTCGGTAGCAAACTCCCAGCAGACACGCTTCCCCTCCGGATGGGTGGGTACCCGGATGGTCACCACCTCACCCCGCTTCACCACCAGACAGCTGTTCTTCTCTTTGCCCAGCTTGCTTTTGAATTCTTTCATCTTGGAAAAGGTCCAGACGCACGGAGGAGCCATCAGAGATGGGGAGACTGGAAGGACAGGCAGCTTATTACTGAGAAGCCAAAAGGACACGCTGCCCCACCCGGCACTTTGCCCAGGGAGGCGTCACAGTCACTTCTACTGGACTCCTTTTCCATCTTCCATCACAAGTTGCTGTCTGTGTTTCCCTCCATCCAGCCGCCTGCCTTTCTTTAACTTCCCAGTGGAAACAGAAAGGCACCTTCCGTACTCCCAAGGGCTCACCTTTCCTGTGGTCTCCCAGAAGGTCTGCAGATTCCAAATCAGCTGAGAGGATATCCACAGCTCCTGTGTGCTCAGACTGGATCATAACAATGTCTCCACACCTCTGTGTGGCTTGATACCTGGCCATCTGCACAACAGAATTCCGGTTAGAGGATGTATTACAGCAGCAGATGCCAACGAGCCTCTTTCCAAATGGAGGCTGGCCACCTGCCCTGTTAGGCGCTTTCCCAACTCTAAGCCTAATGTGCTACTCGTCATTCCTTCTCTTTTCCCCAGTTACAGGTTGCTAACAAATCCTACTGTAGTGCCACCAACATGTTCCATAATTTAAAGATTCTTTCTTGTTCTCTCCTACCTTTTTCAACTCTCCTACTCAATCAAGACACTTTATAAAACCCTTGCCCACAAACATCTTCAAAGCTTGCTAATGACTTTTGCATCAGCAGTGTTTCTGGGCCATGTCCTGGTCTCCTCTTAGCCTGCCTAGCACCTCCCTGCAGCTTCACTCCCGACAGCCCTTGCACCGGGGTTTAGCTCAATTCCCACTCTGCCGCCCAATCCTCCTGGCTGCAGCTGCCATCCAAAAGCTACTTCCAGACCACTGTCAGTCAATTCGCCAAAGGACCACAGAGAGAGAATCCAGTTTATTGTCTCTCTCATCCACAGCTCACCTTAGATACCTTTTCCCATTGGTTGTCTCACCCACTATCATGTTCTATAAATAATTATAATTTCCCCTTAGACCAGCCCCAGGACTTGCACGTAAACTGTGTATTTGTTGCCACACATCTAAACTGCATGGACTAGTACAAGTGCCACTCAATACTCAAAGCCCTTGGTAACTCATGGCAGGAACCGAGGGTCTCATTCAGATCTCTCATATTAGTATCCCTCTGTCCCGTGGTATTACGCGTGAATTTTCTGTCCCTTCTCCAAACAGTTGGCAGGCAACTCAAGAAGTACACTTACTGCCAACGTGGGAGAGCACGTCAGTGAGACAGCAGTCCAGCTCAGAGACTAGAAGTGTATTTGTAAGAAAGAAGGAAAGAAATTTTATAATCCTCCCAGACTATATTCTTATAACTATCCGTTTCTGGAGAATAAGTCTTTCAGTTCTCAATTCCATTGCTAAATGAAGTGAATCAGATTGTGAACTTGCTTGAGTTCTTCCTTTTCCAGAATTTAGCTTGTAGCTTATTAGCTACATAGCCTTAGTAAAGTCACTAATAGCTCTTAGCCTCAGTTTCCTCATCTGTAAAATGAGGACATAATGTTACCTGTCTTGTGGTGTTGTTTTCAGGAGTAAATGCAGTATTGTGAATAAAACGCTTTGTGAACTCTAATGCATTATACAATTGCAGTTCTAATGTTCGCCATTGTCCTTACTGACACTAATACCATTTGTCATTATAATATATAAAAATGATACAAACGACGCATTCTTCCATGGCAGAGAAACCACTACTAGCGACTCCATTTCTGTGGAATCTTTACCACAAATGCTGAGGAGAGCTGGCATGAGAAAAGTGAGACTAGAACACAGTCCAGTGGTTTAAGACTTCTCACCCTGAGAGGATTTTAGACAATATGTAAACATTCATTCTAATGCTTCATTTTTTAAATAGGTACCTATTGGGAGCTAGTACAGTGATGGGCCTTGTGGGAGATACACTCATTCTCAAACAATTAAACGTGAGATGCCCAAAGAGAGCAAAGAGCATTCTGTGAGCCACTCCACAGTGCCTTCTAATCCCCACCCACCCACGTGCGCCTGAACTCTGGTGCCGTGAACTCCTCCTTTTCAACGAAAGAGTGAGAACGTGCTCCCCACCTTGTCGAGGACGTGGGCCGGGTCTGCAGGCCGCAACTCCTGCCCCGCCAAGGCCTGAACCTCCAAGGCGCTGGCTGCTTTCTGCGGACCTTCTGTAACATCCTCCTTCCCCGGAGACACCATCTGCAGCCTCTCGGAGGAAGACAGCAGGTCAGTCCAAGGACTCTTTTAAAAAAGGCACGACAGACCCGGAGAAGCTCAGAAGTAAAACCACCTGCAAAGGACACACCCTGCAACCCCTGCTTTCCTCTGGTACTCGGGTCTGTCGGGTCTACTGCCCATCTGGCTGACCACCGCCCAGGGCTAACCCAGCCCACGGTAAAGTGGTGACCGCATATGAGGCCACATCCCAGGCTCCACAAACCACGGTAAACACACATCTCAGTCCCTCTGCAACGGACTGCAAGGTCTGATTCCTCCCTCTGGGACCCACACCATCTGTTCCACACAGAATTTCAACAAAAGTTAGACTCCCAGCCCACACACAGCTGCTGCTTAGAAGCAAAGAAAGTGCTCCCCAAAACAAAGGAAGCACAAACCGATTAGCAAGGACACCCCTGTCCAGTTATCCCAAGAGCAGTCAGCCTTTCGGCATGTCCATGTCACACACTACCTGTGCAGGCTACCACGGATCCCATGTTGCACCCAGTTCACCAGGCAACTTAAAGAGGTAATGACCTTCTTTCCTGTTTAAGCACATTAATCTACTACCCCAATGGCTTAAACCACATTTATTTGAGTAGTTGATTTCAAAGAAGCAAGGACATAATTATGCTTCCGCTTCCCCCGGCTCCCAGAGAAACTGAAGCACCCGAAGTGACAGGACCAGAACACAGCAGGCAGAACCCCCCGGGACCTCTTTCCAACCAAGGGGCCTGGGTTCTTGGTGGCGGCAGCTATCGAAGTATCGTCTGGGAGCCCTCTGTCCGTAAGGCTCTTTTGGGGGAGGCTGAAGTCAAAACTTCTTCAAAATAATCCTAAAATATCACTTGTATTTTTTCATTTTCATCTTCTTAAGCGTATACAGCAGAGTTTTCCAGAGACCACATGTGACACCGCAGCAGAATGAATGCAGCAGCCGATCTGAGAATCCAACTGCCTCTTGTTAAGGCAGACGTTTAATGACTTTACGTCTCTCTTCTCACTGAATTATTGTCACTTAAAAAAACCCTTTTCATTAAAAACATGTTATATATATTAACATGTAATGAGTTTGTTATTGCTCTTTTTAAATGAGTCAGTAATTTTTTAACCTTTCAGTTTTAGTTAATATAGTAAACATTGATAGATATAACCCACATAAGTAAAAATTCTTTGGGGTGTACAGGTTTGAGAACTACTGCTTTAGGGCATCATTTCCTCAAAAACAGAGGGCTTACTTTGGAGTTCATCAGTTTCTTTCTCTCTCTTTCTTTCAACCAAACAAGAAAAACCCTTCTAGCTTGTAAATTACCTCTCCTTTAGATAAAACAGAGCCATCTTTCAGAATATCCAAGTCACTCCGATGTATCTCAGAGCAAACAAGAGGGAATTACTATGAAAATCAGAGCATGGGATACCGTTGATTTTTACAGGTTTGCATGGTAATCCTGGGTAAACTGTAAACTGATCTCTGGTGTGAGCCTATTTCATCCCCCAGACCAGAAATTATGGTCGCCTTTGTTTCTTGACACTATTACCATCGGTCTCCCTATTGGGTGAGCTTGAAGGCAAGAACTCAGCCTTCCCCCTCTGTTTGCACAGTACCCACAGCCAAGCCTGTCACGTGGGACTCTAACGCCCTTTGCACTCCGACCCCATCTCTCCCTGAGCGATCTCACCTCGCCTTGCCTCGTCCACTCCAAGCACGACACCTCTGAATCTCCTAAGAATCCTCAAACAGTGCAGGCCCTCTCCCGCCTGAGGGTTTCTGCACCTGCTGCCACCTCTGTCCAAAATCCTCTTCCCCTAGTTACCTGCTGGCTTCCTTCCTTCAGGTTTCTGCTCAGCCCCGGCCCGCCTCTCTTTACACCTTCCCCGCCTCACTTTTCTTCACGGCACTCATCACTGCCTGGCATATTATGCACCCTATTTGGTTGACTGCAAGATGCAAATTTGTTCTCAGATTTTGATTCAACTGAACTATGGGATGTCCTGAAGACTGGTGGCGTGTTCAAACGGCCTCGGGCCTCGACTGACACAGAGCCCTTCCACAGGAGACCTGCTTTTGCCTCTGCCGGTGCTCGGGAGCGCTACCAACAGAGTCGACTTACAGCCTGTTTAGAGCACACTGGCAGAGTGACTTCAGAAAACAAACTGGTGATGAGCTTGGGGTTCAGACCCTCAGAGGACGTCCTGCCCTCACACAGTGCCCAGGCGGAGACACACCAGTTTCCTTGATGGGGGAAATTAATAGATATTCTAAAATATAGCACAGCAATTAGGGGAATGTTTTTCACAGCCCAGGTGTTTAACAGCCCAGTGATTTGCCTTGTTTCTTCTAGCTTATTGCCTACATACCAGAGATAGTGAAACACTCTGCTTTCTGCTTCTGTAAACTGTCTCCTGCTTTGGTCTGAAGGACAGGCCTCCCCCCCACCCCTTTGTTCAAGGCCCAGAATTTGGAAACTGACTCCTCTGGGCCTGCGTAAAATAAACTTCCACTCCGTACACCCGAAAGCGGCTGAGTTGTTTTCTGTAACATCTGGTTCCCTGACCGGGAATCCACACTCCCGCGAGCAGGCCTTTTTGCCTCCCGTGTGTGGGCAACGGGGGAGTGACCCAGAGGGAGCCCGGGGGCGAAGGGAAGCACGCGCCCTGGTGATTTCGGTCCCGGACACGAAGGCATCCTCCGGACCGCTCTTCAACCCGGGCAGGCAGGGTGCGGACTGGAACTATCTGAACCTGAGAAGGTGCCAATCGGTGAGTGCCCTGGGGACCAGAGCCTGAGATCAGATCCACCCTTTGGGGTGGAAAGAGAGACTGATCACCTCTCAGGCAGGCAATTAGCCGTGAGTCCTCTGGAGGCCAACTGGCCATCTGGAAGGGGAAATGTATCCCCACCGGAGCAGTCCTACTGGGGCAGGACTGTATAAACTCTTGGATGTTTGTCTGTGTGTTTGTAGGAGTGAATGTGTTTGTGGCTCCACCGGTGAAAAACCTATGGAGCAGGAGTGACCCCCCCACCGCTGGAGGGATGGGAGGCGGCAGAGGGCCACAGGGCTCCCTGCACCTGGTCCTGCTAAGTGGGTTGTCAAGGAGACAAGCAGGGCTACCTCAGCCGAGCCCCCTTGTTTGAGCCAGGAGCCAGGAGGGAGCTCTGAAGACCTCCTGGGCACATGCTGACGGCCCCAGCAGTGGGTCCTTTAGGAAACCAAATACCACCCAGGAGCAAGGAGCCACCAGATTGCCTAAGCAGAGGAACCAAGAGTAGAAAGAATAATAGATAAATCTAGATAAGTAGAAATATATATAAAGGATGTGAGAGTTTTAAACCTGGAGTAAAGGAAACCGTAACTACTTGTTTTCTGGTTTTGTGAGAAAAGAGCAAATTTCTCACATGTGGTTCTGTTTCTAATCAGAAACCTGTATCGTAAGACCTAGGAAAGGTTGCCTGTAGCCGGTTGGGGAGAATGCCTTTGCCACCCAGGAAGGGTTAGTTGGGTCTGATGTGTGCTTCAGCCTGAGACAAAGCAGCATGTTTCTGCCATGAGACCAGGTCTGAAGGAGCATATCTCTGCAAGGCACCAGTGGACGATGCATTGGTACAAGAGAATGTCTCTACCTGTGTGTTGTTTTGACACTGTGTTTCAGATTTTGCTCTGTGTCTGCTCTGAAAAGGAAAAAGAAGGAGCCCACTGGCAGGTGACAAAGGCCAGGGTTACAGGCGCCTACAGTCCTCAGCCTAGCTGGCTTGGACCCAGACCAGACTGCCACAGGGCTTCAGAAGCTCTCCCACTCCCCTCAGAGGGGGCCTGGCCAGAGATCTGGCATCATTCACCGGGAGGGAGACTGACCCAGTGTTGCTGTGGTGTGTGGGTGGCCTCCTTTCAGCCACACTGGCCCAGGATGGATGCTGGGAGGGCCCTTGCCAGCTGTTCAAGCTGCTGGCTGGGACAGGGTGCCGGGTGTCCTTGAAGAAGGGACGCAGGTCTGGGCAGGGTGGGCACACTCGTGCTGACCCCAGAGCTCGGGAAGGGTGGAGTGCATGGACCAGACTCTCAGGGAAGCTCTGGCTGGGTTCCACCAGGAGGCTGAACTGATTTGCTGCCACTGGCACTGCTTAGGGTTGGGAGTGCCCCTAGCCCTTCGGGCTGTGCCCCGTGTGGATTAGTCTTTGGGAGACCTCCTCCCATCCTCAGAATAGATAAAGGGGGGACCCGGACAGCAGGAACTCCCCTGGTGACATTGCCTTCTGGGGAGGTGAGGCCCACTGTAGGGGACCGGTTTGTCTTAGCCTGGCAAATGTGACTCAGCTCTGTATGGAAAACCTACAAATGCGAAGTGGTAGGCAGGAGCCAGACCTTCAAACCAAGTTTTCCTGTCAGAATCAGGCCTAGAAAATACTCACAGACTGTTATAGCTTGCTCTTGCTAAAACTCCCTCACCCTGGTCTAAAGCAATAAATGTATATTGTTTATCCTCAAGGTAACTTCCAAAGCCTGTGTGAGCTCCCCCAAGGACACAGCTAATGAGCTTATTGCCATCCCCCTCTGCATGCTATTTTTATTTCCTTGATTGTACCTAGAATGTAGACAATAATGTTCTATGTGATAGATGATAAATCTTTCTATGATGTAAGACCCCAGGAAAACAATAAACGCCTATCTAAGCAAGGGTCAAGGTACTCCCCTCTTGAGGGAGTGGCCGAGGCACCATAGGCACTCTCCCCTTGAGCGAGTAGTCGTGCCTGTTCCCTTTTTCCACACAGGATTGTTGTCACCTGTGCATTGATTCTTGTCGTCAACCGCAATAGGCGGACTCTGCTGGATAGGGTCTGCAATAGCCCACTATGGCTTCTCCCACCCTGCAAGTGGGAGAAGTCTCTACCACGGATTGGCAGCCTCTGCGAGTAGGCTCTGCTCACCTGCTGCACCAGGGGCCTCGGGGACCTCCTGGACCTCCTTCACTCTGGAGACTGGAGCCAGAGCCTCAGGACTGCCATTTTGGGTAAAATGGATGAGCGACATGAATGCCCCACTATAAAGAACAGAGTGTTCATGGGCGTCACCATCTTAGAACTGGCGAAGGCTTCTTTTCAGGTTATAAGCTGTATGCTGCTGCTGTGTGGACACTGCAGCAGTCAAGTTTTCTGTGTAACTAGTTCTGATAAGAATAGCTTTAGTTTTGAAGATCATGAACTGAGGTCCAAGGCTGACCATCTGATTTATAGGGTGTTTGCAAGGTCTAAGCTTCAGAAAGGTAAAAAGTGTCCCTGCAAGTCTAGGGACTTTTAGTAGAAGATGCCTATAGTGCTAGGGACTTTTAGCTGCCAGATACTGAGTTTAAGTAGAATCCTTCCCAGTGTGGGAAAGGAACAGGGATTAAAAGTGAATTATCGATAAATATGGATAGGTAAAAAGCCTATAAAATGTTTGTGAATATTGCAGAGTCTGTGGGAAGTTATAAAAATAAATGGAGATGTGAAAGTTTTGGAAAGAAATTATGTAGTGTTAGTAATAGAAGGTATAAGGCATAGAGATGCAATCTTAGTGGGTATTAGAAGGAGAGAGATTTTCCTTCAAGCTTTGTTTTTCTCCATACCTGATCCCTCCAGAATTTGGCATTCTGAATGAATAAATGATAATGTAAGGGTTCTTTGCATAAAACCAATAAGGCCAGTCATTAATAGTGGTTTTGTTAACCAGGACTTTGTCTGGAATGTCACGCCTGAAGGAGGCATGTATGGGTTCTGGTCGTTACCAGAAAGCTCAGAGGAACTGGGATTGACCTGTGAAGCTAGCGAAAGCCCACGAGAAAAGCCTGGTACTTTGGTTAGTTGTGTGGTTCCAGCCAGCCTTTCCAGGGAAGGAACGAAGGCTGCTTTCCTGAAAGATGGCTAAAAAGGAACCTGTAGGTACAATAGAGGCTCAAGGATTTGAGTGAAACGACTGGTACAGGCGAAGCCAGATGGCAGATGTGTGGCTCTGCTTCTGTGCCCTGAGGGGCGGACTGAGAAGTCAATCTGAAGGTTCCCTGTGTGAGTTCCAACAAAGCATACTTAAGGATCAGGAGTGATCCAGGCTGCTCTTGGTGTATTTATGCAAATGAACAGTCAAAATCAAAAGCAGGACCCAAAGTAGTCCCTGTAATAACAGTGAGGGTGATCTTAAGGAGAAAAATTGTAGTTCAAGGAAAAATCACTATATTCAGTATTGGAAATCAGAATGGCGCAGCTAACTGTCTTAAAAGTTTATTTTCATTTAAGAGTTGAAACCAGGTTTGTGATGTCACCAAAGATGTACCATTTACAGGTGCAAAGGACCTGTCAAGTTGCCACTCCTGTTAAATGTCATTGCAGGAAGGACCTTGCAATGGAATGTCTTCCCAAAAGACAGTCTCACAGGCGCAGAGACTGGTTTGGGGATCGTTGTGTAAATTAACCTGTGTGTTCTTCTGTTTCATAGGGTGTACGCCTATGACCTGCCTGTGCCTATGGATGATTAGTTACAATACAGGCCTCACTTAAGGAGCCCATCTTCATCGTCGCCCCCCTGAGACTCAACAGTTTGATTCAGCTAAGTAGCTAGGTTGATAAAGGGTTGGGGTGGTCTGTGGGCTTCACTTTAGAACTGATTTTCCCTTTTCTGCCTTGATAGCTTGGACAGAAAGGGCTCAGAAATCTGAAAGGAGGGAAATCTTAATGTATTCCCCTCAGCCCAAGTAAAGTATAGTAGGCCACGAGAGTCTGGGATAGGTGTAGCATGACTTGTAACACCTTCTACTAGATAAGCCATTCTTTACTGAAGTCCCTGCCTTTGTCACTTAATAGTTATAATTTAATTGTACTTCCAATTTCTTGCCTAATCTGTCACCTCCAGAATACAACCTGACCAGGATGCCAACAGTTCAGTAATGCCAGCCTTTGGACACCAAGCCTGCGACTTCCTGGTGACAGCCAAGGACCTTCTCAGATCCTTCCCCTTGCAGAAAGGACTCCCTCTGTGCTGCACCCCCCCCTCCTTCAGGATACCCCTGACCCAAGGGTAGGTAGGATGACATCCATGTCCAGCCGGAAGCAGTTATAAGGAGATGAGACCTTCGTCCATTGTCCTTATATATAATTCCAGAAGGGAAAGAAACCTCATTAATACTCTGAATCCAGGGAAAGGGGGGACATTCCTAGGAGAGGAATATTGCTACTATGTAAATCAGTCAGGGATCATAGCTAAGAAAGTTAAAAAAAATCAGAGAGAATATAAACCACCACACCAAAGAAACAGAAAGTTAGAATTAGAGAAATTGATGAATAAATCCTCCAGCCTGGCTCCAGTAGCTATTTCCCTTTCTAGGACCCCTAATTATTATCTTCTTAGGTTTAAGCTTCGGCCCCTGTACCCTGCGGATCATAGTCCAGAACTTAGAAGCAACCGCCAATATCCTGTCCCTCTAGAGACATCACTATCAGAAGATACGCCAAGATTTATAGGCCAGCCTTATATTGATGCTAGTCCAGCTAACAGTGCTGTCAAGCATCAAAGGGGGGAATGTTGGGGGAAATTGATAGCTATTTTAAAATATAGCACAGCAATTAGGGGAATGTTTTTCACAGCCCAGGTGTTTAACAGCCCAGTGATTTGCCTTGTTTCTTCTAGCTTATCGCCTACATACCAGAGATAGTGAAACACTCTGCTTTCTGCTTCTGTAAACTGTCTCCTGCTTTGGTCTGAAGGACAGGTTCCCCCCCCCCCCACTCTATAAAATAACTGCTTTCCCTTTGTTCAAGGCCCAGAATTTGGAAACTGACTACTCTGGGCCAGCGCATAAAATAAACTTCCACTCCGTACACCCGAAAGCGGCTGAGTTGTTTTCTGTAACATCTTTGCTGTCCTTTGCCCTGCAAAGGGGTGGTTTTCCTTGTTTATCTTTTCCCTGAAGGTGCAGGCTTTTGTTGAAGCAAAGCTCCGTGTGGAGGGTCTCTTATGAGACTGGCTGTCTTGGGCATTTCTTTCTTACTTGCTGGTACATAAAATGGCAGTTCATCTTACAGCTGATGGCAACTTAGAGTCTATGAAAGACAATGTGTACCATTCCATCTGCCTCCCTCACTAGGATAAAAACTCCACGAGACCAGGAACTTGGATTGCTTGTGCATTTTTTTCCTTTATCGGTTTTGGGTTTTTTCCCATTTAGTCTCCTTATTCCCCCCTCCCACCCACTTGTTCATTCATGGCACCTCCAGTGCCTAGAAGAGTGGTGGGTGTATGGAGGCCCTCTGTAAATATCTGCTGAGTGAATAAACAGTAGACACCCAATCGTTCTCTGTTGAATAAGTCAATGAATAAATGAATTTTTGTTTGGGAACAAAGGACTATTCCAAAGGAATATTTGGAATGTGAGACTACAACAGTTAATTTGACCATTATTAGCCTGCCCTTACCATATACAGCACCTAAAATTTAGTCTCTTCATTGCCTTTGTGCATGTTACTTTGCACAAACATGGTTCTACTTAGTGAAAAATATTTTAAACAGGATAAATAACAGCCACATAAATTCAATACTCATGTTGGCGTGTTACGCTCTGAAGAATCAGTGGAGGGTATTTTGGGGAAGATAAACTGCAAAGCACTTGATGCCAGTGAAGAACCGCACACGGGGGAACTCCCACAGGCTTCCGGTCCTGCTCACCCAGAACAGGCCCCGCCCTGAAGGGAGGAGTCGGCCTGGCAAGAACAGGCGGCGTTGTGACGTCTCCATTCTCAACAAACTCGAAACACAAATAGGGCCCTGGGCATCAGACACTCACTGTCACAAGTGCTGGATTTTTCTTCACACACTAGATTTTAGAAAAAAAACTTTAAAATTAAATCTTTTTCTGAGAATGTTCCATACGAATAACCCTCAGTCAAATAACATATTTATTCTTAGTGGGAAAATCAGTTCTGTGCCCAAACCCATCCCCAAAGGTCCTTCAGACCAACAGAGAAAGGGTGGTGGCAGGAGGAGGGAAAGTTCCCCTCCAGGATTTGATGAGAACGTACATTGTCTCAAACAATCAGCGCCTTGGGGAGACTGTGCCTTCAGAAGCAGTGTCATAGATAGTAACCTAGTAGCTCTAAGCAGAGAACTCAAAACTCTTCTGCTGCTACTGATGAGAGTAAGCTTCAGAAGCTGGGTAAATGGGCAAATTACTCAATTCACTGTTTGATTTTCCTCATCTTAAAAAACAATAGGTATATTTATTTAATGAGGGTTGCTATGAGAACTAAATGATATAATGTGGTTTAATACCTGGAATAGTATAAGCAAATATAAATATTCGATAAAAAGTAGTAATTTTATTATTACTATTACAAAGAAACACTTAATAAAGTGTGGCTTATACTATTATCACCAACTATATTAATCATTATCTTCCATCATCTGAATTTGGGGGAAAAGAGTTTTATGTCATATACAAAGATAAGAAGATAAGAACTTCTCCCTGAGAAGTTCTTCTCACTGAGGGCGGGGAGATGAGACGGCTGGAGAGGAAGGTTCACTTCAGAATGACAACTTGGAAGTCATCATAATAGTTTAATCTGAAAATTACTCAATAAAAAACTGCCTCCAATAACGTGTGTGTGCATTTTTTTAATAAAAACCAAACACCTGTTCTCCTGAAAGTGCACCTGCAATCTACTCCAAATGCCTTCCATTTGAACCTAGTCTTCAGGAGAACATAAAGACACTACACTATTTGTTACAGTCTGATTCTCTGAGAGTCCAAGAAAATTTTATAACTTGAAATAGATCTAACATCAACCCTAAATACACTTAAAGGTTGATTATTTAACAGCAAACCATTCAGACCCTTCACTTCAACCTGTCTTCCCCCTTAAAGTCGCTGCCCACGTCTCTCGCCAATTCCTTCTCTCTGAAGAGAAAAGCAGTGGAAGCATTTTATGCAAAGCCGCTGTTGTCCCTACCTGTAGGGTGAGGACTGGGGCCCTGGATCGGAGGCAGAAGCCGCTGGAGAGGTGACCCTGGTGTTTTCTAGATCTTCCTTCTCTAGAAAACCATGGAAAGAAAAGTTCAACATCTAGGAGGGAACACAATCATAATTATCTTGTACCATTTTTTAAAAGCTGGCAGCCCTGGCCAGTGTGACTCAGGTGGTTGGAGCGTCATTTCCTAACCCAAAAAGTCACAGGTTCAATTCCCAGTTGTGGCACATACAAGAGGCAACTGATCAATGTTTCTCTCCCAAATCAATGTTTCTCTCTCACATCGAGGTTTCTCTCCCTCTCTGCCTCCCTCCCTGTCCCTCTCTAAGCGTGCACTTAAGTGAGGGAAATAAATAAATAAACAAACAAGCAAACAAACAAATCAATCTGGCAGTTTCAAACAACTTTCCCTTTCCAAAAATATTCTGGGCATAACTTTATACTCTGGAAGGCCCAGTACATAAGTTATTCAAATCATCACATCCAAGTAGTCTCAGATAGTCATAACCCATTTATAAAAAAAAATAATTCATTTTTCCAAACAAGTCCCCACAGAAGTTATCCTAATTCAAGAATCATTATTTCTCAGAAAGCCGATGGTTAAATTAGGCAGAAAATACAGGGCAGAGTGAGATGTAGGATGAAACGAACTGGAATCCAGCACCGAAGTGTAGAACGCCACCTCTGTAATCAACCAGCTCAGGCCACTGTACCCAAGATCAGGTAAAGAACTTCTGTAATTTCATTCATTTACGCATTCACTCATCAAGGCCTTCCTGAACGCTGTTGGGTGCCTTCAAGGAGGGTACAGGTGAAACGCACAATGAGGGCTATGTCTCCAAGCTGACAACAAGCCTATGGCTGGCACCGCCACTGCCATTTTGCAGGTAAGGAAAATGTGGCATAGAGACAGGACTCAAACCAGGCAGTCAGGCTGGTAATCATCGGGTGCTACTTAGTTTGATGGTTTATTCACTTAGCTGTTCCTTGAGCCCTCAGATAGCCATATGTTTTGGTGTGTATTTAGATAATCCTGGTTTAACATCTTCTAGCTAGGACAGCAAGAAACTGAAGCCCAAAGTTCACTTCTTTTTTAAATTATTTATTTCTTTATTTTAAGATAGAGAGGAAGGGAAGGAGAAAGAGAAAGAAAAAAACATCAATTTGTGGTTGCCTCTCATGCACCCCGCACCAGGAACCTGGCCTGCAACCCAGGCACGTGCCCCATCTGGGAATCAAACTAGCAACCCTTTGGTTTGCAGGCCCATGCTCAATCCACTGAGCTACACCAGCCAAGGCCAAAGTTCACTTCTTAATTCAAAATACAACTTACTGAAGTAAACCTCAAACCCTGAAAGTTTCAGAGTTTGGAAGCAACATAAAAATGCAAATGACAGGCAAATATTCGTAATCCAATTTTAATCTAGTCTCATTTTTTGTATGTAAATAAGAACTTTTTTTTTTTCACTAGAGAATTCACACTGTCATAGACAGAAAAGCCTTAGAGCTCATGCCACACAATTTTTCTCTTGTAAGGTAACAGAATACCCACACACATAAAATCCTCACCTAGGACATGTTTTCACTGCATTTAGAGAGAGAGGAAAAGAGAAAGAGAAACGTCGATGCGAGAGAGAAGCACCGATTGGTTGCCTCCTGGATGATCCCAGACAAGGAATCAAACCTGCAACCTACACACCTGCCCTGACCAGGAATCAAACCCACAGCCTCTGGGCTATGGGATGATACTCCCACCGACTGAGCAGCACCGGCCAGGGTGAAAATATATATATTAGTCTCTGCCCCTGGCTCCTGGCACGAAAGTCACCAAAACCCTTATAATTTCCTAAGTGATAAGGGCACTGGGAGCATCTTTTGTTCTAATATTTGGTCTGTGACCCTGATTGCTGACAGACACAGGGTACCCAAATCCCAAGGAATTTCTTGGGTGAGATAAATGACTTTTGGTCTGAGAGGAGACTCTGGGTGGGCTCCTGGAAGGGGGCTGGCCACTGGAAAGACCAAGCAGAGAGCAGAAGCTTGAACTCTCAGCCCCACCCTCCATTCTCCGGAGAGGAGAAGGGGATGGAACTGAAGTTGATCTGTCATTGTGCCTGTGTGATAAAGCCTCCTCCATAAAAATCCCAAAGCACAGGATTCGGAGAGCTTCCCACTTGGTGAGCACATCCACGCGCTGGGAGAGCAACGCGGCCCCAGCTCCACGGGGACAGGAGCTTCCGAGCTCGGGACCCTCCCGGACCTGTCCCTCTGTATCTCCATCTGACTGTTCCCTGCATCCTTTAGCACAGCGGTTAATAAGCTGGTAAACATGTTTCCCTGAGTTCTGTGAGCTGTTCTAACACATCATCAAATCCAAGAGGGAGGTGGGTCAATTCGTAGCCAAGTAGGACAGAAGCTGCAGTAGCCTGGGGACCCACTATGTTCACACTGACATCTGAAGTAGGGGTGCAGGGCCATCTGGCGGGCGGCGCCAACCTCCAGGTAGAGTGTCATAACTGAGTTAAATTACGGACACCCAGCTGGTGTTGCAGAATTGCGTGGTGTGGGTGAAGAACCCCTCACTTCTGGTATCGGAGTTGAGTGTGGCGGTGGTGTGAGAGTAAAGGGGACACACACAGGGGAAGAGCCAAGGTTTACTCTCCACAGCTCAACAACAGCACTGAGTCCAAGGTGACAGTCAGATGCATCCTCCCCGGTCTCTGCCGCCCTGGGAAGAGGCCCTTCCTAGTGGGCAATAACAGAACAGAAAGTCCTTCCCTACGTTGACCAAGGGAAATCTGCTTCCTAATAAATCCTGCAATTCGATCACTCCTCCCGACAATATCCTTTCAAATATTCACAGCCTGCTATCACATTGCCTGCCCATTCCTTCCCGGGCTGGCTGACCATCTCCGGTGATCTCTGACCCCGCTGGCCTCATTTAGGTGCTCCACTTCATCCCATTTTAAGGTGAGGACCTAAAATGGCCGCTTTTCAGATGTGTTCGAATCCACGCAGAGTACACTGAAACAATAAGCTCTTAGTAAGGACAGAATATTTCTTGACATAATATCTTAACAGGGCACTTGACTTTTTTAACTGAAAACTTACACTGTTGACCTAAATAAGTTAATCAAGATCTCCACGACTTACAAAAATAAACTTACTATAAGCCTTGTCACTCTCCTATTCTGTTTTTGATTCAGATTTGTGGAAGATAATTGAGTTTTTAACTTACATGCAAGACTTTACATATCTCTATTATTTATTTCAAGTTAACTTTTGAAATTATACTAATATGTTCTCTGCTATTTGTATACAGATAAGAAAATATTTTGCATTTATCCTTACAGGCTTTAATATATAAATAATCCATTATTCAGTGTAGAAAAAAGTCAGGAAACACAAATAAGCAAAAACAAAACAAAAACAACAACTATAATCTCACTAGCCCAAAATAACCACTGTTAAGCATTTTGGTGCATTTCCTCTCGGAAATGTACTTACATATTTGTAAGTACACACAGACAGACACATAAGTGTATTCCCCCCACCCCCGGCCATCAGCTTTGTGTGGGGCATGGAGACCGCAGGTCTGCTGGACATGATGCCCCGCAGGTTGCTCAGTTGAACTATAATGCCTACTAGCTCGGGATTCTCCAAAATACGGCTTTCATTAATTACTCACTAATGTTTTACAGTTTCCACTCATTCTATGGCTCAAATGTATATATTTCTAAAAGGACATGCATCAAATATTACTGATTATTCATGAACATTTTTCAGGATGAAAATGACTGTGTATTATTGTATAGGCTATACCAGAATTTCTTTAACTGACCCAAGCCTCTAGTGTTAGAGCTACATACTGTTTCAAATCTCTCACCGTTAGACAATGACACTATGTTACAGGTATCTGCAACTCTCTTAAAAACTTCCCCTGCGAGGCCCTGCAACCAAGGTGCACTATGGTAGCCGTAGTTCATTTATTGGTTTTGGGTGAACACCTGCCCAAAAGCCAGTCCAATTCTCTTTTTCAAAATCTAGAGTTGGTATCACAGACCAAACAGACTGAAGAGCCTCAGTGAGGTCAGGGATGGGCCCACCATTTGAAGAAACCTTCACAGGCCTCGTCCAAGCAGATGACTAAGCACGAGGACAACTGTCAGGAACAGGAAAACAGTGCGCGAGCAGGGAGAGCAAACAAGCAACTGTGGGGCCAGCGAGGGAAACAGCTGCAGAGTCCACCTGAACACCTCCTCCTCCTCCTCCTCGTGAGGTCCAGCCGTGCTTCCTCCAACTGGACCCTGTACGATTCCTTTCTGTCCTTTGTACTTTTTATTGTGAAATATGTCACACGTATGGAACACTGCATGAGAATCAGACACAGCTAAAAATGATAATAATACCAATAACTGCATACTCACCAACGAGGTTAATTATTAGTACTTCAGAAGTCCCCTGCATAATGCCCCTTCCCAGTCATATCTCCTCCTACTCTGAATTTTGAGAAAATTATTCCCTTCATGTATTTTAATTACTACTGTGTAAAAATGTTATTTGAGAAAATCTTGGATATGAACAAAATTAGAGGCTGGACTCATGTACCCATCGCCTGTCTTCCCATCACCCCACCTCTCGTTTCCTCTACCCCTACCTCCCCGCCCCACCACCACACGCGCTGACGTCACTACATCCATTTGGAACATATCTCCAAAGAAAAAGACTGTCAATGTAGGTGCAATATCATCATCACTCCTACCAAGTTGGCAAGTCCATGCCATCGTTTAAAATTCTGTCTGTGTTCAAATTTCCCCACTTGTTTCAAAGGTCTTTTTTCTAACAGCTGGTTCATTTTAATCAGGATGCAAATAAGGTTCACACACTAAATTTAGCTTCTATGTATGTTAAGTCTCAATCTGTACTAATCTTCACCCCATGGTTTTTCATACATTTGTTGAAACAAAAATAAAAAGATCATGTGACATGCAGATTTCCCCATGTTCTGAATTTAGCTGGTTGAATTTTCACGGTATCACTTTGGCAGATTCCCCTATGCCCTGA